ACAAAATTCATGACCCACTTTATAAAACGCTTTTTCTTTCATCCATGACCCACTTTATTATTTGTAGCAATGACTGTAGCCGAGAGCGACCCACAAAGCAGAAAACAGAGGGTCTCTCCGAGCAGCATTGTGTCTCTTTCGGAGAGGAGCAGCGAGGAGAGTAGAGGAGAGGCCCCAAACCGTACCGAACATATGTTTTATTCACACAATTAGTTTGCTAAAAATGCAGGCTTACCCACACACAAATTCACAACAAAACCAGCTGAGCAAATGAGGTGTTTTTTTTTTTATAGAGGTGGTGGACAGTAAGGGGCGGGAGATGTCAGCTAGACAAGACTAGACTTAGTTAACTTGGCTTAAACAAGTGCACACAGGCCTCTGTCTCTGGCTTATGGCAAATGGCAGCTCAGAGACAGCTGAGACAAGCCAGCAACAAAGGCGCTCAGGAAAATTTGGATTCTACTTGAGGTTTAAACATGGGTTAACTTTGGGCTTAAAGTGTTAAGTCAAGTGTAAGAGGACTACAGATCTTATTAAATATTTTGGAATAAAAGTTTATGACTACCTAAAATGAAAATCATTTTTGTTATTTAATGCAAAGGTAGCTTTAATTTTCATTATTTTCTTTGCTCATCTTGAAAACAAATTTTAGTATAAATATTTACAGATTTTCCTTCAAATTTATTTAAATTTCTTGTGAAAATTCCAAATACCAATCCATCGCTTTTAACACCCTTGGGAATTCCCAAAGTTGACCTTACCCTAAAACCTAACCCGCATATTTGGGTTAGTCAGAATGAATCAGCATTTCTGAGCAAGTTGCCATTCAAATTCCACAGAAACTCCACAAATAAACAGACAAAAAATGTATTTACAAAATATATATTTGTTGAGGGTGATATCAACTTTGCGATTTGTGTCAAGGATATTGTTGCAAGGCGGAAGTGAATCAAAATGTGAGTCAGTCAAAATAAATTTAATTGGGTTTTTGGTTTGCAAAGTAAGTGAAATAAAACAGGAAGAGAAGATAAGCTGATAAACTAATTATGCAGGTAAATAAAGAACAAAATTTCAAATTAAATATTAATAATATTTGTGAAAAGAAGAAAGTTTATAAATTTAATCAATCAATTCTCGCTGATAAAAAGCTTTTGTTGCAAATTTCAACATAGCACGAAATTAATTAGAAACTTAACAAAAGGAAAGCGCTTATCTATGATTAAAGAAGTTAGTGAAATGGGAAGAAGGTGATATATACTAGGTAAATGTTTATAAAGTGAAATGGCTTTTCCCTTTTTATTCCGTTTACATTTTTAGCATAATTCACTTTGCATTCCAAATTCCAAGTTTAAACCGACAAGCTGCATATCACGTAGACCTTCCGAAAACCCACAAAAACAAAACAAATTCAAAAACATTTTTGAGCTTTGCCCCCCTCGAGAAAAGTTTGCTTTGCACTTTCTTTGCTAGCCTCTAAGAGCTGCTTGGCACACGATGCGTATGAGTGATGCGACGTTGAATGGCATAGCATATATACATATATACACTCCATAATAATCATCATCACGTGAGTCGTGACTCAATTTGTATAAGCTCCCGCATAGGTGTAAATAAAAGCTCGAAAAAGCCAAGCTGAAGCCAAGTTGCCTAAAACTCAGATTGACATAATGATCAGCATTAAAAATAATGAGTAATTTGTTTTCTCTATATTTTAATTCCGTTTGCGTCTTTTTGGCTTTTGTTTGGTTTTTTTGCTGGCCAACCATTGAGTGTTGTGATTCATGTGAAATGGAACGACCTTGCCAGTGGGTTTAAGTCTCTATTGGTATGCAAATTCCACATCAAAGAGTTCGAAAAGTAGGGGAAAGGAGAAATCATTGCCAGAACATTCGGGGAATCATGGTTGCTGACAGGTTGTTGTATGGGAATTTAGTTGAATTTTATTGACAGCGATGATAGGGCAACCATCATTACGTAATTTATTGAATCAATTTCAAATTTGATTTTATATTATTTAAGCAAACTGAAAAAGTAAACAGTGATGAATAAATTTCAGAACTTTCTTTTCTTTGTTTTCTGGTAGCAAATTTTTCTAGATTTTCTCTCTTATTTCAACCTTTTTCTAGAACATCCCAAAATTTATTTGTCCTCCAATAAAATTGCCTTCACTTCACTTTTCTTTTATTTTCCCCATTAAGATCTTTGTTATCTCAACCGTTTAGCCCAAAAACCAATTTCCCGATGATCAAACAAATGCCTGCCATTGTCGCATTGAGAAAATGTTGTTTGTTTTCTTTCGGAATAAGGCGAAAGTTTCGCCTCTCTCTCTCTCTCTGCTCTTTGCATATATTTAGCTGTTTGTCTATAAATACGATGTACGATGTGTTTCCCTCACTTCATGACGATAAAAATGCGAAAAAATAGCCAAGCAGAGGGGCAGATTGAAAGCCCAAGTGGCAAAGTGCAAATTGATAAGCCCAACAAAAAAGTACAAAAAAAATAAGGAAATAAGAAGAAGAAAGAGCGCAAATAAGTCAACTGACTTACTGCATTAATTGTAATTTCATTAATTTACGCTATTCGCCTCCGTTTCGCTCTTTTCTGGCTGCCTTAATTAAGCGCGTCAATCATACGCCCTGTGTGGCAGTCGAGTGGTAAGCGATAGAGCATTGGATGGGAATGTGCCCGATGTGCATGATTATGATCAAAGCCGGCTGCCACATTTAAGTGTCGCCCTGTCAAAAAAGCTAGCATAAAAAACAGAAGCAGCTTGTCAAGGGGGGTAAGAGGAGGGGATAAAAAAGATCTGGCTAGGAGAATGTCACTCATTTTGGCAAGCAACGGTGCGGTCATCGGAGTTCTCTCACTTTTAGGAACATACTTTACTAAAAGATAGTTTCCTTAATCTTAAATATATAAAGACTTAAAAATAAATACATTTTTTGACAGTCAAAAAGGAATTACTAAAATTCAAAAAATAAAACAAATTTTGCTTAAAAATTAGAAAATGGTATACAACTTTGGACTGGATTTTTGGTCTGTTTTCTTAACAATTATTTAAAATGTATTTTAAGAAACTATAAAATATTAAACTAAGGATACTTTTAGGATCATTTTTCAAATGTTATTCTAAATCTTTGGTACTAAAATACTTCTTAAAAGACAAATTTACCTCATTTTGGTAACTCAATCTGTAAGTTTTGTATAAAAAATACCTAACTAACACTTAATATGTAATATTTTTTTAAAAACAAGTTTTTAAAATTATCTACCAGTGTATTTTGAGCATTGGTAGGAACAAAGAACTACCTCAAAATTCTTGTTTTTCCTTATTTTTCCTTCTCTGCGCTGATTACATCTCCCCATCATGTCCAGAGTTGTCTGTAATTATTTTGTTGCAGTTCCCAGTTCATGCCCCAATCTCTGGGGCTGCTCTCTTCATTATGCATATAATGTAATTAAAAAAGTGGAAGAATAAGAAGCAGTTACTGCACCGGGTGGTCCTCAATTTGTACTGAAGGTTTCACGCTCAACTGGTTTGCAGTCACTCTCAGAGGTGAATGCGGTTTAAAAAACTGACTAAAGGGTTAACAACAGCAACAACAAGAGGGTTAAACATAGTTCCTTCAATTCATTTTTCGTTTCCTGGAAAAAGACAGTCCGTCAAGCGGTGTCACCCAGAGACATATGCCAAAAATGTAATTTATTCCGCACTTTAACCAAGTTAAATAAACAATTAATCACCTAGCCAAATGAAAACTGACATGAAAGAAGTCAAAAAAAAAGTTGGCAAGAGAAGAGGGAGGCCAAGAGTAATGGCCATGATGACCACTTCAAGTCCGGGTTCTCTAAACCGGCTTCTGGATTCTAAAGCTGACAACATTAATTTGGCTCACGTTGCGGTGGCAACCCAAAAGGCAGAAGTCGGAGGTCACCGCCACCTCCCAAATACTTGCCAAAATCATCCCGGATAACAAATGATTAAGTTTAGGCGGAAAACAAGCTCTGTTTATATCCCAGAATCCTTTGAAGTGGCTTTCACGGTTTCAAAATGAAGATGTCACATTCCGTAGGAAAAATGTATAATTTTCCGAGGTAAGAGCTTGGCTTGCGGCTCCTGGAAATAGTTGAGATTGTTCAGAGCTTAAAAATGTATCTTTTTGATATAAAAATTCTGGAAAATAACTAAAGATAATACATATCCTAATGCGCAATTTAATACAAGTGATATAATCACTGATATATAAATCACCCATTCAGCTCACCAACCACAAGCGTTGAGTCCCAAAACTTCAAAGCCTAAACCACACAAACAGCTAATGGTTGTCGGTGTTTCTTGGGCTCCTTAAATGCAAATTAATTAGGCAATAAAGCGTAATTGAGGCAGCACATTAACCAAAATAATACGAGTCAAATATAAAGACACAGAGACAAACGAAATTTTACATTCTGATAAGAATGGCGAGGCCGAACCGCAAAATAACCAAGCCTAAAGCCAAGGTTATGGAGACCAATGGTTTGTTCACACAATAGAGCTACCATATCTTATATACTTTCACGATTTTTGTTAGATTTATATTTGATATATATAGAGCTAAGTTAATCATTCGGTTGCAACATAACTATTACCCATTTTACCATGAAACCACGAAGATTTATCTTTTTTTATTTAACCAATTAAACGGAAACGGAAATAGGAAATGATTCATAAATTTTAAGGTGTTTTAATAATTATTTAGAATTCATACGAGGGTAAGTCAGCTCAGTTCTGATTGTATTTTCATTCCTTAAAAAGTGGAGAGTGTGTTGACTGAAAGTCAAGATTTTCTATGAACAAATCAAAAGTGATTTTGGGGAAAATTGCCTAAAATATTTAATATTTTAATATAACTGTTTTTATAATGATCTTATTTGAAATATGGCATATTTAATAATCTCAAAAACCCTTAAAAAAAATAAAAACTTCTTGCTAATTCAACAACCTTTCTCTATCTTTGCAGGCTTAGCCCAAGTGACTTACCAGATCATTGGGCCTCAGGTACATCAAATCCAGCGACCTCAACTAGCAGCAGCAGCAGCAGCAACAACAGCAGCAGCAACCACAACAACAACAAGTACAACAGCGGCAACATATCGGTCTGCAACCTGCCGCGCTCATCGCCGGCCGCTGCTACAGCAGCCGTTACTTTATCGTCGGCCGCCGGCGGTATTGGCAAGCAACTTGTTGAGCGGCTTGCATCACGGACTGGCGCCCGGAACGCATCCATTGCAGCGCGCAACGGCAGCCAGTGGAGGCGGGGCTGGTGCTGGGGGCGTGGCAGGCGCCTCAACAGCAGCGGCACTTACACTCCAACAGCAGCAGCAGCAGCAACAGCAACATCAGCACCAACAGCAACAGCAGCAACAACAACAACAATTGGTGTACCAGCAAAATCAGCAACTGCATCAGCAAATCATCTCACAACGTTCTATACAAAATAAGGCGGCGGCCACCGCTGCCGCACAAACGGCAAATCTTGCAGCTGCCTTGCAGCGATCGGCTGCCATTATGAATGCGGTGGCATCGCCGATCTCAGCCAACTCTGCCAACTCAGCGACGTCCGGCCGGAAGATACGACGCAAGACGGATTCAAAGGTCAATCTGGTAAGTTTCCAACGGGGGAAGTTTTTAAGTAGTGGATTTACAATTTTTTGATTTTCTTAAAAATACCCAACCTGAAAATGAACATAAATTGAATCTTTTGCTTTACCTTTTAACCATTTTTTAGAAATATATTAAAATAAAATATGCAATATTAACCCCAATCAAAGCCAAATTGAGAGCTCATATTTTTCAGATTTTAAATTTTAAAATATGAATATTGCGATTCTTGCAGCCTCAATCACAAATCAACAAATGCAACAATGAGAAGCGGCGTCGCGAGGCGGAGAACGGCTATATCGAGCAGCTGTCGGAGATATTGACGCTGAACAAGCGTGGAGATATGACCTCAACGAAACCGGACAAGGCGGCTATACTAAACCAAGTGGTTCGAACGGTAAGGAATCTATATCATGAGTTTATATATATATATATATACGTAGTAGATAGCCAATCCCCACGCATGCCAGTTAATTACCGACAAGACCCCAATGCATAAACTCATCAAACGAAACTAATAAGCCCGAAACGCTAAGAAAAAAGCAATACAAGTTGTTATAACACCCTGGGAATGACTGACTTTGTTGGACTTGACTTGGCCAGTCGATTCCATTGGCCTGCCCGGAATACCAAATGATCAATTACAACACAAAAACACAACCGAGCGAAATTCCCCAATGTAATTTCCATGCAGTTTCCCCGCAAATTCAGCTTCGTCTCCTTCTTTTTGATATTTTTTATGTGCACAGAGAGAAATGTTGAGATATTCATGAAATCTGATGAATTTATATTCATTTCCAAGTTAGTTTGATATAAACTTTAAAATCATAAATAAGTCGTAGAAATTGATGTAAGAAATGAGACTTTTATTTGTAAACAAATAATTTAAAAGCCTTTCTAATTTAACTAATATTTTTTCATATCCATTTTCCCTTTACATCAATCTCACTTAACATTTCTCTCTCTGTAACCAAAAACGCGTTCCAATTAAAAAGCAATTAAAAGCTCAGCCGAAAAAGAGCTTAAAAGAATTTCGCGAAAAAGGGAATAAGCGAGGTGTAGAAACGGCAAAGAAGAGTTCGGCTGACGTAATTTGGCCCCCGCCGCAGCACAATTTAATTAATATTTTTATTTAATTTACATAAATTTATTTATGTTTCAATAGCGTCGACCCTCGGCCAGCGGCTTTATGTTGTTTTAGGCGGCGTTATTATTATCATTGTTGTTGTTCCTGCTGTTGCCGTATTTCTTTTATTGGTTTCAGGTAGCCTAAGCACTTTATTATGCAAATCATTTTCGAGCCAAGCGCCACGCTTTGCCGAACATCCAAAAAAAACCGACAAAAAAACGCAGAAAAAAGACAGGGAAAAAGACAGAAACCAACAAATGGGTTTATAAATGAAATGCGACGCACAACCAACAGCTAAAATACATAATTTTATTTTGTAATCCAGGCGGGTTGAAAACAAAAAAACAAAAACAACTCATCGGGCAATGAAATGCAATTAAAGGCGTACGTACAACAAGCTAAAACACACGAGTTCCGTACATAATAAATAAATTGAATTAAATGCGTTCGTGTCATGTTGGCTTTTCCCTAATGAGAAATGGGATCGAACGCAGCTCATTTGGAGCGGTAATCCAATTGCCGCTATGCTGGACCCCATGAAATATTGTTACTATTCATTTGGCAAAACACAATTCGATTAGCTGGTTGACATTAGGAAAAAAAAAGAAAATATTGAAAAAAATTATACATCCTAATTTTTGTTCAGTAGGAAGGCCCCGGCGAGATTCGAACTCACGATCTCCTGTTTACTAGACAGGCGCTTTAACCAACTAAGCCACGGCGCCAGTTGTCATCGCCGTTTCCATTTGTTCTACTTCCTCCACTCACCTCACATCACCTTTGCGTTATCACCGCTGATTGGTTGATTGTGTTCGGACGAGGTGTTCGCTGGTTTATTTATAGGTCTGTCGATTGGAAATAGCCAGAAATATATTGCCGAAAAAATTGTTGAGAAATGTGTTGGGAGAAAGTTCTTAGCTTAAGAAACTTTGCTAACTAGAAGATATATGAAAATTTCGAACTATTTCTACTACGGAATTCCTTTAGAATCTTTATACTTGTTAGACTATGTAAATTGAGAGGGTGTATATTTTGTCTGATTCTTTAAAAAGCTTTAGTTTGTTTGGTTTTACATCTTTTAAGGAGTTTCTTAAACAAATGAGGACTGCATTTGATGGTTAGCTTTGACGAATGAGTTTATTATAACCTATTAGAGAAGTGCAAACTCAAAAATCTAATAATTCTTTAACACTTAAAATCAAATTAAAGATTTTTTACTCTTTTGAGTATGCTAAACCTTTTCCTAATATCTAACTTAAAATAAATAAAAACAGAAATCTATTAGGGAGATTGTCTTTGTTTCCGGTAACTAGATTAAGTTATAATATTCTCATTTGCACACCTTGAAACATAGAAACCCGAAAGTATCTCAAAATCTACCTCTTGCCTCGATCAATATGAATTTGAGTTTTTTATCCCTCGATCACGATTCCAGTGCCTTATGAAGATACGGGTGTTGACAAACCCCCTTTTTCGCTGCTGCACAGCTGCTGGTTTTGTGTCTTGCCCTCGGATTTTACCTGATTTGATCATTTCGGAAGAGTCTATGGGTCACAGCGCGCCAAAAATAAAAGATACACGATATTTGTAGGGTTGTGCGAAAGGGAGGAGTATATAAAGAGAAAGAGATAAGGCCAGACACGTTTTGGACATTTTCGCGACTGCACGCGCTGAATGCTTTGTTGTTTTTATTTTTTTTTGCAACGGCTACCGTTGTTGTTTTGTTTACTTAATCATTTGACTGATATTTTTCGGAGTGCCTTCACCCCGAACCAAATTCGTGCTCTGGAGCAACTTTTCCTGGTCAAGCTTCCTTTCCATCCAATTCCAAACAGCCGAAAGCTCTCTCTTCTTGGCTCTCTCATTCAGTGTGTGTGTTTTTTTTTGGGAGATCAACGAACTGCTTTGAAATGCTTTTGGACCGATGACGTAGCAGCTCTTTGCAATTTCACATAGTTGCGATTGCGATTGCGTTTTATTCTATATTGTTCTTAATTGTTGTTGCTGCTTTCTCTCTCCTCCTTCGCCGCCCTCACAGTCCCACACACACACACACACACACTCAAAAACAGGTGCACAATTTGATAACGCATACAGTCGCACAAGCCGGTAAACAAAACTGGAAAGAGATAGGAGAGAAGAAGAGAGAGTAAAGCTTATTTTTTGGCAAAGAGAGTAAAGAAGCTTCGTGTGCTGCCATTCATTGTTGTTGTGCGATTTTTTAACACAATTGCATTCAAAAAATGTGTGCTTATTATTTCGGAAACTTTGTGACTGTGCGAACGTTCTCGGTTCTGTATTTCTGTGATTTTCGTGAGTAATATTTACGCGTTTTTTTGGGCCAAATTGAGTCACAACGCAGTCAAAGCCTAGACTCTGCTCTGATAACCCCCAAAAATATATATTTGACAAAAAAGAAAAGCATACAAAAGGAATAAACAAGAGGAGCTACGGCAAACCAAAACAAAAGTGAAATGCCATTGACATTTGTCCACGCGAAGTTGAAGTTGACTGACCTTGAATTCCCATGTGTGTAAGAGAGAGAAAAAGTTCTAAGAGAGAGTGAATGGAGATGTGGGTGGCTGTGGTTGTGTGTCTTGTGGAAATCCTAAGGAAACCGAAATCCTAACAATAACAATAATATTTGAATATGACGAGGGCTTTTCGCGTTCTTTTTTCGCAAATGTCAATGACTCTTTTTTTTCAAACGCGCGCGTAAAAATATAACACAAACATAGAACTTCCACACACACACACACACATACACACATTCCAATGATAAAATGCGGTTTATTGCACTTCCATTGTGTCAATACAATGATATTATACCCCACATACATAATAATATTCCCAATGTGTCGTCCAGTGGTTGCGCCTCTCTTTCAGCCTCATTCACTACTCCCCACAAAGTGTGCCGATCTTCGTGCTATAATTATTATTATTATTATATTTTTATGACTGTGTGTCATAATATGCATGAGTTTTTGCACGGGATGCTTCCGCATCATCGCCAAAATAAATAATACCCGCAGTTTAAGTGTCGCCGATAAAGTGGCCGCGATATGAATGAAGTTTTTCTGTACTTTCCGAATATGTATCTCACAGATGCAATCTGATGTGTCTTTATAAGGCTTGTCACAAAGTTGAATTTAAGATGAATATTTACGGGGCAGCGAGCGAAATATTTCATGTGCACAAGATAAGGAAAATTCTATGGGTTGCTATAGAAACTGTTTAGAGTCTACAGTAGTAGTTCCTGATTAGCTCTATGGTGTTGATCACTGCGAATAATTTCATGAATATTTGGTCCTAGGAGTGTTATCTAGCGGAGAGGATCTAATGCAGTTCATTATTCTAAACTCCAACTTCCTTTCTTTCACGGTTTTAAAGATTTTTGTTAACTTTTTGTTTACATTTTTGTAAAAAATTTGCCAAATATAATCAAATTTTAGTAATGTTCGCAAGCTAAAAGTTCTGATCATGGAAAATCTTTATTGAAAATCTTTATAGACATCTTAAAACCATAGAAAAATCCCAATTTGAAATCTTTCAAATCAATCAACTCTCTTTCCCTACTCTTTCTTGCAGTACCGTGAGATTTGTGACAAGGGCCAAAACCGTGATATATCCTCAACGTCGACGAACAACAACAACTCCACGACAACGACCAACAACAACACGAATAGTAACAATAACAACAACACCAGCAAACCGCAAGCAACCTCAACACGCTGCAGCCGCTGTGCCACGGACAATTGCTCGATTCATCCGGTGCAACAGGGCGAGGTCTCATCAACAGAACCCCCGCTCCCAGAACCATCATTGCTCCTTGGCCAAGTGCCAGAGATATCAGCTTATTTCGAGGCACTCGAACATTATATCAGCGGAGTCGGTTGGGTCCTGTTGCAGGTGAACGCCAACGGCATCATTGAGTCCTGCACGCAGAACATCCGCGATCTGATCGGCTATGAGAAACAGGAGCTGTACCACCAGCCCCTCTACATGTACCTCTATTCGGGGGACCACGCCAAGCTAGAGCCGATCATCAACAACATGTACAGCAATCCCAATGGCGGAAGTAACAACTCCGCCAGTAATTCTGGCCCAGGTGGCAGTTCTGCTGGCCCCTCGGCGGGTGTTTGGGGCGATCTCGAGGAGCTGAATAATGGCAATGCTTCCCAGCAGTCGGCTGGCTCCAATTCCAGTTCAGGTGGACCGGGCGGTGGAGGAGGAGCTGGTGGGAATTCCGGTGGTAAGTCAAAGCGCAGCATCTCCGCCAAGGTGCGTATGCTAGTCAAGGACACACGCACTGCCACCCAGACATCATCGAACTGCGAGGAGAAGCCACTGAGGCAGGCCGGTCATCAGGACAAGTACGAGGAGGTGGTACTCATAGCGGCTCCAGTTAAGGGTAAGTAATGAAGAAATTTAACCGTTGGATTCCCAAATCCTAAACAATATAATTAACAGATGATGCCGATGCTAGCAGCTCAGTTCTGTGCCTGATCACACGGCCGGAGGACGAGTCTCCTCTGGAGATCAACATTCAGCAGCATGTGCAGCAGCAGCCGATCGAGCAGATGACCTTCAAGCTCGACATCCACGGCAAAATACTCACCCTCGACCCCACGGCCCTGCGGGAACCGTTTAAACAGCACCTGCAGACGTGGGTGGGACGCCTGTGGCAGGATCTCTGTCATCCGCACGACCTCTCCACGCTCAAATCGCATCTGCGCGATATCCAGGACTCGGCCAGCGCCAATTCACCGGGTGCAGGAGCAGGCACCAGCGTGATATCGCGTCCATTTCGCCTAAGATTGGGAGCGCCAGATGTATACGTTCATGTGAAGGCTAACTCGAGACTGTTCCTCAACCAGACGCCCGGCGAGGGTGACTTCATCATGTCCGTGCAGACGCTGCTCAACTCAGAAAACGACATGAATAGCAACAACACCGGAGCGGGCAGTGGAGGATTGGGCTTGGGCCAATTGTGCGCCATGGCGCCGAGCCCTTCACTTGCCAGCTCCCTGCTCAGCAGCCTTTCTATGGACGGTCTGCACGGAGGAACCGGTTCAGGTTCGGGATCGTCATCTTCGCCAGCGGCCTCTGGCATGCTGCCCACTCATCTGCTGGGCGGACTAGTGGGTGGCGGTCAGCAGGGTGGTGGTGGTAATAGTACACAGACCACAAGTGTAGGCGGACCACTGATGAGCAGCGCCATTATCAACGGCAGCGGACTGCAGCAGCAACAGCAGCAGCAGCAACGATCCGGCGCCAGTTCCTCGGCCAGCTCGTCGGCGAATGCCTTGGTCAATGCATTTACCGCCTCGCCAGCGGCCACGGAGCACGGCTTCTATGGAACCGATTCCTTCGAATTCGACATTGTACAACATTCCGCATTCGAATTGGATCCCAGCGGCGGCGTGGGAGCCTGGACAGATTCGCGTCCCAATTCGCGAGCCTCAGTGGCCACGCCCGTCAGCACGCCGCGTCCTCCGTCTGGACATGGCTTTAGTCCGGCTGTTTGCGCATCTCCGGCTACTCCCTATCAGCTCTCCTCACACTCTGCCGCCAGCCTACCATCACCGCAGTCAAATGCCAGTGCCGGCGGTGGCAACTATGGTTTCAACTTTCACTCCTTTGAAACGGGCGATATAAAGCCCGAGAAGGATGTCCAGCAGCAGCAGCAAAACCAGCAGCAGCAAGGCAACAACAGCAGCAGCACCAGCAGTGGAAACAATCCCCTACTGGGAGGCGGTTTGCCAAATGGAGTTGGTGGGATGTTGCTTTCCCAGCAACAGCAGCAGCAGCAGCAAACACCACCGCAACAGCAGCAACAGCAACAACAACAACAACAACAGGAATCCTCGGAGCGATTGCGGCATCTGCTGACCAAATCGCAGAGCATGGCCGGCGGTCTGGGAGGACTGGGGGATGATGAGAAGGTGGGTTATACGGGTTTATAAATATCTTTAATAACTTAATATTTTAATAAAAAAAATTGTCATTTTGCAGTACTTTAAGCCGGAGGGCAGCGATGAAGAAAAGCTGTCCGGCGGTGGCTTCAAGATGGGCGCCCAGCCCGGCGGCATGGGAATGTTTGGACCAATGGGATCGATGGGACGTGGTGTTGGCAACACCAGCATGCTACACAAGGCAGGCAATTCACAGAACCCAATGCTGCTCAAGGTTAGTGATTGTCATTACTGAAAGGGAAACCCTGACTAAGTTTAACTTGTTTACAGCTACTCAACGAAAAGTCCGAGGATGATGATGGAAATGGATCTGGTGGTGGTCCTGGTTCTATGAACAACTCGCGCCAGAGCGAGCTAATGCGGCAGCTAAAGAATCCAGATGGAGGTAGCCACGGGATGCATCGTAGCAATGCTAGCGGTAATATGAGTAACGAGGATCTGAAGGCCATGCTCAAGATCCAGAGCGATCCTTCGCAGAGTCGCAAGCGGTCTTTGAACGAGCCAGACGACGATCCCTCCGCCAAGAGGTCGGAGGATAAACCCAGCAAACTGTACACGCAGAACAAGATGTTGGCCAAGCTACTGCAGAATCCGCCAAAGATACCCAAAGCACCCAATCCCGAGCAGCCACTGCAAGTAAAGACGCTGCCAGACATTACCAGCTCCACAGTAAGCAGTTCGCTGGCAGCTCCGGGTAACCTCATAAGCGCTGGCACCACCGGTCCCAAAGCGGCGGCAAATCGCAACCGGAAAGCAACAGCAACAGCAGCAACAACAGCAGCAACAACAGCAGCAGCAACAGCAACAGGCCTCCGGCATTCCTCCCCAGCAGCTACAACAGCAGCCAAACGATGTCTACCTCAGCCAGCAGCAGCAGCAGCAGCAACAGCAACTTCAGCCGCCGCAGCTGGCCTTCCAGCACCAGCAACAGCAACTGGCGACCACAGCAACTACCTCAATTACCACAGCGGCCTCCACTTCGGCTGCGGCGGCTGCAGCTGCGGCAGCAGGGGCCATTCTGGGCGATGGCGATACAGAGCTGTCCAAGCTGCTGGACAGCGTAATGGAGTATTACTCAGATGATACTCCCATCGTGACCAATGCTCCATCAGAGGCCTCGGCAATCAGCGATATTCAAAAGTCGCTGATGCTAGACGTCGAATCGGCAACGTTTGGAAACGATTTGAACCAACAGCTTATGATGAGCCAACAGCAACAGCACCAGCAACAACAGCAGCAGCAACAGCTGCTAGCGTTGCAGCTTGCCCAGCAGCAGCAGCAACAGAGACAACAGCATCTGCAACAGCCGCCCGCTTATCCGGGTATGCTTAACATGCAACAGCAGCAACATCAACAGCCAAACCAGCAACACATCATGCAGCGCATGGAAGCCTTGCGCAGTCAGGCTAACCAGGGATTCCAGCGACCACCTCCAATGTATCCAGCACGCGGACGTGGACCTATGAATGCGGTGGCCACTCCCGGTGGCGTAGTCTTGCCTGCCCAGCAGCAACTGCGCAACATGCGACAGCAGCAACAGCTAGCGGCTGCCCAGCAGAAGGAGCGTTTGTTGCAGCAACAGCAGAAACAACAGCTGTTGGTTCCTGAGAATGCCAGTGAGTAGTAGGGAATGTTGCCTTTGTTTTTATTTAGGAATTTCATTTCATTCTTTATCTCAATAATATTCTTTATCCAAAATTTCAGCTGGCATGAATGCGGGCTTAAACAACATCGGCTCGTTGCTCAACACGACGGTGGCTCCAAACGTGTCCCTATCCCGCACCAACCTGCCCTCAGACGCTCAGCTCAGTCCAAACTTTGCTCAGACTCTGATGCAGCAGCAGCTGAGTCCTGGTCGCAGCACACCCTACAGTCCGCAGCCCAATCAAGGTGAGATGAACTTAATATTTTTATGATATCAATTACTGACAGTACATATTTGCTTCTTCCAGGCTACGCCCCTCAGTTCCCGCAACCCGGCCAACGTCTCTCCCCGCAGCAGCAGCAGCAACTTAACCAGCAGCAACAGAACAATGCCCAGCAGCAACAGTTGGCCTACAGCAACAGCAGCAGCAACAGGTTGGTGACGGTGGACGTTCTAATACACCGTTTGGTTCAAATTCGGGAATGCAGTCGCCGGGCATGCAGAATAGTCCACAGCAGTGGGGCTCTGGTGGCGGAGGTGGCGGCGGACCTGGTGGTCCACTGCCAAGTGGCAATGCTGGGAGAACGCTTCAACAACACAACCCTATGCTCATAGCACAGCTGCAGGTGAGTGTCTGAGATTTCAGTTAGCCAAAGCAGACCTATTAACACCTTTCTATGGCCGCGCTGCAGGGCGTGAGTCCGTATAATGCGCGTCAATACCAACAGAACCAGAGACGCGGCCTGAACTCACCGGGAGCCGTTGGACCCGGTGGTAATCCGGCGGCACAAGCGGCACTGCAGCGACAGAACTCGTTCCAGGGACAGGGCGGTGGCGGGGCCACAACACCCGATGGTTCCGGTGTGGGTTTCGGTGGTCCACAGTCGCCCTACGGCAGCAATGTCAACGTTTTCCAGCAGCAACAGTTGCAGCGACTGCAGCGGCAGGGTAGCGTGCCACAGGCCACACAACATCTGCCAGGTAAGGAGAGTGCTCAGGGGCATTGTAAGAGCTGGATGAATTTTTGAACTCAGATCTGAGGCATTTAGTTAATTTTTTATGAATTTTAAAAAAATTGTTTTAAGAGAAAGTAAGGGGGAATTACGATTAGCATAGCGAGAAGATATAAAGTTCCTACTGAAAGTGGAATGTAGTTGGCATATCTCTTGTGATTTAAGCACCCCTTAATCCATATACTAAACATTCAAATACATACCTAGACAGCTTTACACACACACACACACACACACACTCACAAACATAACACATACAAACACACTTGATAATCTGAACTAGTTTTAATCAAAGCCGAAACAAAACAAAACCAACCAAAACCGCTTAACCAAAACAGGCTCGCCACGCTTTGGCTCCTCACCGGGCAGCAGCAACAACAACAACAACAACAACACTGATAGCTCAGCTGGTGGCGGCAACAATCAGCAGCAGCAGCAACAGCAGCAACAGCACCAGCAGCAACATCAGCAACAGCAACAGCTGATGAATGGGCTGAGCATGTCGCCACATCCGCATCCACATCCGGCTATGATGGGCGTGGGCGGTATGGGCAGTGGCGGTGGCAACGGCATCATTGGCCTTGGCGGCGGGGGCGGCAATTACGGTGCCACCCTTGGCGGCTACGGGCAATCGCAGCAGGCGAATGATTTCTATGGTCGCGCGCAGACCGGTAAGCCTGTGTGCTCTTCTCTCTCTCTCTCTCTCTCTCTCTCATTTAAATTTCTCACGCGATCGCTGTATAAATCACCCCGCCTTGAAATCTGTGTATTATATATAAATATATATATCTGGCTGTATTATCCATTGCCACGCATCGTAAAGCAAATCCACATTTTGGGAGCATTCTGTAAATACATATGAAAAAAAAAAAAACAAAAATCAACATCCAAGCTGGAAACCACACGTATGAACACCCCTAACCAACACATAAGCGTATTTATATCTTTGTATAACTGTACGATCATTGTAATTAACATATTCCAAATAAGAACAACCTGGTTGAGCTGTACATAATATATATATCTGGCATACAGGATACGCTGCACCCCCACAAAAAACCAACATTCGGTGTACCTTAACCCTTAAACATTGTCTAGCCTTAAGAACAAAAAAATACCCCAATATTATCCTTTAAATTTAATGTAAAAAAAATATATATATATATAGAATATGAATAGATAGATACTTTCGATCTGCAAAATGAAAAATTGGTCATTGCTCTAGGAATTATGGTTTATTGACGATTTCCCCACCTAGCCAAACCCGATCCCGATTTTCAGTGTGCCTCAACCTTTGTGTTCCATGTTGTATTTTGTTGTGTATGTTTTTTGTATTTATTTTATGTTTTTTATGTCTAGAATTGAGCCAAAACCAATGTGACTAAACCTAAAACAATCTCCTATCTCAAATCTTCAATCTCATCTAATCCCGCTTTGATTCTTTCAGCTGGCGGTGGCGGCGGAGTAGCCGGTGGCAATGCCAATTCCGAGTTCGTTAAGCAGGAGCTGCGAGCGGTGGTCAGTGTGCGGGCGCAGCAGGCGGCGGCAGCGGCCACTGGTGGAGCAGGCGTCGGTGGAGGAGGCATAGTGCAGCGAGGACAGACGCCGCAGAGTCCATTGCAGCAGGGTGCCGTGATCGGTGGCGGTGGGATTGTAGGCGGGGCCAACAGTGCAAACACTATGGGCAACGTCACGCCCACGGGCAGCGGTAATGTCAGCAATTCCATGCTCAACACGCCGCCAGACCCAACGATGGGCTTTAGTTTCGAGACGCGTAAGTTTAACAGTTTTTCTTAGTCTTAGCGTCTTAACTAACTTATATTGAAACTTATTTCCACAGCGGACTTCTTCACCAGCAGCGCCACGAGGTGACCCTAAGGTGCTTAACTGAGACCCAAGGATCACCACATACAACCAAATCTTCTCTTGCGCACGCATTTATGGCTCTAAAATACGAAAAAGAAAAAATAACAAAAACCATAGGAAATCATAGGATGAAAGGATGGAGCATGTAAATCTAATTAAAAATATTAGCAGCACTATTTAAAAAATATATACCTAAATATATTTATTTTATAATACTAGCAAATATTAATTTGTAAAGCAAAAAAGAAAGGGAACCTCGTCTAAGAAATGAAAAAACGCGAAAACCTAATTACCAGACACAAGCTATAGTTAAATATTTTCAAAAAACCGCAAAATAACTTCATGAGAAAGTTATAAAAAATGATACGAGAAATGCATATTTATTACGTTTAAAGATAAAGCCTAGTTAATAAGAGCTATATATACAAAAGAAGGAAAACAGAAACAAAGCAAAAAAACATAAATAATTAAGTTAAGGGCTGACCGTTTCGAGGTGTTGTTAAATTGATATATGTATATTTAAAAAAAAAACAGAAATAACAAATAACATAAAATAATGTATGACATTTGAAGAGGCGTTGGCAAGCTCTAGACATAACGACAAGCGATGATAATATTACATAATAATGTATACAATTTGAAGGGAAGAGTAAATGTAACATGTAACATGTAACATGTAACACACAACAGACACAAACTTGCTGTATATTTAAAAGTAGTGTTGAATTTTTTTTCAGTGTGATAATTTGTTAAATTTTATATACTAAATGTTGCTAATTTGTTGCTGCAAAGGCACGTGGACCTCCAAAGGCTTTGCTTTTATGTTTCTAAACATTTTCTGGCATCTTCATGTTTTTGAATTATTAATTTTCCAACCGGACCCCCCAAATAGATTTCACTTCTATTCTACGATTAGTAAAACTATCCCCCCCTATGAACTGTAAATATTTTCACAAAAAAAAAATGTAACTCTTCTAAGTTGAGCCGCCTTAAATTTTAATTTGTAATTTAGTTAATGCTCGTTTAAACTTATTGTAATTATTTTTAAATACTTTTATATCAAAGCGAGAAAGCAAAGCGCGCAAAGCAAAGTTGGCGTTGCAATTTCATGTGAAGGCTATTTTACAGGTTTTGTTTAAACTAATATGTAATTTTATCCATTTTTTATATTAACTATTACACGATAATTATATAACAAATTGGCATGTATGATTCGAAAAGAAAAACAAACAAAGAGAAACAAACACTTTCAATGAACATATTTTGCTGGCTAAAGCTAAGCAAGAACGTTTCACGTTTTCTATTATGTAATTTTTTATTGATTTTTGATTTTGTTTAAATCTTTAAGTCTATTAAGTTGGGTTCAATCGTTATAAATATTATTTTAAAGAAGAAACGATACAAATGCTATACAAATATTATTGATAAAAATTTAGTTTATAATTTTATTAAAAATACTGTTTAAACTGCAAAGCCCTAAATAAAAATTTATATACAATATATTAAAGATTTAATGTTTTATTTACTTATGATTTTCTTTAACAAATTATTATACTGAAACAAGGCATCCAAAAGAAAAACAACGACAAAAACAACACGAATATATATGGAATATAAAATTGAGGAAAACGGCGATATTAACACTTGGGAAAATAGAAATACCTCTCGTTAAGTTCAAAAAACGTATGATAAAAATACAAATTTATAAAAAAAAAAAGGAAAAGGAAAGAACATAACCAAATAACCATTAAATATTACATTAAGATAACTGTAAATAGTTTTCGAATGATTCAGATAAAAATACACTTCAAAATCTATTAAGGGAAATCATTTTTAGATGCTGCTAGCTAAATTACAATTGTCACACTTAAATATTAGCATAGGATGAGTTTTTTTCTTTAAGAGGCTACATTTAATGCAATTAAATTAAAAATTATAAAGCTAAAAACAAGAAAGTAAAGCGAAAAATGAAATAATGGAAACAATGTCGGCCAGTTTTCGGCCCCCAGCTCTCCCCATAATTTTTTATACTGACAAGACCTCAAACCAGGAAAGTATAAGTATAAAAAATGAATATACACAAGTATACTGCATTTAGCATTATATTATACACCTATATAAATAGTTTTAATGCCAGTTATTCATATATATACCATTTCATAAGTATATATATATATTTATACGGTGTAAGGATATAGCAAATTTCACACACAGCAACACAAAAAGTACATATAAAGTGCATTAATGAATTTAAGCATTTAATGAAATTAATTAATTTATAAGCATAACGAAATATACGGGATTATTTCGAACATATATATATATATATATTTCAAATAAACAAATATTTACAAATGGCATAAACTTCATGGAGTATTTAAGGTAATTAACCTAATACACTTAAAGCTAACTAACTAATAATGCAAAATAATATTTACGAGAATGCAAGGAGTTCATTTTTATAAGTAAAATACCTACTTAGGTGCATATATGATTTGGTAAGTTCTTAGATTATCAGGCACCTTTCCATTTTTGTATATACCAAAAACGCATCTTAGAATTTATCAGTAAATTTGAAACACTTTCAATATACCAGCTTAGCTTTTTTCGTATTTCGATCATCGGAGGACAAATTGGTTTCGCTGGACACATCTGATGCAAAAGTAAATTTTTCTTTCTGTATACCGGAAGCGTATTTGTTCGTACTGTACAGTCACGATTAAACAAGTGAATTTATTTAATTTGTATGCAACCTAGTACCATAAAATTTGTACCAAATCACAACACTGACGATTTAAGATATTAGCCGAGAGATAATGGAGAGATGAAAATAAAAACAAAACAAATAATGCAACGCCCTGTACCCGTGCATAAAGCCTACAAAGATTTGTTAAACTTGATATTACAAAAATAAATACTATTTACTAAATACAAAAAAGATGCCCTGAACCGCAATGAGTAGTGCCCAAAAAACCATAAGAATAACGGAATATATATATATATAAACCTAGCATTTAAAAGTTATAACGAATTCTAAAACAACAGCCTCAAAAAAATAGATTTAAACAAAATAGCAAAAAAAAAAAAAAAATAGCACAATTTTGTATAAAAGCGAGTAGAAATTTGTACGAACGCAAAGTAGATCCACGAAAAAATACCAGAAACGAGAGCAATATAAAAAACTAAACAAAACTCACGCAGAATTACGAAACACAACTACTCAATATTTCAATTATTTTCCCTTCAGTCTATTCAGAAAACAAAAATCATAAAAAAAAAAAATAGTGGAGTGAAAATATCGGTTTGATGGAAAAAAGCATCGTTGATTGGCTGTGTTAAACAAAAAATGATAAAAAGTTGAAAGACCGAAAAGCGTACGACGAATAGGCCTACAAAATTGGCTTAAAAAGAGAGATTTTTCAAAAGTAGCAGTCGGAGTTTTGAAATAGTTGGTCGAGGTTAGAGTAGTTAGATGCGTTCGGGGAACGCGCGTAGGAACCGAAACCGATATTTAATTAGAAGTTTGGATTTATGCTGAATTTATGGAAGGGGATCAGATCTTTAAGAGCAGGCAACTTCAGTTCAAATTGTCACATATTTATATATTGTTTATACATCAATGAATATTATTATATTATCCATACTTTTTGGCTATGATATTGTATCGTGATTTGGAGGGAAGACTGTACTGAAACGGAAACGGCAAATTGTTTAAAAATTATCATGATCATTTTGATTAGATTAAATACTCGTTTATTGCTAGTTTTGGGTTAAGGCGACTGTTCATCGCCCTACACACAAAAAATTGATTTATTCGTTTAAAATCGTTTTACAAGGACCTATCAAACCCACTATATATCCTCACAAAAACATAATGAATGTTACAAATCTGAGTGTTATGTTGTTGTCACCTGTCACTGTTCGTTCACTGTCACTGTCACTGTTTACACGTATCGATTGATTGTCCTCATATGTTGTCTTTGTCTCTAAACATGGTATTAAATAATTCAGTAAAACAAATAAAAAAAACAAAAACAAGCGTATTTTAAGTCTCTATATATGTACCTTTTGCTATGTATTGTATTTTTATGTAACTGTAACTATATATATACGCCCCTCACCCACTCACATCGACACTGTCATTTTTCACACTCGAATGGGAAACCAAGAAAACAAATGCTAAATTTAACACTAAAAATTTATGATAATTTTTAAAATTAAAGCTGTATATGTGTAAATGTAACTTTTGTCTAAGGATTCACCAAAATTGAAACTGAAAAAGGAAATAAGGGAATTAAGGGGAATTTTCATTTAAAAGAATACACAATATACTTTAATTTAACTAAGTACTTACAAAAGCATATTTGAGAATGTTCACACACACACCACACATGCAACACAATAGAAAAATGTTTAAACAATTAAATTTGAAATTAGTGGAGACAAGATTCTGTACGCTATGTTTGTACTTATAAATCGATATATATATATACATAAAGGTAATTAAATTTATTAATTAATTATACAACAACAAAAAGCAAGAAAACTGCAGCAAACAGCAACAAGAACAACAGACACGTTCACTTAATGTTTAACAACTGAACAAAAACATTGAAAATGAGAAAATGAAAAAGACTAAATAAAATATTAACGAAATAAGCGTAAGTTTAGAGCTCTTATTTTGTGTTTTCTCGGAAAGTTCTTTGGGTTTTAGGTTTGACATTTTGTAGGCCATTTCCACAATCAATCCAAGATTGGCATTCAATGTCTTCATCTGGTTAAGAGTGTTCTCGTCCAGCTACATCAGAACTAAACGACCAGTGGGCTGCCGCTCTTCTCATGATTTGTGAGATACTCACCGAAGCAGTCTTTAAATTTAAGGCGACATAAATGCTGCAAACTGATGAAAAAGGAATCATTGTTGAATACTGCGAAAACTGAAGACAAAAAGTTGCCATTGACGCATGTGTGGAATGGGTGACACAGGACTGCAAAACCTTTTCAGCAATGAATGGATAGTTAGTGGTTTACCAATGCACACCAACCGACTATATATATATCTTTCAGGATTATAATCACTTTAAATGACTAAACTCACCTAATTTTATTTATCAAAGTGGTGGCAACTACCCCAAAAGTCTTACAACACTGTTCGATCGTTTTGTTGTGAATTGACCAGTGTTGTCAAACAGGTTGTTGATATAAAGATCTTTACCTTTAAGTGTAAAAATTGAGTTGATCCAAGTGATGTAATCATTGATATTAAAAAAGCTAAGACTTTTTCATATATCAGTGCTTAAATTTCAATGTTACACCAAAAATTTAAATATTTTAAACCAAATTTTAAATTTTTTGGTATTTAATTTAAAAGCGATTTTTTAAAGTTTAAATCAGCTGGTTTGTCTGACAATATGGGATACTTAAAAAGTCATGGTGCGGTCACATTGCCAGCCGAACAGCTGTGTTTGTTGTTATCAAGAATTAGTACTTGCGTGTACTTTTGTCGGCATAATTGATATCTGCATGATGATCATGATCGATTGATTCACAAGATATTCACGGATTCCAAGCTTGCAGATTGAATCATCATAATCGAAACCCGTGACCCCGGTGCATTTTGGGGAATATTGCACCTGCTAATTGAATTAGTGCAGTAGGGAGGCGCCATTTCAAGGTCGACCATGTCGGGTGTAGCCGTTGCCATAAATGCTGCCATTTCGGGCGCTGCCTACTGCATGACGGTCCAGATGATTCCACGTTTCCGGGAAATGTTTATCAAGGCCAATCTCTTTGGCAACGATCTCTGCAAGAAGGACAAGCCACAGGTGTACGTTTTTCCCATTTTGGAATGTTATAATTTTCTTAATAGGAATAATCCAAACCTCTAGACCCGAATCCTTTGGCGTGCTGATTGGCTGTGTATTTCTGGTCTCCTTATTTTTGTTCATACCCATTCCCTTTGCTTTCGATGAGGCAGCCGCCACGGATACTATTACTGGAGGAAAACCCGACACCTTTCCTGACGATAAGGTAACTATCAAATTGGAAAATGTAACAATCCCGCCACCTTATCGACTGTTATCGCACGCACAGTTCGTGGAATTGATTGCCGCACTTCTATCCATTTGCTGCATGATCTTTTTGGGCTTTGCTGATGACGTTTTGGATTTACGATGGCGCCACAAGCTGCTCCTTCCAACCATTGCCACGATGCCACTGCTGATGGTGTACTACGTCAATTATAACTCCACCACAGTCATTATGCCCAACTTTGCGAGGAGTCTAGTTGGTACCTCATTGAACATAGGTAGTTTACCGAGCCTTTTATGTATAAGACTACAATTTCTTATTTTTTAATATTCTTATTCTTAAGGATTCCTGTACTACGTATTTATGGGGATGTTGGCGGTATTCTGTACAAACGCCATTAACATCTTGGCCGGAATCAATGGCCTGGAGGTTGGACAGTCACTGATAATTGCCAGCTCGATTTTGGTGTTCAACGCTATTGAATTGTTTCTCGGTCATCAGGTGGAATCACACATATTCTCAATTTACTTCATGCTGCCTTTCCTGGCCACCACATTAGCGCTTTGGAAGTTCAACAAGTAAGTCCGATTTTTGTTTATTTAATTAATTTTTATTTCTTAAATACTGTCAAGTCAAAACATTTTTTATAACTATAATTATGGTACTAAAATAATAAATTAATAACACAAATAACGATTTAAAATTTTAACCAAATTTAAATTAATTAATTAATTATTTAAAATTTGCTTGCTTTGTTATCAATATTTAAAGTAAACCTAAAGAGCTTTCTCTTACAGATCATGGTGTTTACATAAATATATCTTAAAAATTATTTCACAACTTTTTTCCAGCTCATTGATATCTTTCTCTGCTGTTTATTTCGGTTTTCCCTCATAAATTCATTGTTTAGTTCTGTTTTTTCTTGTCACAGATGGCGGGTCTGTCTGTCCTGTCTGCTGATATACTTAATTTGGAATTCGTGAACTCTATTGGCTATTAGTTGTAGCAAATAGTTGGCGTCGACGTACGCATATAGTTGGGTAGCTTCACAGGTAGCTTTTTGTGGGTGGAGATTTGTAGCAGAAGCACTATCTGCTCAGGGGGCAGACATAGTTCACAGATCCACCCGCCATGGTGGTTAAGATCACCCAATGTGCTGCTCGCCAGAAGCAGTAGATCCTGAGCTTGCATTTGGACGCCACATTGCTGCCAAAGCTAGTTCGACTTGCTTCCGTTTCTTACGTAGTATATGAGGAAATAGTCAACCACCTCGATGAAGGCTCGAATTTGCACTCCAATATCTCTAGACTGAGATGGTCCCAGGCTCCCAGTTCCAACATGGAGGAGGTGGAGAGAAGTTTAGCTGGCCTTAACCAGCTAAAGGGGTGTGCTGCCCCCTCGTTTGATCAGCCGACTGGATGTCATCATTGCTCGCCATATGAACTCCGGCCCCTTCCGTTCCAGCCATTTTTGCATTTGCACTGCGGAGGCGCCATCAGATTCAACATAGTTAATCCGCAGGCTCTTGTTGGTGGTACCCTCACGATAGCACTAAAGGGCGTGTGTTAGGCCCATCTCTCCTATTCACCCTGTCCGGTTTCATTTGCTAAAAGTCCCTTTCATAACGGTTGACATTGCCCTGCTGCCGGTGACACTGGGCGCCAGTTTCTTGTTTATGGCTCCCGGCCATACCGGCCCACACTGGCTCCCGGTGCTCCTCACCATTGTTACTGGCTTCGTTTCTGCACTATTTCCCTCTCATTCTTCTCGCTTTTCCCTGGATAGTTAACACGGTCAAAAATTGTACGGTACATCCCTCGCACAGCTGTCACAAATGTCCTCCCTCAGCTGTTCACCGCTGCAGAGTATGTTTGGGTATTTTCCGTCAAATCTGGCTATAAATGTAACAGATTTGGCGTGACTTACAACACTGTTTGTTTTCTGTTAATTTTTAAAATTAGAAAGCTTTTTAACATTTTTGAAAAAAAACGTTAAATTTTTATTTTCATGCTATCTTAACTGTGTTTTTTTTGAAACAAAACATTAACATTTCGTATTTCACAGATATCCATCCCAGGTGTTTGTCGGTGATACCTATTGCTACTTTGCAGGCATGACCTTTGCTGTCGTCGGCATCCTGGGACATTTTAGCAAGACCCTGCTTCTATTCTTCTTGCCGCAGATCATAAATTTCCTGTACTCCACGCCACAACTGTTCCACTTTGTGCCATGTCCCCGTCACCGGCTGCCCAAGTACGATAGCAAAACAGATCTGCTCCATATCAGCACCACGGAGTTCCGCTTGGAGGATCTCAAAGCTCCGGGCCGTCTGATGGTCACAATACTGCGAAAACTTCGACTAATTAGCTGGCATACCAAAGCGGACGGAGTTGTAAGAACCAACAACTTCACCCTTATCAACTTTGTGCTGGTCATTTTTGGACCCGTCCATGAGCGTGTCGTCACACAAATGCTGATGGGATTCCAGGTGCTGTGCACACTGATTGCTCTGGCCATTCGATATCCCCTGGCTAACTTCTTCTATGCGAAAACGTAACCCTTTGATTCTGATATTTATTGTAGTAAGCCTTTGCTAAGTTAACTTTACAAACAGAAAACATTTATCTAATGCCTACACAATATATTTCCCGAAAGTAAGTCAAGTAAAAATCTGTATTTCACCGGTCAATAAAGAACTAAGCAAATAAACTCAAAATCAACATGGCCACAACGGATATGTCTGAGGAGGATCTGTCGGCACCCGAAGAGGAGGAGGATTTGGGTCCCAATATAGGCGTAAGTGGGAATAGGAAATAGAGTCTAGTAAAAAAAATCGTATGCCTATTACAGCTTTATATAGGTGGTCGAAATGCTGCCGGACAGAGACACGGCAGAGGTTGGGCCATTCTGCCCAATGGTGATCAGTACGATGGAAACTATCGAAAAGGCCGTCGCCATGGTATTGGGCTATATGTGTTTAAGGATGGATCGCGATACTACGGACAGTATCGCTGTGGCAAGCGTTGTGGGCGTGGTATCTTTATCTATCCTGACGGTTCCAGTGTACGAGGGCAACTGGCGTAAGCACCTGAAACACGGAAAGGGGCGGTACAACTATGTGAATGGCGATACCTATGCGGGCGATTGGTTTAAAGGTCAGCGACACGGAGTAGGAATCTATCGCTTTAACAACGGCACCGATGCTTGCTGCTTAACAGTCAGAATGAAGTCGACCTGGAACAGCAATATACGTACGGGTCCCTTTGAGCTGTATATCGGGAGCGAAGACAAGTGCACAATACTCCACGGAATTTGGGATTTGTCTTACCCAAGTGGACCGGCAGTGTTCAGCTTTAACAACAGGTACCTACTGCTGGGCTATTTCCTGCCCGCCAACTACAAATTCAAAGCGATCACGGACGACGATGATGTGGAGGATGCTGAGGAGCGGATGGAGGAAGATCAGGGCTCCGACGCGCCCATGGAGCCAACTCTATGGTTCGCTCAGGAGATCGCCGTCTACGACTACTCGTTACTACCTCAGGAACCAGTTCCCCTGGCCATTTCTGACTCTGAGCTGTCTGTCTGCTCACTTTCCACTGTGCCGAGCATGCGCAGCGAGGAGAAGATCAGCTGGTACGGAGAGGGTGAAGAGGCCGAGGGCGAGGAAGGTGGCGAGATGGAATGCTTCCCCTGTGAGTGCGATCTCACTGATCTCAGCGATGTCGAGACGGAGAGCGAGGTGTGTAAGATCGACGCCAATCCGTGTTGCATCGAGATCCTCAAGCAGCCCGAGTGTCCCGATCCTTAAGATTGTTTCTTCCATTCCGCATTATTTCGTTATTCTTTGTTTTCTGCGAGTGAAAAATATATATAAAAAAACTTTAACAAACATTTTTAATTGAAAAGATGAACTAATCTTAGGAAGCATAAATAGGCAAGTTGGTCTATAGTAAACGTTTTATTTATTATATAGTCTTGTATTTTCATACAATTTAATTAAAATTTGTCTGTTTTATTTTAAAATACGCTCTCTACAGTTTTGATGCTTTACACTCGTAATGTAATGAAATCACAAATGGGGGTCTCTTTTCAAGTATTATTGACATGATACCTTAGCGATAGATTCCAGGTGTGAGTAGATCTCAATTTTAAATTCTTTAAGCCTTGTTTTTGATCATCATTCGGTATAATCGTATGACTTGTTCCGATATTTTCTAATGTTCAGCACTTTGAATTCATATGTTTTGCTAATTAACTCTAAGTTTAATTATTGTTGTCTGCCTTACCATTATATCGTAATCATTAACATTAACTTCATTTGCAGATGCGTTTGATTTACTTGTTTACAATTTATATTTTCGTTAGTTTTTTTTATTATAATTACTAATTAAAAATTTAAAAAATCTCTAAGTGCTGGCAGGGGCAGCTTTGGGGGGAGAAGATGATGGTGAGGCATTTGCCAGCTTGCTGCTGGCCTGGCAGACATCTCCACAACTGGCGGCCAAGCTGTTGGACTCACAGCTGGACTCGGATGGGGGAGTCTCACTAATCGTTTCGTCGGTTGCCTGCTCCGTTTTACATAATGAGGCCTTGCCGCTTTCATCCAAGATGATGTTCAGCTTCTCCGTTCTCGCCTGCATTGCAGGTCCCATAGCTGTCTTTGATGTCAGCGAGGTGGTCTCCACGGGATTTAGGCGGAGCATTTGATAGGGCTCCTCGCCCTTCTTTTTGTAACTCATGAAGAGTGCTCCCGTCTCGCTGCTTGGAAACCTTGTAAATGGCCGGACAAGATTTCGAGTTCTTCACATCGTTCGTGTCCTTCAGTTCTGGCAGCTCCATTTGATTACCACTGCTCTTTTTTATAGGCTGCATCTCCTGCTCTTGGTTATTGTCCTCTACGCTTATACACTGTGACAGGGCAACTGCCGCCGCCATGGCCGCCGCCTGTCCACTGCTGCTTGCTCCTTCGGGATTCAGATAGAGCAACGGGGCATTGTAAAGCAGTAGTTGAGGTTCCATTTTAAAGTCGTGCTCCAACTGCTTTTGCTGGTCAAGATTCTCATCAATGTAGTTGATGTGAATGGGTGACGTCTGCAAATTAAGCTGCGAGCTATGCAGAAGATCATCATCTGGTGGGGTATAGTAAATGGACGCCTTGCTGGCTGAGTAATTGGCAGATAGGCGTGCTTTAATTTTTTGTATGTGCAGCTCCTTAGAGCCAGCAAAGTCCATTTGGCCTTTGAAGTAACAGTCTATGTCTGATAAAAAGTTATTAATTAAAAATTATAATTTATCTAGGATATCTGTATGCGATCTTACCCTCAGCTATATCTTCCTCACAGCGCCCGCGACAATTCTCGAAGTAAAAACTGGGTAGGTTTTCCAGCACCTTGTTCAGCGTCTGTTGCTGGTACTTGTATCCCTCCCGAAGGCGCAGCACCTGATGTGCACTGAACTTCCGGATTTTGTTTCTCTGGAAGACGTAGTTCTCTCGCACCCAGCTTAACTGACCAGTCGAGTAGTCACGCACTTTTTTCACCTGATCGTAATATTGATCTTTCAAAGTAGTAAGATGATTCGAACCTATATCGCGAAACTCTCGAATGTGCTTTGCCTGGCTTGTGTAGCTGCTCTGGATCCACTCTACTTGCTGAGCACAATTCTCTCGGATACGATGGACTTGCTGGGCATAGTTTTCGCGAAGCCTCTCCAATTGCTGGCTTTTGTAAGTCTCGATGCTGTCCAGCATGGCGTAAATTTGACGTGGGCGCGGTGACTTCTTATTCCGATTGGCACAGCAATAGAACCGATTAAAGATTCCCCAGCGTGACAGGCAGCTTCTCAGCCCCTGAACCATCAGGGTTAGCAGCAGGAAAGCGGTGGCCAGGGCCGTACCGAACAGTATGCTGCCGATTTTTACCCGGTAGAACACAATAGGATCGATGTATAGTCTGCAAAAAAAAGGAGTGTGATTTTAGTATCTATTAATCAAAATAAATGCTAAATAGGCCTACCTTAATCCTGCCGATGCCTTGCCCATCACATTGAAGGCATAACAAGTGTATAAGCCACTGTCAATTCGGGAAATATTATGTACCAGCAACGATCCGTTTTCCACCAGAACCACGCGCTGACCCACCAGACTCTGCTGACGTGTCAAGTTTAAGGACTGGATGTAACTCTCGTCCATCAGAGCAGCCAGCTCTTGTGCACTCGGTGGCTGATGAGCATCCTCCTTGCTGTCGATAATAATCGGACGCTTATCAGGATCAGCATGGTGGCGCAAAATCTTATTGCGGGGAGTAACCTGATAAAGATCAAATGATTAACACTCTATTGGATTCGCCGATTCCTATGTTCTTATGCTAAATATGTATACCAAATGGTATAAAAAATATGCATGACACTTTTTCGCTTACCCAAATAATGTCCGGCACTGGGCTGCCAGAAATCTGACACTCCAGCTTAGCGGTGGAGAGAAGCTTGTGCATCTTGGGCTCGGAAAACTGCACTACCGAGGGCACAGAGCAATTGAGATTGCTTAGCACACGGAGCATATCGCCGGGATAGCCATACTGACACTTTAGCGCATCAATTTGATGATCGATACTCTCGTAAGAGTCCAGTGGAGTTTGGCTGGGACTGGCATTATTATACTGTGCCTGCGGCGGTAGGTGGCGCAAACTAGTGCTGGTATTAGCTAGCCAGGCTGTCAGCCAGTACATGCTGCAGTCACACTGGTACTCGTTACCCAAAATATTTAGGTAGTGCAGCTGTCTGAGCTCCTTGATGCCCTCGGGCAGCGACCCCAAGCTATTTCCACGTACACTGAGTCGCTGTAATCGCGACAGCCCTGAGATCTGTGTGGGCAACTGCAGCAATCCGTTCTGGGCCAGCAAAAGTTCCCTAACATTGGGAGTATTGGCAAACAGAGTGGTGGGTAAATGGGTTAATTTCCGGTTCTGCTGCAGAGACAGGTAACGCAAACGATGTAGAATCTGTGGATCCACAAGCGACTCATCGTAGCGCGAGATCCAATTGGAGAACTGCTCGATGGGAGTCTCATCGATGCGTAGCAACACCAGGGAGCGCTGCCTCTGAAACAGGCCACTAGGCAATTGCTTGAACTGGTTCCGACTGAGATCCAACTGCTTGAGGGAATGCAGCGACTGGAAGATGATGGATGACAGCAGGGTCAGGTTGTTGCCGGACACATTTAAGGATAGCAGCTGGTCAAGGGACTCGAACGCCTTGCGATCGATGACGAACAGAGAGTTTTGGCTAAGGTCCAGCTGACGAAGTTCGCGCAGGCTATACAGACTGTGCTTGCCGATAGACTTAAGCTGATTTCGCTGTAGGTGAAGATGCCGTAGTTGCGCGTTGCGAGCAAAAAAGTTGTCCGGAAAGGAGAGCAGGCGGTTTTCGCTTAGATCCAGCACTTGAAGGTCACGTGCCGTCTGGAAGAGCTGGAATGGCAGGACGCTCAGGCGGTTTCCAGAGAGGTAAAGCCTCTCTAGCCTAAGAGCTCCTTCAAAGATCTCCCGAGGAAGCTCCGTCAGCAAATTCTGGCTGAGGTTAAGCATGCGCAGTTCACTGAGCTCACCCAGGAAACGCTGCGGTAAGAAGGTCAGTTCATTCCTGTCCATGTGTAGCTCCTGCAAATGCTTCATATGCTGCAGGTTCGTTAGGCTATTGTTGGAAAGCCGATTACCGCTGATCTTAAGTACTTTCAGGTGCCGTACCACTTTGGGTACAACCCAGTCGAGGCTCAGAAGGTTTTCAGCGAGTTTCAGCTGTTCCATGTTCTGAAAGTTTTGCGGCTGGCGATTAAAGAGCTCTCTGATCGATTCATCCTTAAGGTTACTGTTTTGCCAGGAGAACTCCCTGACACTCTCGTACTGTGGCAATTTCAGTGGATTACTGAGATCGGTAAGCACATGGACCAGCTTCAGCTGCTGATAGTTGACATGCGAGCTCCTTTTCGAGACGAGCTCCTGATTAACCTGTCTCAGCTCCATATTCTCACAGTTAAGCTTGAACACATAGGCCGTGGGATCCACTTGACCATCCGAAGGAAGTTCATGCTCCTCCACCTCTTCGCTCTCCGATCCGGCGTCCAGCGCGTCCAGCCACAGACCCTCATCACTGTCACTATCATCTAGATCCGAGTCCACTACATGTCCCACGAAAGGCAGATGAAACTTGTAGCCCAGAAGGGAGAACTCGTGCTCCTGCCAGGTTCTGGTCCTGGGCTTAATCTGCGGCCGATGTTGGTGTGGAATTTGGGCCAGGGACGCCTCAATGCTACTGTATGTGGCCTGGCAGTTGGTACTGTCGCCACTGATGGCTACAGCTGCGTTGACCACGACGAACAAGGCACACAATATCAGGGAAATCTTCGATATTGCTTCCATTTTTCAGTATGTAATCTCAAATATTTATATGGTCGCATAGTACACCTGCAATGTAATTAGGTAATTATTGTATTGATTATAATAACAACAGCCCTCAGATATGACTGCACTCTTTGTAACAAACTGAAACTCATTCTGCGCTCAGTATCAATAGAGGCTAAAGCCAACTTCTGGACACCAAAACCTCAACTAGACCACTTTAGCTTTTTGGATAATATTGATTTAAGCTATCACCTTTCGGGAGCCCGAAAAAATATCGGAAAATGAGGCAGAACAAGCTCCAAAATCAATATGTTAGGTAAATATTATAAATAAAACGAATGGCCAAGAAGGGAGAGGACGTCGAGTCCATTTGCGTGTCCAAATTGCGACGCACAGAAAATGTGTGGCACTATAAAGTGTAGGAATGTACGTACAAATGTATTATTCAGAGCGTCTCTTTTGAATAATGCATTATAATAGCGTCTGTCTGGACTGTGGAGGAGTTCATTATTCTCCATCTCCAGATTTATGTTCGCACGCAATGAAGAATTAAAACTCTACTGCATGGGAAGGTAAACTTCAAGTTTGTTGGAAAGTATAATGTAATGTAAGTAATAGTATTAGAATAAAATCTTTTTGAAATCTTTTACATCGGCACTTCTTAAAGAAATTATTAAATTTGTATTAAACTCACAAATTTCTAGTATTCATCGAGATAAGACCGATATCTATAATATATATAATGAAATTTTTAATCCCCAGTTCTTTTGCTGGCTGGCATATAAATTTTTATATATTTAAATTTTCATCGCATTTGTTTATAAACAGAAATATCAAATGAATTGCCGCACAGCAACCACAACCTGCATCAACAAACCAATTACGTTCAGTTCATTTCAGTTCCCAAGATTATTACTCAATGGGTCGAAGTCGAAAGACGGGGCAACTATAAAAGGAAATTATTGTATAATATCTTCCCTGTTTCAAGAGTAACTGACCCAATGCCAAACCGATTACAGTACAACTTTCGTAAAAATAACTAATAAAGAGTGAAGTTATATGAACAAAACAAAGTATATTTTATTTATTCTACTTATCGAAGGTTGACTGTAGTTATATAGAAGGCACTTTTTTTCCATTTTATATATATTTATATATAAATAGTTAAACCCGAGTAGGTGGTTGATAGGCTGATAAGAGCCAACGAACTCATAAAACTGATAAGCCGGTACTTGCGAAAGTCATCAAGATGGATCGTTGTAGGCGATTCAAATTAATAACAGCTCCCAGTAAAATAAATTCAAAGTAAATATTGTTATTGATGGAACATATTTAGTCCACAAGTTTTAAAGCATGTGGAAAAGGAATGGCAAAAATCTGGCCAAAACTGCTTGGCCAAAACAAATGCAAAAATAACAAAAAACCGATACAAAAATAGCCCAACACACAGACAGACAAAAAGCAATACATATTCAAATGCAGCAAAAAAAAAAATGCCACGAATTTAAGGCAATAATTAAATTAGTTGGCTTAAAAAAGTGAGAAAGTAGTTAGCAAAATGGAATGGAACCAATATGAAATACTACAACGAAAAAAAATTTGCATCAGCTGATATGACAATTAATCTATTGGGCAAACAAATAATTTAAATGCCGTTTTCATTGAGCTAAAGAAATTGGAGACGTCCGAAAGAGAGAGATATAGAGTGGGTTGCATAATCTATCATAGAATCCGAGCTCAAAACAGTGAAAAACAACCGTTTAACTGGGGATTAGGTATATAATACATACATACTAAATATACATACTCGCGCACACACACACAGATGTAACACCTGCTGACGTCTGAAAAGCCGCTAATGAGACAGGAGAGTATAAAAATACCAATAGACGAAATTTTTTTCTTCCAAAGGTAGAATCATTCCCCAAATAAAGATTTCCATTCCTTTCCGCCCACTCTTATAATTCATTCAACACTTATCCACTCCTTTACCTTGGATCTCATCGAAAAGTATGTGTGTGGATATGTGCACGATGCAGACGAAGATGTTGCCAAGGGCAACGTTTGCGGCTCTTATTCGGTTATAAGCCATGATATTTTTATGGAAAATTGGATCTCGGAATTTTAAAGCCACAAAGACTTATGGTTTTTGTGTTTTTTCACCCTTTGTGACTGAAGTTGCCGTTTGCTACGCACACAATTGCACCTGTGCCCTAACGAACTTTTAATTTGGCCTAATCGAAAGTGATTTACGTTTTATTTATAACAATAATTTACCATCACATATAAAATAATCCTATAATGATTTTATCTTTTATATATTATCTCACCGTTGTTTATAATCTATGCATCTTTTCGCGTCTTTTTTCGTCTTGGCCTCAGTGTGACCGTAGCTAGACTGATTAGGCAAAACCAAAGCTCTTAAAGAAAAATACCTAAAATATACAGCTTTCAATGAAAGAACACCGAACACCAAAAGCCAGTGTTGGGAACGGTTGAATAACCATAAACAACAGTTTTGTTAACTAAATAAGATAAATAAGAATAATTTATGAGTTTTCTAAGATTAGATTTTTTCTAGATTTGTTTTATTTCACTTTACTTTTTTTATACCAACATTTATGAAGCTCAACTTGCGAATGGGCCACACTTTCCTGCCCGCTACACACCCGGTCACACTTGAACTGCGGGCAAGTGGTTTTTTCGCGATAAAATTAGGGAATCTTGAGTTCATCCAATGATAAGCATTTTGATTATTGCCAGCGAAGCAGTCTACTCCATAAACCAAATACAGCTGGATATAAAATATAGAATCGAAATGCCCCGGTAATCGTCTGACGATAACCCTTTGATTCCGACTTTCGCTTTGCAGTCGTGGTGTTTTGTTATTGGGGCAGAAAAACATATTCCAAACGAGATTATAAATAGTCACGATGTGTGTTGACGTCGAAAGGATGCAAGTGCAAGTGCAGGAGGCACATATCGAGTGAGTCTGAATGCTCTCCAGAACCGATACGCCCCGATCTCGTAGAAATCAAGAAAATAGGTCGACATTTCGGGCAGAAGTAAGCATATTTACATTTTACGGTAGCCCATTTTACCATTCAAACGAAATTATTTGTAAATTATGAGCTAATTATAAGTTGGCTGTATCAATTAGGCTGGATTCGCTGTTTTAAAAAAGCTAAATCAAGCGGACCACGGGCTCAAAGCGGAGTCAACAAAGACGCTGCGAAGAGAAACGTCGGAATTGGTTTCAACAGCACACGTTCAAAGTGAAGGTCAACGTCACACTGACTCGAGCGGCAAGTCTGGCGGCCGAAACCAAAAGGCAAAGCGATCCGCGATTACCACCATCGGTAGTCTTTAGATAGCCAGCAACATGTTAACCGACTCCATCTCATCCTTTGCTCCTTGCCAGCGGCTAGTGCTTACCTTCGTGCTGGCCATGTGCATCCTGGTGGCATGCGTCCTCAGCACTGAAACCACCATGCCCACGCAAAACATGTCCAACAAGGAGCGAGCTGAGCTCAGGTAAATCTTTTATATATTATATAAATCCTTGCAGAAAGTACCATTTTTGATTTTAAGACTATTTACATTTTAGTGGTATGTAAATGTATGTATTAGTTAGAAACAAGCAGATTTCATTTGCATAACTTGTTTCAAAATTTAATTCAAGTATGACTTTTATACCTAAGTTAATGAGAATTCGTTACAAAATTTATTAAAGTAGTTTTAATATGGATACTATTGTTCTGGATATATACATATGTTTATCTCAACTATTTATAAGGCCCAGCTATATTGACTATAAAGATAAGGAATATATGAGATGCAAAACCCCCGTAATTCATTTCTTCCTATTAAAGCGCATTCTTCCAATTAAGTTCTGTGTTACTCTAGTGTTCTAACCATTGAAAGATTATTTCAAACTTGTGTGTTCGTTGGTTTCAGGGAGGAGGCACGCGAAATGTTTTATCATGCATATCATGCCTACATGGAGAACGCTTATCCAGCTGACGAGCTAATGCCGCTCTCCTGTAAGGGACGTTATCGCGGAGTCACGCCTTCTCGTGGCGATATGGACGACATCCTTGGAAAGTTAGTTAAAATTTATTAATTTCCATCCGGCAATATTAACATCCTTTTTTTTAGTTTCTCCATGACACTGGTAGACACTTTGGACACCCTGGTGTTGCTGGGAGATTTCACTGAGTTTGAACACGCAGTAAAACTAGTTATTCGCGACGTTCAATTTGACAGTGACATAATTGTGTCAGTGTTCGAGACCAATATTCGAATGGTCGGCGGTCTGCTGTCAGCTCACATCTTGGCAGAGTATCTGCAGAAGCATGCAGACACGATGCACTGGTACAAGGGGGAACTGCTGGAGATGTCCCGTGAGCTGGGCTACAGACTGCTGCCAGCTTTTAACACATCCACTGGAATTCCGCATGCACGGGTTAATCTTCGTCTGGGCATGAAGGATCCACAGCTTAAGAAATCCCGTGAGACTTGCACCGCATGTGCGGGCACCATTTTGCTAGAATTTGCCGCCCTGTCGAGGCTTACTGGCGATCCCATCTTTGAGGTACGAGCCCATGCAGCCATGGACGCTCTATGGAAACTAAGACATCGTGGTTCTGATCTTATGGGCACAGTGCTGAACGTCCATTCCGGCGACTGGGTACGTCGAGATTCCGGCGTGGGGGCGGGCATCGACAGTTATTACGAGTACCTGTTCAAGTCTTACGTCCTACTGGGCGACGACAAGTACCTGGCCCGCTTCAATCGCCACTACAACGCCGTAATGAAGTACGTCAGCGAAGGGCCAATGTTGCTGGACGTGCTAATGCACAGACCACACGCCAAATCCAAGAACTTTATGGACTCCCTGCTGGCATTCTGGCCGGGTCTTCAGGTGCTTTCCGGTGACCTCAAACCAGCCGTACAAACACACGAAATGCTCTACCAAGTATGTTTTCCTCTTTGCAATACATATAAGGTATTATAATTTATATTTTTCTATTTTCCAGGTAATGCAGATGCATACCTTCATTCCAGAAGCTTTTACAGTAGACTTCCAAATACATTGGGGACAACATCCCCTTCGACCAGAATTCATCGAGTCCACATACTTCCTGTACCGCGCCACTGGTGACCATCACTATTTGCAGGTTGGCAAACGTGCTCTGAAAACGCTACAGCAGCACGCTAAGGTCTCCTGTGGCTATGCGGCCGTCAATGATGTACGGACTGGCAAGCACGAGGATCGGATGGACTCGTTTGTGCTCTCCGAGACAATAAAATACCTCTTCCTATTGTTCTCCGATCCCCAGGATCTGATAATAAATGTCGACGAGTTTGTCTTTACGACGGAAGCTCATCTGCTGCCCTTGTCCATTGCCCAGCTAGGGAATGCCACGTTTAGTAAGTACTTAACTATTAGTTATTTGTCGTATTGATTTTAACACTACATTTCATTGCGCTTAATTGAGGCGGTTTGGTTCTTTGTAATCTTTGCTACCTTATCAGAGTAATCTTTACCACAAAAAGTAGCCCTTGAGAAGTTACCTTAATTGCCTCACAAAGAAACTTAATTGCAAAAACATTTTATACATTAGAAAACGGGAAAATATCAAGTCATTTATAAATGTCTAATTTTACAGGCTTTCGTCAGTCGGACGAACACAACGTACTCGACTTCATGCGCACCTGCCCCAGCTCAAATAAGCTTTTTCCTGAAAAGGTACGCAAACCACTGCGCAACTTCATTACGGGCTCGTGCCCGCGCGCCACCGCAGGAAAGCGACTCAGCGCCCTGGATTTTCAGGCAAGCAATGCAGATCATCTGCGAGCTGTTTATGACATGGGCATTACCATGGTTTCGGTAGGCGACCGCAGCCAAGGCAAGGTGCGACTGTTTCATAGTTTCTATAATGTAAGTTTTTTTCTGTTCCGCTTTTTGGTTTCGTTTGCATTTCGTTTGACTCTCTGTGTGGTCCCCATTGCACCACCAGTTTCCTCGACTTTCCGTTTCCTTCTATACGTTCTTCTCATCTTCATCAGTATACGGTTTATCAAACAATATTGTATATGTATGTTTCTATTTAGGCCAAAAGCCACGAAGAGGGCGAAATGGGACTACAGTTTATGCAGGAGATGCTAGAGCTGACTAAAATGCAAAGCATAAATCAGCTGGCGCAACTGCAGGTTTGAACATTTAAATTTTAAGGGATATAGTATTATAGGACTTAACATATCTTCAAAAATTAACAGGCCGTAGCCTACGCCACCGATGAGAAGGCTCAGGACTGGATCGCCCTGATGGCCGGGCCATCGCATTTCAGCCCGGAGTTAATTGGAGATCAGTTCGTCCAAGGTGATGTATTACTGGCCAACCCGCTTCGGGCCTGCGATGAGAGCCTGGAAAATGCCGAAGAAGCGAGGGGAAAGGTACTGGTGGCTGAGCGCGGTGATTGCACGTTCGTGAGCAAAGCGCGACTGGCCCAGAAGGTGGGGGCGGCAGCGCTGATTGTCTGTGATAATGTGCCGGGCTCTTCCGGCGAGACGCAGCCGATGTTCGCAATGTCCGGCGACGGCAAAGACGATGTGCTCATTCCAGTTGTCTTCATGTACAGCGTGGAATTCGGAAAGCTGTCGGCGGTGATGGAGCGAAGAAAGCTTCCTCTTCGCGTTCGCGTCATGCAGATGGTGGAGTTTAAACGTTGGCAACTGGCCAAGGCGCAACGACAAAATCAAACCGCTGCAGTAACACAGAAGCCAGATAAAGAGTTGTAGTGGACTGCTGCTGCTTCAGCGCCCTCAGCGTTAACTATTATTTTTGGGCTACTTACCGCTCTAAAATGGTTCTCGCCAAAATAGAGATATATATATATTCGTAACTTGTACAGTAAGCGATCGTAACTAATTTTGAAATTCTTGTACTTTACTAGACATGTAAGAACGATTCGATGGCGCGAGTTTTTAAGCTCCTCAGTTAACGAATCTTTGCATTTCGTGGTAGGTTCTCAGGCAGGCAATTGGCTTCCTAGTGGCTATATGATTACCGAATAGGAACGGATATCCACATTCGCGTTCATTCTGATTGTATATTTGGTCCACCTCACAATTTTTTAGATGGATTTTACTTCTTCGTGTAAGACATGTGTACATAAAAAAATTAGAACTTAGTAACAAATGAAAAATAATTAATGTTTAATTTTAAGAAAAATTAGTGAATAATGTAGAAAGTCGGGAATTATCGACAAACGATAGTTGAAATTGTTTAGTTCTTATACAAAAAAAAATAGTCTTAAATATATGACAGATGATGAAAAAACCAAAACAATAAAATGAAATTTCTTAAATAATTTTGATTGTTCTTAAAGTGACATTTCAAGTAGCTAATAAATTATGAGATCTTAGGCACGCTCTAATCAGGACTAAGGACTTTTGACCACGTACTATTTTTGTTTGGGCAAAACTAATAAACAATAAACGTTAACATTGTATTTTAAATAGATTTCTTTTTAATGACATACATTTTCTTCCATTTTGGTGTTTTCTTTGAACTAAAAATATGACACATCCACTGCTGCAGTTGATAAAAGTAAAAGTATTTGAATTCATAGAACTATGATACCTTAAGCTAAAGTTTTGTTTTTCTTTTAGAAAAATTAAAAAGAACCAAAGAAACAAAAACACTTATTCAATGATAGCGCAGAACTTACTTAAAATTCTTAGGCGAAATGTCGATATTATTGTATGATAATAATGTTTAGGGCTAAAGGGCTTAACACGTAACTAATTATAGTTTCGCATATATTTGAACTACATGTTTTGGGCTGTCAGCCAGAAGCATACATATTTGGGGATCTGAAAACTCACAGTAAAGGCGATATTCGTGTTGTGTCTTGTAAATGATCTTTAACAAGAATTTTGATGAGAAAACAAGTTTTAACGTTACTGGTACAGTTCTACGCCAGGTGTTTCTGTTGGACAGCCAATTTCAACATGTGATTTGCAATGCTATCTACAGTCAGTGTATCCGGGGACATCTCGATCACCTGGGATTTCTGGCGTGCATAAAACCGCTGCGCTCCGTTACTTTGCGGTGCCAAATAGGTGAGCTGCCTCGGATCGGCCGCACTTATCCAGACCTCGTCATTCAACGCAGACTTGATAATTAAATGATCTCCTGTGTTAACGGCCTCTGTTGTATCGCAAAACTGCGGAGATGGCAGACGGTGTATTTGCAACAGGCGGTGCGATGGCGTGGCATGAGACAACTCGCAGGCTATTACGTGCACCTCAGCCGGGTTGTTTGGCTCCATAAGGAGCTGGTAAAGTACTAGCATGCTACTTTGGTCCATATCGAGACTAGGATAGTGCATGGCAGATAGGCACCGGCCCAGAGGACGACCCAAATCGTAGTTCATTAGAGTGTCGCCGCTGCGATGGTCCCACACGGTGATTCGTGTCTGCCCATAGCCGATTAGGCGATCCTCCGAAAGGCACTCGATGTGGCGAAGCTCGTGGCGCAGCTGCTTAAACTCTCGAATGGAGGCCAACGTATCCAACGTGGGCGTCAGCGAGTATTTGCAGATGCCCGAACGAGACTTGCCCATCACCAGTTCCTGCTGCCAGGCCATAACAAAGTAACGGGACTCGGCAATGGTTGTGTAAATGACATGCGGCCATTCGCTAAAAGATCAAAATGTATTATAATCATGGTTATAATAGAAACATAAAATGACTCACCAATTGACAGCGTCCAAGTGCACAGAATGCATGCGAGGCCGCAGTTCCTCCTCACAAAAGTAGTATACGTTTACATGCAACGACGTTAGCTTGACCTCTCGTTTATGATGGTCCAACGGCCTGCTTCGCATTTCAAGGTAGACTGGCGTCGAATTGTGTACACAAATGCGACTGCCAAACGGCGTAAAAATCTCCTTTTCTATAATAATACAAGAGATTATATAGGGTCTAAATATTACTGATTCCGAATGTTTTTAACCCACCGCTAGTTAGGCGCCGAACTCTTCCTAGGTACACCCATCGCGGGCCAACATCCATCTCCTGATCTGTGTCTTTAGAATTCCGAGGATGTAACTGAGGTGCAGGCGATTTCCTGACTACATCAAAGGAGGTTTGCTGTCGTGGTTGATGCAGCACGTTAAACACTTTGGAGTATTTCCAAAAGGTTACATAGTTCTCCTGCAGCACAATGAGCTGTTCTAGCTCATAGTACATATACAAAACCTGACCGTGCTTAGCGGAAAGCGGATTTGCTAGAGTCGATGAACCTTCGCTGAGCCGGAGCAGGCCGCCTGGGGGAGTGGTCAGGACTTGATCAGCAGGATTAACCTTTCCGGCTTGCTGGCGAGGACGACGCGGCTCCGCATTTAGTGGCGGGGATATGGGCGAAGGCGGGTAAACAAGCACGGGCTGTGCGTAAGGCGATTGAGTAATGGTAGGGGAATGAACGTGGGTCAGGTCTGCAGTTTCTACGACAGCGGAGTCAACCAGATGATTGTGGGGATCAAAAAGATCTTTCTGGACTTCTCTTGCCAACTCTGTAATCCTTAGCATTGTGTTAGTTGGAACAGCGTCTGGAATCGTGTTGGAAACCGCTTTAAGATTAGCAGGCAGCGATTTCGCTCGCGACCTCTTAGTTCGCTTCGTTAGGCGATCGGGAGCTTTGGTTGCACTTGTCGTTGCAGTGGTATTTTCCTTAACACCCTTCACCTTGCGGGGTGTGTTCGGCGGAGCCAATTGCTGCTGCTGCAGGCGGTGCTGTTCAGGTAGGCTCTTGTCAACTGGCTCGGGTCTCCTGAGACCCCCCCGTACAATCTTGGGCATAAGGACCTTTTTGGCGCCTTGTGCTGTTCCGCCGCTTAGTCGCTTAACTCGTCCCAGAGCCACTTCGTCCGAGAGGGCGTAGCTTTTGAGTAGACTAACCTTGCGGTTTCGCAGAAGCTTCGAATTAAGATGTGTGGTGGAACGAGTAACCAGATCGCGGACCCTAGCCTGCTTTCCAGAGCTGGGAGCGCCTACTGTAGTACGTCGACGCTTTGTGGCAGTTACTGGTTTTGAAGCTCCATGCGTTTTCCTGTGCTTGATAACCTTTGGCGACTGAGGTGATAAGACTGGAGACGAAGCTTTAACTGGACTGGTTATTATAGGATTTGCCTTCACAGGTCGGGAAATTACTGCGGAAGGACGCGGTGCACTCAACTCACTAAAAACTTTATCTATATGAGCGGATACAGGTGAGGTGCGAGACTCCTGTCTGCCTGGCGATAGAGCCTGCGGCAAGGCATTGCTTGTAGCCTTGATTATGTATATCGATGGCTTGGTCTCGCGCGCCTGGCGCAAGCGTTGCTGCATGCTTTCCAACAGCTTAGATTGGGCAGGAGCAGCAGCCTCGTAGACCTTGGCAAAGGCCGCTTCAACATACTGAACCCGTCTATCCTTAGGCTCCCTGTTTTCTTCCTGTTCTTTTTTTCCGTCATTTTCATTTGGGGACCTTTGATTTTGCTGTTCCGGTTTCTTGGGGGATTGGCTTCTTTCTCGGTCTTTTGAAGACCTTTGCGTTGCTAATTTTTTGGGGGACCTGGGTCGCTCTTGCTCTAAGCGTGATTTGACCACAAAGCGTTCTCCTTCTTCCCGGGAATGAGAGCCGTATAAGTGGTTCAACGGGCGCTGATGTCCTGCAGATATCTGTCTGCTTAAACTGGGCACTGCATCGGCCTCTGGAACAGATTCTACTATCTGAGGCGCTAAGGTTTCTTCTTTATCAGTGCTAAGCTCACTGCTGGTGGTCAGATTTATCTTTTTGTCCTTATCCTGCTGCCGTTCTCGCTCTCTCTCCCGCCGCTTTCCACGCACATCGCTACGCATTCTATCCAGCTGGTGTTGGGGTCGAACTCGGAGAGATCGCCGGGCCACAGTGCTGTTTGCCAGCTCTCTCATTGCTGTAGCCACTGCATTAGCCGTAGACATTTCTGTGAGACCAAGATAGTTGCAGAACTCCTGTTGCTCGTAAAACATGCTATCGTTTGGGCAACTGACGTACGGTCCTTGATTTTCCATTTGAACTTCTGAAAATTAGATAAAAATTTCAATATAAAAAATTTAATTAAAAATAATCATTAACGAAATTTAGGACTTTTACCTGGTGCCTGTGATAATTCCTGGTAGCGATACATCTGTTGCTGCATCTTCTGATCCCTAAGCTTTTGTTGTTGGATTTGCACTTGCTGGCGCATAACATCCAGGACAGCATTAGCCAATTGCCGGCCTTCTGAAGGTAGACGACCGCTTGAATCAGGCTGCATTTCATCAACAGGTTCCTCTGCTGCAGCGGCACACGGTTGAGCATTGGAAATAGATGCAACCAAGTCTAAGTTGACGGACGATTCCATTGTTGGTGCAACCGGACTGCTATCCAAGTCCGTAGTAGAGGTATTCTTGGTGAGGTTCGGCTGCTCGGTGTTCTTTACATCAGATTCGTCTGGGAGCACTACCTCGACTTCATCCGGTTGTTGATCCACTTGCAGTTCCTCCTCGGGAATCAACGTGGTGACGGAGGCGTTCTCCATTCCTACGACCTCGTAGCAATCGTCATCGTCGTCGTCTAGCACAATAGTCTCCTCGGTGGGCAATATATGCAAGAAGTGACGGTGGACCGGTCGTTCCGCAGACTGAGAGCTGGCTTGCTCTTGAGTGGACTCATCAGAAGTCTGCATACTGTCGCGGCTAGGCTTCTCCATGTTGCGAGCCAGTGTTTCGCAAAATTCGAGAAAGTTGTGCTCCTTTTGTGGCACCTTAGCAGCTTCATATTGGTGAAAGGCGGCATCAAAGCTCTCTACATCCTCGACAGCCGCCCACTCCTCGCTAGCCGCGGTCTCCCAACTAGAGACCTTCTCAGCGGGACTCATCTGCGGTTGTGCTTGACAGATGCTAGCCAGCCTTCTATCCATAGCCTCTCCATGTAGCGTATTCTTCATCAGTGGCGTATACTTGCGTTTTAAAGGTGCGACCTTGGACGGAGAGTGGCATCCCGTTAACTCGTCTTCAAAATCGTAGTTGTAGCTGGCATTAGGCATAGAGGAGGAGCTGACTGGGAACTCTGTGGGACTACTGTGCTCGCGGGGCAACTTTCTGTGCAGGTTATTTGGGGGCGGCTCCTGCTCCTCAGTGCTGATGTCGATTGGATGGCCTGTCGCTTGGTGTATGATGCCGTCTTCTTCTTCATCGTCGTGGTCTTCTAATTCATGATCATACACCTGACAAATGTCTGGGCGTTCCTCCTCCATCGGTGTATCGTCTATGAATGTGGCATTCTCGTTTTCCTCAGGCGCTTCGTCCTCCACCAGTTCCTGATGCACCAGTGGCTGTTCCAGAGCTGCGTCACTAAGGTACACATTGTTTCCAGCTGCTACACGTGCACCGTCCTCCCCAAAATCCTCAACCACCTCCTCAATGTAGTTAGCCCCATTGATGCACTCATTCGCACTATTTTCCTCGGGCATCAGACCCAACAATGCTCCAGCTCCATTTCCGGCCATTAGGATTGCCCTAGCGAACTCTTGCTCACAGGCCACCCCTTGTGTAGCCACTATTATCTCACAACAGTGCTCCTCCGCTAAAACGACCATGTTTTCTCCATCTACGGACTCGTATATTACACACTGCTCTCCACCAGTGCCCATCTGATGTTCATGTTCAGCCTCAATATTCTCTTGTGGCATCATAGCGAAATGGTCGACGTTGCCGTTGGTCAGCACTACGTCGGGACCGTTTACTACTGCCTGCATTAGGGCAATTGCCGGGTCCTGGTCTGCTTCGGGCGAGTCTGCAAAACAAGTGAAGGTATGGTGATAAAAGTAATGTGGATTTTCGTATTTTGTTTGGTGAAACATATAATTTTTTAGAACATAAAATGATATAAATATATGTATATGAAAATTGATATCCCAGAATATGTTAAAATAGGTATCCTATTTATAGCGTAACCCACCATTAATCTCGATGACCTCGTGGCTGGTGCGTGGACGCTTGGTCGGTGTGCAGGTGTTCCATACCGGAGCTGGGGAGGCCTCCTCTGTGACTATTAGGTGTCTGCGCAGTCCGTAGATAAAGCGTTCATTTTGGCTTTCGAAACTGGCGGACAGATCCTCTTCCGGCCAGCCCTTGAAGCCACTGCTACTCGAGATAAGGCTGTGGATGTCCGAATCGTCGGAGATCACGTGCAGCATACTGTCCACAGCGGGGTCCAGGTCTGGTCCTGGCATTGGGGGTTCTGTGGCAGATGCAGTGGGCACATGTAGCCGTTCCTTATCCTCAGCCACGCCCGATCCCGTGTCTGGAACATCGACCGCCTCCGCATCCACCTCGTCGCCTTCCAGCGGCGAGTAGCAGTTTAGCAACTGCTCCTCCGCCGTGAAGTAGGCCATCAGACGGGATTCTCTCCTGGACATCGCGTTGTTTAGGGGGATGGATTACCTAGCCCTCGTCAAATCGTGTAGCAATTGTGGTAGGATTTCTTCTGAATTTAGCACGTGAAATTTAAAAAATGTACTTGATGCTGTCTACAAAATAATGCCCGATCTGATTGTGGTCGTGCATGATTACATTATCGAGGCCTTGTTGATTTCTTTCGATTGTTATATTTTGTATTCCTGCGTGCTTTGCTTGTATATTTCTTATTCGGCAGGCTTATTTTTTGATTAGCTGCTTTATGCAGTAGGAAATACCGTAGAAATATACCACATTGTATAAGAAAAATACCAACAAAAATATCATCATTAATTTTACCGAAGACCCTAACCAACACAAGAAACAGGGACCCCTGGTTCTTATTATACTAATTAATTTTTGAAAAACTTTTAACTTATAACGGAAAAGCTTATAATATTGTTTTTATATTATTATTTTATATTATGCAATAACTACTTAAAAAATATGTATTTCTTTCCTATTTCTACTTAAAAAAAAACTATCTATTTCTTTCCATTCTTTTCTATAAGAAAGGTATATAAATAATATTTTTATTCCAAAACCGGATAGATACCTCCATTTCTAAACACGTTGAGTTAAGCAATTGACTGCTTTTAGATGTGTGATTTCTAAATATAACTCAATAATTTAAATCTTCCTTATTTTTAAGGTTTTTAATAATAATTATGATTCATGTTTTATTGCTTAAACAAATAATATTTTACACATTTTTAAAACTTTTAATTGTATAAATTAAAATTTACATTATTTGATCTAAATTTGAACGATATAATTTTGCTTTTACTAGCAATAAACAACTTTTGTTCTCAATCAGCTGTTGTTGTTTACAAAAACCGCGATAGTTGGTATTAATCGCATCTATGGCTTGAGGTTTAATTGGACAAAGCCTTCGACGGTCACTCTGCTCTCACGGTAATTTGGAATTGCGAGAAAAGAAATGAAAGAATCGGAAAAAAGGAAACCCAAGTACACCGCACTTACACCCTGAAGAAGTTCCCATGCGCCCGCGCGCTGATAACGAACGTCTGAGAATCTGAATCCCGAGTCCGATTGCGTTCCGAGTCTGAATCCGAAAAACTGAGTAGCTCGGGAGGTAATGGGAATAAATATATAGCGGGCGTCGTCGTCGTAGCTCAGAACAAATAACACAGCTCTCGTAGCGTGAACGTCGTAGTCGAGTTTCCGCCTTGAAGTCTAAAAAAATCATAAAATAACAAACGGCTTTCAATTGACTCAATCACTCTTTCGTCTAAGTCTAATGTACGTCGGTTGAGAACCGTGTTCTAAATAAAAACGATTGGAAAACTCAATAAGTCAACGATGGAGAACAAGCGGGCTAATGGCGATACCGGTGCCTGCAATGGACATTACAAGGAGAAGGATGTTCGCGTTTGGTGCGACGGATGGTGAGTCATCTCATTTTTAACTGAAGTCTTCTCCCTGGGATATCAAGAATCGGGCAATAATTAACGGTTCAGTTTTTCATTGCGTCACGTCACTCGCTGCTCATCGGTAACGGCACAGTGAGTCAAAGCAGAACGACAATACGGTCGCATCGATTCCATACAATTCCAAGACTCGTAATCAGCGTCCGATAAACTAAACCCCATTTCGAGGCGTGTTAAGAAGTGTTCAGGGTTTTTCAATTGATTAGCGAAAGTGTGTGGAACTGTGAAACGGTTGTCATCGTCTCAGTTCCCGCTCTAATGGGCTCTCATTGTCGACCGGCGAAAAATCTATTTCAAGTTCAAGGTCTCCCAATGCCGAAATATCCATACTCTCCACGGTAGACCGATCACTGCAATTCTATGTAGAATACCATTTATTTATATTTATATAAATAATGTGTATATATTGTTGCATCAGTTTCGGTTTATAACGTATTTTTTTGCTTTTTATATGGTGTTTATTTTAATAGTCAAATACAAAAAATCAAGGATTCTTCTTGTATACAACTTATTCTCTGTCACGAATTGTACAGAAATACAAAAAAGAAACTTGGAACTTCTTGTATACTTATTCATCGTCACAAATGAAGAATTATTTTTTTGCTTTTGCAACTAGAATTTTTTGTTGACATGTTTATTTTATAAATGGACATAGTGTATGTATTGGTCTCTGTCTCTGACGTACTTAACCGATTTTGGTGACCACCAAATTGTTCTATAAGCATTGCGCTCACCTATAATCATTTGATTTCGTGCAATGCATCACTGAGAACCGGTTTATCTTTATCGGGAATGACGCATTAGACGGCGATATGGATGGATGGCCTACCATAACAAGTTTGTCTGCTCTATCAGACGACAGAAATTTCCTCAATTGTGGCTTCCGCCAAACGTTTTCAGAAGTAAAAATAAAAATACATCTATTGTTTATGTTCACCCTCGCTCGTTCTCTCTTCTGTGCATTCTTACTCAACGAATAAACAATGGCACACGCCCAACAAACAAAAGTACATATATTCATCGTACGATTCTCTGTATGTACACACGAGTGCGATACAAACATACATATATGCTCTGGCTAAACCACTGTGTCAGAACATAATTCCTTCCCTTTCTTTATTTTTTTTTTTTTTTGTTCAACAGGAGTTTCTGATTTTCAGATGAGGGCTGCATTTACGTGGCCCTTGTTGACTGTGGCTGGCCGACGGTTGCTCTAAAATATCACGTGATTCAGGACTGCGCATGCCCCCTCGGCAATGCCCCACACACATTTTGCACCACCATCATGGCCAATGCCTCGCCATTGACCCACAATACTGTCGTCATCGTCTGGCGGTCTTTTATGTGCTTAATTTAATTGGCATTTCGCTGGGCTTCCCCTGCCCTTAAGTATCACAAGGGACCGGCTTATTTTAGGAGGCTATTCAAATTATAACCGCTAATTTTAGAGATCGAGGTTGTGTTCGTTGAAAATGTATGTACATATGTACAAAATTCAAGAAAAATATATATTTATTTTAGTATTCAAGACATTATTATCCATAGATCAGTCCCATATATGTCTTATAAAGATGAATGAAATATTTTTATCTAAGAACTCAATATCAATATTAATCATACAAATTCAAATAATCATTCTAATACGATGTTTCAATTGATTTTTTAAATTTCATTTTTAATATTTCTTATCACTAATTTATGGTTTTAAACAAGCAATTAATTAAGAGCGGAGAAATAGTTATCAAGTTCATAGGCATTTCCGGGTATTTTTGGCAATCTCTTGTGTTCCTTTTACTCACATTGTCAATGGGTCACAACCCACCACTGTGGAAGTCCTCCAGCTAAGGCTGATAAGACTGACCGACAAATCGTCGTACCCGTACTCTCAACCAGATTAACACAACTGAAATTCCACATCAGCTGGCTTTTCGGCAAAAACAAAAAGTATAAACAACATTTTTGTGGAATCTGCCCAATAACCCAGCAGATGGGGAGCACATGTGTGTGACTTGGACCCAAATATTCTAATCAGCAGAGATTGATCATTGACGCAAACACAAGTGCTCGGCTTGTCTTCTCCTTTCTACCAAAGTCAATGAACCTGGACTGTGGTGGCAGCAAGTTGAAAAACAAATGAATGGGGCACTCGTAATATACTGTAAGAGAACTCGGGGCCTCCGGTCTGCCCCTCCGAAGTCAATCCACTTTACTAGCCTGGGGTTCGTCGTCAGAGAACAAATTCTAGGGAGAATCGCGTGATATTTTTTTAATCAGCAAACGGGCGTCGGCGTTGGTTTGGTGGTGTTGCTGCTTTCTGCTCACTCAATTGATTAAGCGGCCCCTGGGTCTGTTCTACATATAGAGTACAATGCTATAATATGTACATATAGTATGTTCGGCACAGATTTCTTTCTGCTGCAAAAATCTCCGGGAGCAAAGGTTTCGCTTCGATTAATGAATGGCCCACGTTTTTACTAGCTGCTACGGATTGGTCTCCGGTTTGTTACTATCGGACAAATCAAGGGACTCGCTTGCACAATCGATCGTTTATTTTTAGTTCCTATACTAGATAGATTAAAAGGTTTTAATACATACACTGCTAACTCTTATAATATTAGTAACAGTTTCGAGGAAAAACAATTTATTTGGAAATCTCTAATCTTAATTGGGTGTTGGTTCTATAATTTTAAATTCCGATCCCCCCAGAATCGATAAAAGTAAAACAGTTAAGCCTGATAATGGTGACGTTTTTACTTCTTATCATAAGTAATTTGGCAAAGTGGTTACGTTTTTCATCATCTTTCAGGGACCATTTCATGAATCACTTTTAAAGGCTTATTGATGATTGGTATTAATATTATAAATATTTTTATTTGAGTTATCTGTTAATTAATAACATAATCGCGTTTGTTTGAAGTGCTAAAATTTCATTCCTCAGTAAAATGCAATTTGAGCTGCGCCCCACGTCCTCTAGATGCTATTATCGCTTTCTCAAGCCAAACAAAAACCAGGCCATGGCACGTGTGCCTATAACCATACTGCTTAGAATCGGCTGGGAATGTAAACAACCTGAATGGCGCTATTTGCGAATATGCGGCCACTGAATAGCTGACGCAGCAGCGTTCATAATTGCAATTAGAATTGCAAAACGTCCAAGCAACGCCATTCCATTCCATTGATATCGCCCGCCCAGGTTGCTCCATCTCAACATTTTGGCATACCTACTCTGATGATCGGGTCCAAAGATCAATCTTTACCAATGCTGTGCAAAAGTAGATCACGAAACCCGCCGGGGGATAGCGACCTGTGGTCAGTCAGCTACTGGCCATTAAAAGCACTCGACCAGACATCATTGACGCGCTCCGACGACAGCGTTTTATGTAAATTATGTAAATGGCCTGCTTGAACAGCTTTATCGCTTATGTGGCCTGGGTCATAAGCAGCACCACTTGGACAAAGGTTTAATCGGGAGTTACCTGTTTTCCCCCATTACATTAATTACCGGAATTCCTTCTGAGCGTTCGTTACTAACCTACATTTAGGAGTTTTTCCATTGGAAGCGATAATTTTTGTTTGTTTGTTTTTCGAGACTATATGGCTCAAAACGCTGCTTATCTCGCTAGCTTAAATTTGCTAATTTTAAGAAATATGTGCCATTTTTGTGAGTCACATTTGTAAAACAAAGAACGCAATTCGTCAAGGCCGTTGCAGTGCATGCTCTGCACTTGTCGAAGTAATTGTTCTAGTTCCGGAAATGGGAGACAACATTTCCGGTAGCAATAACCGGCCATGTCTCGATAAAAGCAATATATTCGATGTGTATTCTTGTACTCCGGCACGCGCATGATAAAAAATGATTACTTTCGTCGAATAACGTTACTAATTACATTTCCTTTCTCTCTGAACAGCTATGATATGGTGCACTTCGGGCACGCCAACTCTCTGCGACAAGCCAAAGCTCTTGGCGATAAGGTAATTGTGGGGATCCACACCGATGAGGAGATCACCAAGCACAAGGGACCACCAGTCTTCACCGAAGAGGAGCGTGTTAAAATGGTCAAGGGCATCAAATGGGTGGATGAGGTGGTACTCGGTGCTCCGTATGTCACCACTCTGGAGGTGCTAGACCAGAACAACTGTGATTTCTGCGTGCATGGCGGTGGGTAAAAAGGACTTATTTTATTTGATTACTTTACCTAAATCGTTTTTTTTTTGCAGATGACATTACAATGACTGCCGAAGGAGTTGACACATATCATTTAGTCAAGTCAGCCAATCGTTATAAGTGAGTATGAAATGATATTTCTATCGGCATTTGCCCTTTAATAAACTGTCAGCTGTCTTATATTCCACGTTCCTAGTTTTCCAATAACTGACTTTAAATTTCTTTATGCAATCCACAGGGAAGTGAGACGCACTGCTGGAGTTTCGACCACCGACCTTGTGGGTCGCATGTTGCTCCTGACACGCAACCACTTCCGTCAAGGATCCGCCGAATACGATATCGAGAAAGAAGGTAGCTTCAGCTTGTCTCAATGCTTTTTCAACTTCATTCAATTTTCATTTTAATGTCACTGAATCACAGCGAAGAAAATTTCATTTTTGTGCGCCATATTCATAGTTTTATTTTAAGTCTAATGTACTAACATTAACGGTATGATATAATTTTTTTATTTGCACTCTCCTTATCTTTATTTCTCTTTTTGTTATTGCTCTTGCATGCTCTACATAAACAAAACTCAATCAAACCGTTCTAAGTATGAACTATATTAAAAAGATATATTTGGTTTGTTCATGGATCACGCACGCTTAGTTTATACTTTTACCTAACTAGACTCCTTTCCAAGAGTTTATTTTTTGATTTGCCATAGTTGAACGTCAATAACTCCTTGGTTTATGTTGCTCTCTACAACTTTACTATTTCTCTTCTTTTTATTTCTATGTACGCACTGTTTACCACTAACCAAAATATAATATAATGTATGAAACCTCTGAAAAATATGCTAAAACCTCAATATGCAAACTGCTATGTGCGTGTGCGCGCCCGCGAAATGAATCAAAAATGCCAAACCCAACGACCAACCTGCAATCAAAATACCCAAATCCGAATCCAAATCGAAATCAAATCCTAAACGTAAATTTTCGCTCTTAAATACACACCTGCTCATTTGTCTGCGTTGCTTTACAAAATACCAATACCAAACAAACAGTGACAATTTTAAAACGACAAATAAAATCCCATCCAGGTTCTTCGAACATGGGTCAAGATTCGGCAGCCAAAAGTCCATGGACCGGCTGCAGTCAGTTCTTGCCGACCACCCAAAAGATTATACAGTTCAGCGATGGAAAATCACCAAATCCTGGTGATAAGATTGTAAGTTGAAAGCTTATTGTATCTAGTTTGGATAAATTTGACTGACTTTGCTCACTCTGTTACTTCAGGTTTATGTGGCTGGTGCCTTTGATCTCTTCCATGTGGGTCACCTGGACTTCCTGGAGAAGGCAAGCAAATTGGGCGACTACCTCATTGTCGGCCTGCACACAGATCCCGTTGTCAACTCTTACAAGGGCAGCAACTACCCAATTATGAATCTGCACGAGCGCGTTCTCAGCGTTTTGGCCTGCAAGGTAAGATTGCAAAAGAAGTTTCAAATGGTGGTTTTTTCTAACATTCATCAAACATTTTCACAGTTTGTCAATGAGGTTGTGATTGGGGCTCCCTACTGCGTCACTGAAGAGCTGTTGGATCACTTCAAAATCGATGTAGTCTGCCACGGACGCACGCCCATTGCACTGGAGAATGGCAAGAGCGATCCGTACGCCGTACCAAAGACGCGAGCCATTTTCGAGCTGATTGATTCCGGGAATGATATGACCACCGAAAGGATCGTCGAGCGGATTATTTCGCACCGACTGGAATATGAGCGTCGCAACCAGGCCAAAGAAAAGAAGGAAATTGAGGCCTTCGAGGCCCTTCAACGCCAAAAGCAGACCCAAAAGGCCGGATAGCCGGAACCTGATTCCGACCTTTCACACTAGACGGATGTTTTATATATTTTAGTTGCGTTTTTTAGTTTGTCGTCTCGTTTGTTATGACGTTTTTGTTATGTTGCGTTAAGAGCGATGCGACGCTGCCAGAAATGCCGTAAAGTTAAAAAGGGCTTGGACACGGCGTTCCGCTCGCTTGATATCTAGTACAATTTTTTAATAGCTGCGGGTTGCACAGGCGGCTCTTAGCAAGCCTTAATGATGTAAAGTTATATACATATATATATTTGTAATACCTTAATGTTTCCTATTTAACATCTAAATTTTATGTATGTAAGCTCAAAATTTGTAAATTCTACTGTGTATGTTGTAAGTGTTGCGAAAGAAATCAAGTCAAAATTGAATTGAGAACTACAAAATTTTACGAAATATATGTAAGGCGAATAACAAAGATAATCTGTGACTTGTTATCCAAATGGTTGGCATACAAGAAAGCCGTATACTAATTGTATATATTTACAGCAATGTAACGCAAGTAGAATGTCTTGGCCAGGAAATGGCTGCTTTTATCAAAAGAAATCTCCGATACTTTCTCCTTATTTATTAATGCATAAACTAAGTGCAAGTTCAAGTTTTATGTTTCAATGTTTAATCTTAGACTTAAATACATGGCCAAAAATACTGCTCCAATTTTCGGTAGTTTTACTCCTTAGTTATATTTTTAATTCGTTGACCACCTTTAGCTCAATAGTTATCATTTGCTGCCACACATCCAGATCCATTAGTTCATTAAGGTCTTTGAAGCTGATGAGGATCACGTTGCTGTCGGTTTTAATGAATTCCCTACAGGGCTGACTCGACGGCCACGGTACTAAAGGACGAGCTTTGATCTGCTTGGAGTAATATCGCGTCGATTTTGCAGGTTTGACCAACAGTCGCAGCGTGATGGCCACACCTTGCAGGGGAGTGGTCGCCCAAATAGCCAGAACCTCGTGCTTGACTCGCTTTCTTTCCCATAGCATTGAGTGAGATGTTCGGCAGGCGAAGATCATCAGAGCGCTGTGCTGGGAAAAGTGGCGGTATTCTGGCGGCAGATGGCTGTTCCGGTGACATTTTAAAGGATTGAGGCCTGTGCGACGGTAGCCAAAGACACCCAATAGAGTATTAACATCAGTTTCCAGGTTACTAACGTGGCAGGTTACGGATATTAGCTTGCCCATTTGTAGTTCGAAAAACGGAACACCCATTCCCAACAGGTGGTCACTTAAATAGTGGCCCAACAATGCGCTGGGTTCCAAAGAGCAGCGGCATCCGTTACAAGGACAGGCGACTAGGCGCAACTGTGACCAAGGAGAACTGCTGGATGGCATCACAGAGATTGGTTTCTTCGTACTCATAGGCGGTTCGGTTACCGAATCACTGCGTTTAAGATGGAGCAGTTGCTTTTCGGTAGAAGAGGGTACATGCACAGGAAGGCGGTAATTTGAGAAATGTCTGGTGTACAGCAGACTTTGCATCTCCTGCAGGCGCTGCTTGCGCTTCTCCTGTCGTTTTCTGTTTCGGCTCATACCATCAATTGAAGAAGGTTGAATCATAGCGAGGGCCCCCGTCTGGTTGTTCCTTTTGGATGAGGTCGATGCAGCCATAGTTGGGGATGGGATGAGGTATTCAGGAATCTTTAATTCAAACACATAATTTTAAGGCAGACTTGAAACTACACTGACAAAACTGAAAATTTGACTTAATTATCAATGATTGTATAAAAACTCTCTAATTCAATATTTATTATTCAGTTGGGCCGAAATCCCGGCGGTACTGCAATACCGGGCCAACCCGCGACAGAGGTGGAGCAAGCTCCTAGCACTCCGTCTGATTCCAAAAATCAGTTTAACATTTGTTGTCCTCCAATGGAGGAACTATCAGATGTTAAGCTGATAAGAACAGATACTACACTTTGATCTTAGCCATAAGGCCGAGAAGCGATAACTTGAAACACAAAATTGACAGGGTCTCCATGACCAAACTTCTAGAACTAGTTGGGAATTATTGAAACCTAAGGATAAATTTTTCTTTGCTCAAGGGTAGTGCAGTTTACCTAGGTGCAGTGATGGCATGTTGGCACAGGCACACACCATAACATAAAATAAAAAAATATTTTTAATAAAATTTTAAATATGTTAAAGGCATCACTTAAAACTTTATTATATAATTTTTTCACTTAAAGTGCGTGGGTTAAAACACTTAGAATTGTGTAAATAAAATTTCTTATATTAATTACGGTTTAAAATATACAATTTACTACAAGAAATAAGGCGAGGTACATTTCTTCTTGATTATATCTCAAGGGATGTGATTTTTCTGCGTCCATTTTTTATCTCTTGGAGAACTCAGAGAGGTAGGGTTAAGATTCCAAATCTGGGACAGACTAAATTTCGATGGCATCGGAGGTTATGGTGGTAGTGCAGCTGTGTTGATGGGTAGTTAAAAAAGGTTTTAATGCTTTAAGAACTTCTTACCGCTAATGGCCTTGTTAGTGCTATTATCATTTATCCGAACACTGCCGTACTTTTCCTTAAGGTACTTTTGCACATTGGTATTGTACTTGCTGCGGGGATTGATTCCTATTTTTTTTGATGGTTGCTCTTCGTTGTTTTTCATGGCAGTTGATTCATTGGAAGGCAACAGATCCGGTTGATGCTCTTCGAATTGTCCGACCTTTTTTGAACCACCGCTTGAAAGCGACGAGCTCTTAAGATCAAAGTGTTGGGGTCTTTCATCGAGCTTATCTGCGTTAAGAATAATAAGGTATTTTACGATAATTTATTAATTTTCTTACCTTTCTGTTTGAGCTCTTTATTGTTGGATATCCCTGCATTGTCTGAATGGAACCCCTGATGTCCCGATGAAGTAGAGCCCGCCTGATTGTCAAGATATCCAAAATAACTATTGCTATTTAGCCTCAGACATTCATTTTTTCTCGTTGAAAGTGAATCGTCTGGTGAGATTTCCTTGCCATCAAATGTCGTCGATTTGAATGGCATATAATTTTTAGATGATGTACCATTAGTCACTCTTAATGGATCCACTGCAATCTTCCTTTCCTGAATAACTCCTGAACTTAAGGCGCTGATACCGGTAATATCTTCGCTTTCAAGCTGCTGCACTGGAAAATTGGTTGCTTGCATAAAAGGATGCTGACTAGGATGAAACTGTTTGAAGCGCTTGAAAATCAAGCATGTCACCAAGGATAATAGGATCGACATACTAAGAAACCCCATAGCTATAAGGCAGATTATTGCAAAGAAATTGGTGTCTATTAGTGGAATCCGCTGTTGGTCCTTTTGCACCACCACACTTATGTGAACCGAATCCTTGCCTCCAGGATTCTCCGCTAGACATGTATAGACGCCCTCATCGCTCTTCTTAGCATTTACTATGGTGAGACGTGAGACAAAAACGTCATGTCCGAACTTTTGAACCTTTGGTTCATTTTCCCTTAACAATTCTATATAAATACGCTGCTTTTGCAGACTTTTCACCGGCTTAGAGCGAGATTCGTATACTTGATTATTGTAGTCCCAGGCAATAACCGTATTTGGAGATCCTTGTACGCGACATATAAGTGTTACATTCTCCTTGGAAGTGTTAATGGATGTACCAAGCCCAGGATATACTATCTTCGGCTTACAGGCAAACGCCTCTGGCTGATCCTCGATCCAGAGCCTACCACGCAACTGTAATGGATAATGACAGGATGTGGGCGGGGTATATAGGTTCATACCTATAACGAAATCACGGAACATTTGAAGGTCACAAGTGCAATTCCAAGGATTCTCCTCCAGCGATAATGCTGTCAGTTTATTTAAGCCTTGAAAACTGTCCACTCTCAGTTTGGTTAGCTCATTGTTGTCCAGATAGATCTGTGATAGAAGTGGTACTCCCACAAATGCCTCGGCATCGATATTAACCAGGCGGTTACGCTTTAATTCGATCTTGTGCAAATACTTAAGGTTACGAAAGACTCCGTTGCGAAGGGATTGTATCAGGTTTCCATTTAACAATATTGCACGCACTTTCGTAAGGCAGTCGAAAACATTGGGTAGCAATTCTTGAAGCAGATTATTGGACAAGTCGAGCTCAATTAAGATCTGTAGTTGGGTGAAACTTTGCTGGTTTATTTGCTTTAAAGTGCCGTTGCGTATAAGAAGTTTCTGCAGATTCTGCAACTGGGTGGTCAAAAATGCGTTCTCTTCCAGGTAATATATGTGATTGTGTGACAAGTCCAGAACTTGAACCTCCGGACTGAGGTACTCTGGTACTCCACTCAGACTTAAATTGCGACAGTCGGCCGTCTTTTTTCCAGAGTTCCATTTACAGTGACAGTTTCCACAATCCATCAGCCAGTCTGCACTGGCAATTTGAAGTAGGAGTAGCAAACAGTAGACTTTGAATAGGAAAAGCGACAGGTGCTTACAGGAAGTACTACATGGATCGAAGCTAAGCTTGATAGCCATTGAGATTTTGTAAGGAAAGGAACGTCTAGCTCATCCCAGTTTTTCTGGGTTATTGTTGTTGCACATTAAAACTTATTTTGCTCAGTTATTCTTCATGTCCAATGTCCGGAATGATTAAAGTGTCTGTCTTGGCAATACCATGCCCAAGTCCATCCTAAAAAATACAGAAAAAAGTTTTTACAGTCGAATTTTAGCTCTATTTTTTCATTTTTCCAAATTAATGGTTTTCACAGACCCTCAGTTTTTCCGGAAGTCTGAACATGAACAATAAAATCAAATTTTCTAAATATTCGCTGATATCGAATTCCCATAACGTCCATTGCCTTACCCAAGGGAGCTGCAGCTTCAAGGCCACTTTTCTTGTTTTCTTTGCATCCAGCCCATATAAACATTGGCAAATTGCGCTTAGAGCTGTGACACTGGCCGTGGCGAAAAAGCTGCACTTTGTTGGCTTACCAGATATTGAAAAACAATATAAATGTACTTTACCGCCACGCCTACAGCTTGTCCTAAAAAATGCATCCGAAGACCTCGGCGTATATCCATCAACTGTTTTTCTAATTTTGTGTTGCCCCACTTACCAGAGTGTTAACAGTGATACAACGTTGGCGCATGCCATGTAGGCGTCCTTCTTCTTAGACTTTTTATGTAAATTAACATTATTTTTTCTTTTCTATTACTTAATATGGACCAAAAGTTGTAAAATAATCAGAGGAAATGATATAATTGACTTGTATTAAAGTAAACTACAACATTTGAACTAAAATCCTTATTAGCCATCATTAATGCTAAATACTAAATTACATGTATTATTTTAAATGCTAAAAGTTTTGAATTTATATATTAAAAGTCTAAAAAATGTTAATGATATTTGCCGGCTTAAAATCTATGTCTATACATTTTTGTTTTTACTTGATTATTTAACAACCAAAAATATTATTCTCGGTTTTTGTTGGACCATTTATTTTTATAAATGAATCAACAAAATCATAAAAATGAAACATTTTTCGTTTTAAAATAAAGTTGCCTATTATACTGAACTAAATAAAAATATAATTTGTTATTTACTTTATAGTTTTAAAGAAAGATATATCACAAAGTGTCGTTGTTTGTTTGATATTTTGAACCAGTTGCTTCAGATAATTATTGTCCAATTCGTTTCACACAACACAACTACCCCTAAAAGCATGCTACAGCAACTGTATAGCAGCTGCGTCAAAACATTTTTCGTGTGCGCGTACTTATAATTCCCAACTGGATCTAGCAGTTTGGTCATGGAGACCCTGTTCATTTTCAGTTTCAAGTTATCGCTTCTCGGCCTTATGGCTAAGATCAAAGTGTAGTATCTGTTCTTATCAGCTTAACATCTGATAGTTCCTCCATTGGAGGACAACAAATGTTAAACTGATTTTTGGAATCAGACGGAGTGCTAGGAGCTTGCTCCACCTCTGTCGCGGGTTGGCCCGGTATTGCAGTACCGCCGGGATTTCGGCCCAACTGAATAATAAATGTTAAATACCATATAAGCTTGCGCTTTTATGAATTGGAAGAAGTCTAAATTTAATAAACCTGATGAGGAAATATATATTTAGTTCAATTCTTAGTCATTAATTTCGAAAACAATAATTGTTACACAGGAAAATCACAAGTTTTAAGTTGTTAGTTAATAATTCGTATATTTATTTCGATAATACACCTATTATGAATACAGTTCGCTTTTTTGATTGTTTGTAATAATTTGCTTTGGTATAGCTAGGGACTTTTTGTATCTTTATGCTGACCTTGTTGAATAATGTTATGATTAATTACCACGAGGTATATTCTCCTTTTTACGTTAATGAAAAATGTGCAAAAGAGAACACTATTGAAATTGCATATTAACAACTCACAAGGAATGTTGTTTTTTTCTTGAAATATATTCGAGTTAATAAAAGCATTAGGTTTTTGGAAAATACTGATTGAATTTGGTTAACATGAAGATACAAAAATGCCCCTTGAATCCATACAATTACAAAGTTCTGTGGAGATACGCTCTTCTTAAGGCGCCTAAAACATTGTTCCTAACACTCCGTTGCGCATTCAACGAAAAAGTAAATACATAATTTGAAAGTAAAGAAATAATTGTTTCAAATAATGTTCAGCAATTACGATACGTTAATATACTTTGTTTTCAAAGTGAATGCTTAGTATTCGGTGTTTGGTTTCGCTTTTATAAAGGACAACTTCAACTATGGAACAATCTGAGGCTGGCTGTTTCTTTCGTGGCTAACTATTAGCATGTGTACTAACTGGTGAATAGCTTCGCTATGCTCCCACAAACAACATCAACCGTAACAACGCGTTTACATATCTTTGGCGAGAGACCACTACTTTCAATTAAATCGAAAAAAAGGGAAGAGATTTGTGATGTGTTTGTAACGTATACGATGCCATAGAGCTACAGTTAAAGAGTGTTTTTCGTGTGGGTTATGCTTAAAACTACGACAGATTTTGTGTTCGACCATCTCCTGATCTTAAACCACTACTGCACCAGCCTCTGAACGACTAACTGGTAGATCGGGACAATTTTTCCAGGTGTCCGACAGCGGATCATAACATTCAACAGCATTGATAGTCACTTGGGCTCGGTAAAAGTTTACCTCACAAGGCTGCAAGTAAAAATAAAAAATATATTTGAAGTCAATTTTATTTTCTTATCATATTACCTGATCACCACCAGCTACATAAAGTAGGCCATCGGCAGCGGCCACGGCAGGAATGGCTCTGGGCACGTTAAGTGCACAAACGGTAGTCCACTTGTCCTCGTCAAAGCTGTAGCGTTCGACGGAGCTGAGAATGTCCTGGCTGATACTACTGCCACCCACCACATACAAGTAGCGATCCAGAACGGCCACGCCCATTTGGCAGCGAGCCGTTTGCATGCTGGCTAGCTCAGTCCATTCTTTGGTTACTGGATTGTAGCTGCAATGTATTTTTTTTTTATATTTTACTATCAATAGTATAACATAATAAGATATCGCTTAATACCTGATTAAATCCGGCAGATGACGGGTTGTAGTTGTGCAGCCACCTACAATATAGATGAGACCCTCGAAACTGACTACACCCATGCTGAAACGAGGTTGCGGCATACTGCCCATTAATTTCCAGAGATCCTGCTCTGGATCATAGCACTCCATAGAACCGCCGATATCGTCTCCAATCCAACCACCTACGGCAAACAGATTCCCGCCCATGGTGCAGAGCCCGAATTCGCAGCGCGGCACAATCATTGGGGCAATCGGTTGCCAAAGATCGTTCTGTGGATCGTAGACCTCCCCATTGGCCAGAATTTGTGACCCGCGCTCTCCACCGACCACATATATCTTGCCATTCAATGCTGACACACCAGGTAGGATGCGTCCCACCTCCATGGGCGCCGTCTCCGTCCACTCGCGCCGAAATATATCAAACTTCGCTACAGTTTCGAAGATGCAATCAGCCGAGTTCCATGTGCGCGGAGTGTCCCGGTGAGATCCGCCAATGATATAAATATTTTTCTTGGCCAGTTGGCGAGGGCAGACTCGTAGCGGCACAAGTTGTCCGCGCTTTGACGCAATGTCCCGGCAAATGGAGCGCAGGGCAATCTTCACGGACATGTCGCGACAGTCGTCTTTCAGAGCCTTGTCAATCACCTTTACCGGAACAAGGGCCATGCGCACATGGGATAGGACGTCGAAGACATAGCAGCGTCGCTGCGTCACATCGTGCTTAATCCAGCGAAGTGCTGCCTGGAATACCTGCGACTCGGAGTCCACACGCAACAGCTCCGAGTTGAGTAGCTGCGACAGCAGAGTCTGTGGTGTTTCCAGGAACTCATCCTCCAGTGTTATCTGGTTGAAAAATTAAAAGATACAATTAATTAATAGGTAAATGCAGCCTTACTCTAATAAAAGAAATGTACGAGAAAATCGTATTTAATTAAAAAAAAAGCTTATTCGTAAAAAAATACTTTAATACCCATATTTTACTACAGGTGTAAAATCTATCCAAGCCTTTCAAGTGCCACCAACTTACCGCCGGGAAATTGGCGTGGACAAAGTTCAGTGCACTCTTGGCCAATGACTCGCAGTTGTGGGCCTCTGCGAAGCGTAAAATGCCCAATGCATTGGAGGCATGCAGCTCACGACAGAGGAACTCGCAACACCCGTCGACCACCTCGTTCAGCTGCAGCATGTCGGCTGCGGCGAGGAGTTCCTGGACATTGGACTGTAGGGACAAAATACGGGTTAAGGATCAAAAAGCAAATATAACGTTAGTGGACTCACCTGGGTGATTTCGCAGCGACCTGTGTAGATAAAGTCAAGAAGGATATGAAGGATGTCACCGTCGATCGTGTGCAGCACAACGGATTTCTGCTTGACCTCATTAAGACCTAATTCGGGTCGGAACATGGCCTCAAAGTAGGCACTGGCTGCACTTAAGACCGCCCGGTGGGCACTTAATGTGGCCATTCCGGCAATGATCTCCACATCGCAAAACCGCGACTGTTCGCGCAGCTGATTGAGATTAGAGAGCACCTTGAACGGATACTGGGCGTTGCAGTAGGAGGGCAGATTTGTGCGTTGAATGGCCGCCGTGGCTCCCAATCCCGATCCTGATCCCATATTTTGGCCAAAGAAGTCACCATCGCCGCCGCTGGTGGGACTCTGATTGGCATTCTGATTGGCATTCGCATTTGGACTGGAATTGCCATTGTATTCGTGGTGTATCTGGTATGTTTTCAACGGTGGCATTTCGTCGACTGTTCGATTTTTCGGGTTTTAGGGGATCTCAGATTGGATCTCGCCTTAATAAATGCACTTTACGGGGGCAACAGCTCAGACTCTTCACATTCAATTGTTTGGCTTAATTAAACTTAATTGCTGCACTCTGCGTACACTTCGCCCTTTGTTGTTGTTGTCCGTTCATTTTCCTCCAATCAGAAGGCGAGCACACACACACCCAACAGCAATCCAAAAGCCAGTAGGCGAATAGTTAGCCTTTCACATAAACAACCCAAAGTCGTTTGTTTTTTAATCTATTCTTCTAACACTAAACAAAATAGAATTTAATATTTACAAACTGGCATATTTCTTTAACTTTTCAATGCACTTTGTATGTAGCTGAGGGTAAAATCGATGTTTTTGGTGCTATCGATGTTGCCAGAAATAAGGCGTAATCGATACATTGACCCTGTATCGTTGTTTTTTTTTACGGAAATAAATACAGAAATACTCAAAATATCAAATACTTATCGATACTGGTCGTTCTTGTCGGCTGTAGTTCACCTCTTGTTGTTATTTAATTATTTCTTTTTTGTTCTTACTGAATCTTAAATGAAAACATAACAGAATGCTGTCCCGCAAATTGCTAAACCTTCGCCTGGGTCACCTTGTACGCCGCTGGGTCAGTACTGATCCCCTTAGCATCCAAAACGAAAAGCTGCAGGCGTATTTGGAGTCCTTGCGTCAGGAATACTACGCCGAGCGCGTTAATGCTGCCGGGAACAGCAAATCCTACGCCCGCCTCGCTCAATTGGAAGGCGTAGTTAGCGCTCTGGAGCAGCGACGTGTCCTGGAACGTCACATAACGAGCGCCAAGGACATAGAGTTGGAAAAGGACGAGGATATGCGTGAACTGATGCGGGAGGAAAACGAAGTATATGTGGACCTGATAGGTAAGCAGGATCATGCCTTAGAGCAGGAACTGCTAACCCTGGCTGATGATGAAATATATCCCGCATTGATCTTCGGCGTCAATGCGGGCGCCGGCGGCCAGGAGGCCATGCTGTTCGCTCAAAAGCTTTACGACATGTACACCGGCTACTTCGAACACATGGGATGGGATTGGGAGGAGTTTGCTAGTGAGAGCACTGACATTGGAGGCTTACGCCACGCCAGTTTAATGGTGAGTGGAGAGGATGTCTTCCGCTGGTTACGTCACGAGGCTGGAGTTCATAGGGTACAGAGAGTGCCGGCCACCGAGAAGGCCGGACGCATACACACCAGCACCGCCTCGATCACTGTGATCCCCCGGCCAGCCGATATCCACGTACATATTGCTGAAAAGGATCTAAAGATCGAGACGAAGCGGGCGAGTGGAGCTGGTGGCCAGCATGTTAACACCACAGATTCAGCTGTGCGGATTGTTCATCTGCCCACCGGTTTGGCGGTGGAGGCTCAATCTGAACGCTCACAGCTTAAAAACCGGGAGCTGGCGATGAAGCGTCTGCGTTCGCGTCTTGTGCAACAGCAACTGGAAAGCGTCGAGGCCAGTAAAATGGCCACTAAGAAAGCTCAACAGGGCAGCCTCAACCGCAACGAGAAGATCCGAACTTACAATTTTGTCCAGGACCGAATAACAGACCACAGGATTCAGGGTGGTACGCTGCACAATTTGGATGGTTTCCTTAAGGGCGGAGATCAACTTAGTGGGCTCATCGAGAAGCTGCAACTAGATCATCGAAAGGAACGCCTGAAGAATCTGCTCGAAACATGGCAGCCGCCAATCGAGGCAGTTAAAAATAATTAGACCAATTTTATTGTTATTACATTTATATGCCTGCGATTTAAAAGTTAATAACTAATTAGAATATATTCTGTAAAAATATGAATGACAACTAATAGTTTATTTTAACAAACTCTCGCCCAATCAGCAGCACTACCCATGTGCAAAAGGTGCTCCTTGACTGCCGCCTCCAGAATGTCACGGATCTCGCGACATCCGGCCATTGCTGTCTCTATAACAGTTTCCAAATGATCGATGTGAAACCGTTCGCTCATTTCTAGAAAGGCGATCTTCTCGGCGGTGGGCAAAGCGGCCACAGTCAACTTTGGGCCGCCGGACACCTCCTCGAAGTGCGAGATATCCGTGAGTGGGATATTTGACTTGCTTAATGAGGCAGTGCAGGCGACGATTAACTCGTTCAGGCAGATACCTGCATCAATCAGAGCTAACGTAGCTGCATTTAGAGCCACCGCGTAATTGGCACCATCGGCCTGGAGAACTTCCACATAAATGTCTATCTGAGAGCGGGGATAGAGCTCAGATTTGATAGCCGCACTTAGTGCCTGCTGTAGGTACATCTTGAATTCCAGAGATTTCCGATCGCCTCGGGGACGATTCTTCCGTTCCGCTGTGGAGAAAGTGGCTTGGCTGTACTGGCAATTGATAATTAAGTCATTGGACTCTGTCTTTTTGCCCTTTGCCTGATGAGGTCCATAAACGGCGGCCAGGACCTTGGTGTTTCCCTGTTCCATATAGGCACTGCCATCGGGTTGCTCAAAAACGCCCAGTTTGCACTTTATATGGCGCAACTCGTGTGGACGACGTCCGTCCAGTCGGAGGCCTTGCTCACTAAGCAGTTCATAGTTACTGGCCATCTCTTTTTAATTTAGAAATTAAATTATTTTTGAATGTAAATAAATAACACACGTGCGGCTCGAGCCTCGAGTTGTTTACAATATTAGTAAATTAATACCACCTCCGCCTGAAAAATATACTTTATATACCAACATTCACTTTTTAACCAAGTATACCGAGAAATTTTCTTGTATTATATTATTAGTTTTATAATATATTCTAATTATTAAAATATGAACTGATAAAGTAAAGAATACATTATAAATGTACATTTTAAAATAAATCTACAAATATTTATTCCAATGTTAATAATAATATTAATCTTGGAATACTGTTTTGCTGGAATACCCCAACTACTTTTTCAATTTTCGGCATTAATCAACACTTGTCACCGAAATCGGGTTTCGATAAGAATTCATTGGTTGGTAACCAAATAAGTGGTAACTCTAAAATATATAAATAGATGCGAGTATAAAAAATAGTGTATTTATGGGAATAAAGTAGATAAATATTAGCTAAATAGTGTGGAAAATAGTACTCACTAGCACCATAACGCCGCACAATGTCCAAGTCAAGCGCAGGTGGGTTAAAATCACACTGAAAAATCGCTCAAAAGAAACAGACGCTTCCGGCTGCGATCACAAAACAAAAATATAGATTCAAAAGAAACTGTAAATAACCGACCTACCTTCGGAATTCACAGCACGTTGGGTGAAGTTCTTCAATGCGGCAGGCATCCCATCTCCTGCAGCCGCCGGTTACGCCCATGTCTTTGTGGAGAACCGCATCCAGGATGATATGCTGCTGGACCTGAACAAGGAGTACTTACGGGAAATGGGCATAACTTTGATGGGTGACATAATTGCCATCCTGCGACACTCAAAAACCGTCTGCGAACAGAATGCACGGGAGCAGGTCCTGACCACTGAGGTGGTCCAACCGGTTGCCCGACCCATATCGCCAAAAGTAAAAACGCCTGTGGCCGCCAAACCTAAGGTTTCTCCGCCTGCAAAGCCGGCGAGACGGGTGCTTCCAGAGCATGAGGGAAAGTACAAGGTAACATTGCCCTCAGGAACCACGGAACGCAGCAAGCAGATCTTGGCTAAGCGAGAAAAGCGTAAGATTAAAATTCTTATTTCAAGATCACCATTTCAATACTTCTGTTCTTCTTTTCAGTATACTCAGATCGCGTGAGCAGCTCAAAAAAATCAGACATATTTTCGCGTTTGCACGCTTCTACTGGCGATGATGAGGCCCAAGAGGGCATTGTGTCCAGCTCCGGAGAGAGTAGCGTTCGTGTGCACATCACAGGGGTGTCTAAAATTGCGGACACTAGCAATAGTTCTGTCTTCGCGCGACTCGGCGGAAAGCAGTCCAATCTTTCGGAGGATGTTACCCTAACTAAGGAAATTAAATCAATTTTAAAGAACACACAACGAGCGGTTGGAGGAGGCGTGATTAAAAACTCGCCCATTGTGAAGGCCAAGAGAGTGGCGGCATCCGCTGTACCACAGCAAAAGGTCATGCTCGTCCACAAAGTTCCTTTAAAACGAGGCGACGATGAGGACGACAGTATGGATGATATAGGCAGTGACGAGGAATATTATACGTCTAGCGGAGAGGGCGAAGACTTTGAAATGGGTGCCGCAGAAAAGATTGTTAAGTTTGCCCCCACTGCAGAGGTTCGAGAAATTGCACCCGAAACGTCTTTCAAAAACAGGCCAGGAAAAAACTTTGCTCACAACATCAAATCGAGGCTGGGTATAGGTATGTTAATATCTCACTAAGTTAACCACAATCAATTTATTTTCTTATCTTTAGTATCCAAACTACATGCCACCAAAAAGACCTATAATCTGAAGGCATCGCCATCAAAAAAACCACAGGCTCGAATCAGCCCGGTCAAGGGCAAGACTATACGCATGCGCAGCGATGAGCTAATGTCTCGTCAGGATACACTGCCCGTCCACAAGAGGCTGGGAAACAACTCGTCTTCACCCCCTTTTAGAGCTCCGGCAGCAGTATCGCACCGCCAGCAGCGACCAGAGCAACCGAAGAAGAAATACGTCCCGCCAAGACGTTATAACAGCATGAACGCAGGTTATAACAAGCCACGGGATCAATCGGGATCAGTCTTTGACCGTCTGGGCTTCAATAATTCTATGTAAAATATTTGTATTTGTCCCTTATAAATTGTTTTAAGTTCAATGACCCTAATTAAATGTTCGAATTCAATTTACTATTCTTTTAAGATGCAGTTATGAATCGTTAAGCTTATCCAAAAATTGTAAAATACATATATATTTGCTTTTATAATTTAGTTCTTTTTCATTTTTAAAATTTGAGTTTGTGTTAATTAATCCAAGGAGGAATTGCAAGCGTTGTACTGCAAATTAAGCTACGCTCTATGGTACACCATCCACAAAAAAGAACAAGTTTTAATGTATGATTTAAAAATGATTTATTTTGTTTAAAATTAATGTTATGTACAATTAAGCTAGTGTTTCGCTTCCATTCATAGTGTACAATTTGTCCGCGGTTACTTAAAGGTCTATATCACTGGTTGCTAGGCAAATCACTCTGTCTTGAATTCTTCAATATGGCTCCAATTATATGCTTATTGTTGTAGCAGCGCTTGGAGAGCTTGGCGCCATTCAAGTGGCCAGGTGTTGGCATCCGGGTTGATATTAAGTAGTTGGCGAATCTGGAGCACTGCCCGCTGCTTCTGTAGCATGTAAGCGTAGGCCTGGTGATTGAAAACCGGTGAATGGGCCACCGGATGCTGAGTGGCAGGAATTTGGGTGGCAGGAAACGGATATTGCTGCTGTGGTGGTGTAGTAGGGGGAGTGGGAGGGAGTGAATGGTGGTTTAACTGTTGGTGGTGCTGCTGGATTTCACGCTCCGTTTCTTGACGGCGTTTCCTTGGAGTATTCTCACTAAGGGCGTATGGTCGGAAAAGAGGTGTGGCGATGGGTAATGGTGAAACCTCCTTGCCGCTCTTCTTGCCAAACTTTTTGTGCGTATAGGCTGAGGATTTGAACTTCTTGTGGGTATAGCTCTCGCTAACTTCCGACTCGTTGTGGTAATCCATGTTCGAAGGTGCCATAATTGCTGTCCTAAGATCTCGTTGTTTAAGAGGCGCTGGTGTAAAGGTGTGTTCACGACGGCTGGTAAGGCTCGACTATGCTCCTGCTGCTGCGCAATCTGGTTTTTATACGCCCGGGATCAGATGTTCTACCTGAAGTTATCATTAAGGTTGAGAGCGCCTTGTTTATGGGAAAATCTTCGTTGACAAAAGGTTGGCATTGTCGGATTTCGGCAACACCCACACTACCTGCGAGTTACTACCTGGGCACCTGAAAGTCCTTTGTAATTAATTTTTCATTTGCTGCAACGGGCTCGCACCTTCTTTTGTGCCTGATATTTCGGTACGGGTTTCTTGGAATTTTCCCCATAGCAGTTCTCTAGAACAATCTTTTACCTCGAGATGCCTGCCAGCGCCTGCGCTTGCCACTCTTTGATGATGGCCCAAGTTGCCTCGACGCATCGGGATCAGGAATCTTATCTCGCTTACCGCTAATCTGGCTCATTAAGTTCTCGTCCATGGTGTTCGGGGATACCTTCGAGAAAATGCCAGCCGCTGCTTAGTCACAATGGTCATTGAATGGAAATTTATTGGGATTTTCCCGAAAGGTTGCGTGCGTGTTTGTCCTAGTCCGTCTGAGGGATTTCTTGCGTATTCTCAGCTTCTTTTCATGGGTATTTTCCAGGTTTAAGATGTATACCATTTATTGATTTACTCCAATAGATATTATAAGGAGATATAGTATTGGGACAGATCAGATTTCCTGTTCTCTTTTTATGAAAACGTTGACTCACCACGCAAAAGGGAGTAGGTTTTGGGAATACAATATATTCTGATTTTGGGTTAAAAGTTATCATTGAAATGATTCGAACCAAAAAATATTTAATTCGTTTGTGAGAAACTCAACATTTTTGATGAATTGTCACAGTTTGAGAATCTGAGTGACACAATTAACTTACATCTTATACTAGGATGAGATATTCGTTTATAATTGTTTAGTCATCCATTTTAAAATTCCATTATAAACAGTCAAAGTAAATTGATATCTGCTCCAAATCATATGCTTCTTAAAACAGATAAATTATTGTTGCTTTACTGACCCAGATATTGTGTTAGCTAAAAGCTAAGAACAAAGAATTGCATTTCGTGTACTCACATTTTTATTTTGGAACACATCAACCTATTAGGAGTTATGGGAATTTATTTTCCCAGCCTAAAACTGTTGATTTAATATTATACAATGTAACATTTAATTGTGTTGTTGGTGAAAGGACTTCCTGGTAGAATCTTGACACTTTCTACCCTTACTAAGGTCATTCCCCTGTACAGAATAAAACACCTTGGAAAACCCCATGCAATCGATTCTTTCCGTTCCAGAACAGATGGAAATTGATCAATATAATAAAAGGAAACAATCAAACAATACTGCAATCTTTCACTATAATACTTCAACTGAACAAATAACAACTCCTATTCCGTTCCTGCTTATTGACTCCGGATTTTCTTGAGGGCAGGTCTCAAGCCCACCTGAAATAAATCCGCTTAGGCGGATACTGTTAGGAACAGTGAAATGTGAGAACCATCTAGTTTTATATTCGTTTCCTCTGACTGCATAAATCAATGAACAAAAGGCATTGAATGAAACGAAAAATCCGACATAATGCCAAAGACATGAAACTAGACAGCGGAACGCAGAAGGAGGAGCATTCAGTAATTGCCGAGTTTCTTGAATTCCTAGGCCCGAAGACCCAGAGAGACAGTTTTTCAGCTGGCTAAGCTGAAGTCATAAATGCTTGTTTTTCGGATCGACATCGAGGCATTGAAAACGGGACCGGCACTCTGCGTGTCTGCTATTCAGGTGCCACAAAGAAAGCCGAAACAATAGCGGGCCGGCAGACAGCCTGGCCGAATTGAGCGCCAGGATTAGAGTTTACAGAGATCCAGCATCGAGATCCCTTTTTGCCGACAACAGGTAATTCCGTCGAAAATCGCCGGCCATGTAAACAGTCGAGGCAAGGACAACAACTGGTTTATGACACCCTCGAAAGGCAATGGAATGATTCGAGTAGATTGTCAGCCGGCGGATTAGGGACTCCCTATTCAGGTAACACAAACCGATTAGTTTTGGGTCATATTTAGGGAATGAATGAACTGCGTTGGGGAAATACCTGACCTGTGTGCGTGTCCTTTTGATCCCCAGATACCTGGCAGTATAAACCATTTGGGATTTGGGCACCAGGTTTGTGGGAGGCTCAGTGATTACCTAATGTTGCATAAAAGTGGTAGCCAGGAGGAGGGGCAGCACATTCGTCTTAAAGACATCTTAGCAAACACATCGTCCTTGACATTAATCAATCGAACGCTGATCGAACACAATGGAGAACTATACCCACAAGAAGTTCACTGGAGCTCTGAAGCGCAAACGCAGCGAGGATGCTGACTCCGATGACGATGTCATCTTTGTTATGGAACAGCCGGGACAGCGAACTCCGGAACAACCACAAGCCAAACGCCCCTTCTTCCGTCCATGGATAGATGAGTCAGCCGAAAAAGAACAGCCGCAGCCTCCTCGTAAGATTGCTACCACAGTGACACCACCTCCATCACAAGAAGACACCACCTATCATGCCAACATGGTGCGAAACCATCACAAGCGCCGCCAGCGCAGTCCACAAGAGCAACTGCGTCGTGACCGGAACACGTTGGCCAGCATGCGCCATCGACGGTCCCAGCAGCAACAGCATCAGCTCATCGAACAGCAATACTTGACCAGCCGGATACAGCACGAGGCAAATCTGCAGCAGCAGATCCGCCTGAGTCTATACTATGTGCGCTTCCTGCAACAAGCGATGGCCTCCACGGAACCACTGCCTCCCACGCAGCCAAGGCCGTTAATCCCGCCCCAACCGACCACCACCCAACATCCTTGAAGGGTGGAAGTTAACCTTCGACTATAGCGCCACCAAAGCGCTATAATTTATTGTAAACTAGAAGAGAATAGCCTTGTGATTACTTTTAAAGTTATATATTTATTTATTTGGTTGACTAAACAATAAATTACAAATTTGTTATTAAAACTACTTGACACTTTTTTATATAAGGGTATTCGTTTGGGATTCGTTGAACAGTATATAACAGGAAGAAGGAAGCGTTTTCGAGCCTATAAAATATATATATTTTTGATCAGTATCAATAGCGAAGTCGATTAAGCCATGCCAGATTCTTGAGGTTTATTTCAGCATCCTGACTCTAACGCCCACAAATCATGTAAAACTTAAATCCATGAAATCTCAGGAACTGTATAATCTTGAGATCGTTGTACCATTACCACTCCCAATGTTGCTCCCAATGCCAAATATTTTTTTCCCATCTTGTTACGCCCAAAAAACAAATAAAGCCCAAAATGGAAAAATCTCGGGATATGTAAGAGCTAGAAAGGCTAGGCTTAGTCATAAATCTTTTAGAGATCCCTCTGCAGCTCGACGTGAGTTTTCGTCCAACGCTCACGAATCGCGGAAATCGGTGGCTATCGAGTTAGCAAAGATTTTTCAAATCGGAACATTTTTTCGGTATTTATGAAGAAATATAGGTTAAAAGGCCTTAATTAGACGGTGATGTCACCATCAGTTAGTAAACACTCTTTTTCAACAAGTCGCTAAATTCCGTAAACTTTCGCTCGTATTTCGCTGGCTAGATTAATCATTAAGTTAGTTAAAATGATTGCTGATTTAAATTATTGCTGGTTCCAAAAGGAAAATAATAAATACGGTAAAATGATTTCCCATTTAAAAGTCACTTAAAGAAATTATATTGTCACGAGAACAGTTTATGCTACCGGAAGCTCTAACACTAAGAAGTTACTTCATTACGTTTTATTTCTTTTTTTATTCAAAACATATTATGTAATCAATTTCTTGGTAGGCCAATTTGCAATGCTAATTAAAAAGTAGTTGCCTAAGTGCACATACACGAACTAATGCTAGTGATTCATAACCAGGGTGATATGGGGGTTAGAAAGAATATGGAATAACTCAAGTTACATAGTACGGGAATTACGGAATAAAATAACTATTTATTTCTATTATTTAATTTAAAATCAAATCCGCAACTTATAAGATCCGCCTTTACGGCTGAATCTCCATGCGGCAATGATAAAACAAATTTACATTTTAGTACATCTATTAAATTAATATGTTTATATAAGTAGGTGTTTTATTAATCAAATAAGTATATGGCCCAGTTCATTTACCTCTAATATAACATTTTTCATGAATGCATTTCCTTGGCTGTGATCATAAATCACATCTGGTAAGAGTTTGAAAAGAACTAGGACCCTAACCAATGGTTAGGTAATTCTTGCCATTGTCATTCTTCAAGGAAAGTGTTGGCCAAAAAGGCCCTCTAGAATTTCCAGGGAATTAAGATAAAATGTGGTGGCAAACCAGGAGCAAAGGGACCACACATATTGTTTCATGCAGGTCAATAAAAAATATACTTAGTCTGCATAACAGTTGTTCGGCTCAGAACTTTCCTGTTCCGGTGGCTACCCTTAATTCCATAATCCAGGTAATCGACAAAAAAAGGATAATGAGGCAATACTGCGACGGCAATTAGCGCAGCGATAGAACAGGTCATAAAATACGGCTTAATCCAAGATTGACGATTACCTAATATGGGATGGACTAGTCCCTCTGTTGAAAGACCCAAAACAAATGGATTTCCCTTTTGGCTACCTGTGACACCAACCTCTTTGGGCATATAAACAGGATATCAATCTGAGAGCCAATCATTCTGCAAGCGATCGTCTAACGATTCACATCATACCAACAATATTAGACTTACCATTATTTACCACAATGGAGAACACAGATAACTACGTCCACAAGAAGTTTGTCGTCAGCAAACGCAGGAGGGATTCAGATCAGGACAAGGAAAATATTGCACAGCAGTCGGAGCAGCCAGATACCAAGCGCCTCCAGACCCAAGGATTCTTCCGACCCTGGCTGCATAACGAACACCACCAGGAAAAGGAAGCTGTATCGGTGGAAAAATCAAGTGGCCCTGGAACCTCAGTCAGCCAGTACCATGCTAACATGGTTCGACGTAGCCAGACACCTCGCCAGCGGAGTCCCAAGGAGCAGATGCGGCGAGATCGGAACACCTTGGCCTGCCTCCTCAGCCGGCGGGCTAAGCAGGCACAGGAGGAACAAATGGGCCAGCAATACGAGTTATACCGGGGTCACCATGCCGCAATGCTGGAGCAGCAGATCCGCCTAAGTCTTTACTACCGTCAGATTCTCCAGCAGGCGATATTCCAGCGAGCTATCAATCCAGCCCCAGGACATCTCCTCCCACAACAGCAACAGCAGTTCCTCCAGCAGATGGCCCTCTCCCAACAGATGCTCATCTTTGGGGGTCAGCGCTGATGCCATGAATAGCATTCATAACCAGTGTAAATGGATAGCCTAATCTTGTGATTTAGTTTATTAAGCCTTAATTATTATTATTTATTGTTGACTTTGAAATAAAATTAATAAGTATTTAATTCAAATTACCAGTTTGACAAACTTCAAAACAAGGGGTTTACCTTTTAATATTATATAGGTCAGGGGGTTGCACAAGCTGTATAAAAAACTAATTTGGTTATATACACATAATGGTGTTATTTTTGATAAATTGTGGTAATTTAAATAGTTATATGAGAAGGTACTTTTATCTAATATCCTGAGATAAATCTCATATAAATCAATTTTTGTTGCAATAAATTTGAAATTAAGTCACAAGCTAAGTCCAATTTTTTTCGTTAAATCTAGGTAAATCATGAAATTTGTTTAGGCTGACCATTGAAATAAGCATTGCCAAATATTTCCGAGAAACGTTTAACCAAAGGCCATTACCCAGCAAAGTCCAACTAATTGTTGGCTAACTAATTTTCATGGCGTTCTCATTTTGTGGCAGCTTTTCGTCAAGGTCCAAGCCCGCACAAAGAACCATATTTTGTATAGGTCGAGCTTTTTCCATTGCCTGGCAAATATTGACTAAGATCACCCGTAGAGATATGGCCAAAGTCCGGCAAGAGGTTTTGAGAGTGCACCAAAGCTTCAAGTTCAATTGGGCTGCGGTTGCAAAACTCAAAGCGCAGAAATGCAATTTTCAATGTTAGGCCAGTCAAAAAAGCCAAAAGAGATACAGACAAAAAACTCGACAATTAACTGAAATTGATGTTGGCTGCATGGTACAAGTGCAAAGTGGTTTACTGGGTTTGTTGTGGTCGCGGCGGAAAATTTCTGCACTTGGCTTTTGGATTTTCCGCCATAGGAAGTCGAACAAACTGCTGCCAAGTATTATCAATGAAAATTAAAAGTAATTAACTGCGATTGCGCAATTGCAAAAGAGTTAATTACGTGGAGGGGACTGCCCCTGCAGCATGAACACTGAATTAAGTAAAGCCTCTTTATATTTTTCACTCACAGTCCGATTCAGTTGGCTGCACTTTCGGCGGGTGCACTCAAAGCTGAACATAAGTTTTGTCCATACCTTTATGTTTTCTTCATCTGATCACCTGAACTTCCTCATAGACCGTTGATTTTCTACTTGGTTAGGCATTATGCAAGTTGGCTTGCAGTGAAAGCACTTTGAAATTTCAACTTATAATCAGTATGGAATATATGTAAGCAAACTAGAACTTCAGCATTATATATCCACACCTGTCACTCGAATAATTTCAGAATTCATTCAAACTTTTATTAATAAAATTTAAGACAACAATGTTCCGCAATCAGTATGATAACGATACTACTGTGTGGAGTCCCCAAGGTCGCCTCTTCCAGGTGGAGTATGCCATGGAGGCGGTAAAACAGGGATCAGCCACCGTGGGCCTGAAGAACACTGACTTTGCAGTGCTCGTCGCTCTGTGCCGTACATCGAAGGACACCAACACGCTCCAAAGGAAGATCATGCCGGTGGATTCACATGTAGGTATGTCCATATCTGGACTGACAGCAGATGCTCGCCAGGTGTGCCAGTACATGAGAACCGAGTGCATGGCCTATAGGCACTCCTACGACTCGGAGTTTCCGGTCCGCCGTTTGGTGGCCAATCTGGGGAACAAGCTGCAGGCCACAACACAGCGTTACGATCGCCGGCCTTATGGAGTGGGCATGCTGGTGGCCGGTTACGATGAACAGGGTCCTCATATTTACCAAATAATGCCGACGGCCAATGTCCTCAACTGCAAGGCCATGGCCATAGGCTCTCGTTCACAGAGTGCCCGCACCTATTTGGAGCGGAACATGGAGAGTTTCGAGAGCTGCAGCAAGGATGAACTTATCTGTCACGGAATTCAGGCCATTCGAGGTTCTTTGGGTCACGATGACTCCGAAAATCTAACCATCAATGTGGCCATCGTCGGCAAGGGTTTGCCATTCAAAATGCTTACTGATGCAGAGAACCAGTTCTATCTGAAAGTAGTCGAGGCTTTGAACCCGTTGCCGGGGCAAGATTCTTTATCCGAGGAGGGTATGAGTGATGATGATATGATGGGTCAAGGACCAAGTGGCAGTGGTATTCCTGGCCATGATGCAACTGATATTGGATCCAATGCATCCACAACGGGCAATTAGGCACTTCAGATAGCTGATAAACTTTAACAGAGTATACAAAATTTATTGTTTCGTTTAAAATGTTATTAAAGTTATATGAATTATAAATACGGTTTTTGCGTTTTAACAAATTAAGCTCAGCAAACAATGGTAATCCTAATATTATAATATATGAAATAATACAAAGATTTATATTAGAATTATTCCAAGGGGTTAAGGGTTATGCAAGTGGCAGCTTTTGGCGTGACCAATTCGATTATTAAGGGCTTAAAAATGTCGTAGCTGCATCTAGCAAAGTGTTTAGTTTAAGTTTAAGTGCGACGATGGCAGGTGAGTGATGGCCGGGAATAGGAGTAGTTAACTTTTAAGCCCACAATTCCGCAGTTGCGGTTACGCTTGTCGGCTTACCGTTGTTGTGCCAGTGGCCTGGCCAGAGTACAGGGTTAATTCCCAGTGAACTTTAACCAGCTGCCTGACCCACCCGACAGTATTCCACCCTGCTCCACCGAGCAACTTTGGATGGTATAGTTAATAATAATCAGCCGGAAGGACTGATGATCGAAAGTGGCACTTTGCAGATAGCCTTAGGTCACCTTCTGGCCAGTGCCCATGAAACCACGCAAAGCCCTGTCTTTTCTTTCGATGGATTCCTATCAATAGTTAATAAACTCATTTGGCTGTTTTTTATGAAAATAAGATTAAACGATTTTTTATTAAAAGTAAGTAAACAATTTTATTTATTAAGAAGTACCTGCTTAACCTAGAAATATTTTGCATTTCCCAGACTTGAACTTTCTTAAAGAAACTTAACAACTTAGCATTAAAATAATACTTAATTATATAGTACAAAGCCCATTCGAGGGCTAGAAGACTAGGCGTTCTCCTGCTTAAGGCCACCAATCAGGTAGTCGATGCTAAAATTTCTCTTTCTATGCTCCTCATGGATTCTTCTTGGAGTGGGCTGCGGGTGGTCATCCTGCTTGACCAGCTGCTTGAGGTGATTAAGGTAGACTCTGGCACGCAGGCTCTGCTCGGCGATCTTGAGGTGTTCGATGGAGCACTCTTTGTAGTGCTGTTCGATCTGAAGGTCATCGATCTTCTTCTTCCGCCGGCTCATCCTGCAGGCAATGGTGTTCTTGTTCCGGCGCTCCTGATCCTTAGGCGACCGCTCCTTCTTAGGAAACTTTCGCACCATATTGACGTGGTACTTGAAGATATCTTGGATGGCTTCGGTCATGATTGGACTGGGTGAGTGGTAAGAAACGCTCGAGGATGAGGAGCCCAGACGACGGCGCTTTGGTAGTGGAGGAAAGTCGGTTTCGTGGTCGCTGAACTCGAGACTGATGGACTGATCAGCCTCATCGAATGGACTTTGGCTGGTGCAGGGTGTGCCGCTCCGGGAAATAAGTTCTTCTTTGAGGAGCAACTCATCGACTTGCTCAACCTTTCGACCCACATCGAACTTTTTGTGGCGATATATCTGATGGTTCTCCATGGTAATGATATGACGTGTGTTCTTTTCGAGGTGTCTGGATTGACTGCTGTCCTGTGGTCGGCTACACTAGTTTATATGGGGAAAGCCTTATCTGGTTCTCTTCCTAATCCCCCCGCCAATTTTATAACTTTGTTTACACAAATCGACGCCGAATTTTCTTTTTGCAAAACGAAAACATGATCGTAAAACCGCTCGATTTGCCTGCGCACGCGTACAAGCCACCCCAATCCCTTACCTACTACTCATAAGCCCACCCGTTGGGCATCTCTATCTGTCAATCATGTTTGTTCTTGCGTGCGTTCAGTTCGTATCTTCAAGAATTCCAGATACATACAATACAATTCAACCACCCCCCAGGGTGCAGTAGGTGGCGAAATGCTCGCCCACCGATGGTTAGGTTCATTCAATTCGTGTTTGTTCCTCTTTGAAATCTGTGGATTATCTGCAGTCTTTTCCAATGTCGCCGCCTTTGTCAAAGTCATGGGTTTTTGGGCTGCTCTTGTTCAATTGGGTTCTTTCCTAAAGTATTTTGCGGCCTCATTTGTCCAACTCCTTTTGTCCAATGCTATTGATAAGGTGTGTGTGGCACTGATCTTTTGTCCTCCTTTTGTTTTTCTTTTTTAAGATATCCATTCTTGGAACTGGCAGTGCCATTTCTGGGGTTTGCAGTTTAATGCTCGAGGTGTTGATTAGATGACTTCTATTTGGGGTTGCAAAAGGGCAGATTCCGTTGGTCCGTTTAGGTCTACTGATAAATCGTGCTTATCTCACTTGTGCTAGGCCTAATGATAAATCATCATTGAAGTGATTTTTAAGTTCGTCTTTAAAAAAGTTTTAAAATTTATAAGATTTGCTATTTTCTGTTAAGCTATAACATTTTTTCTTTCCGATATAATCACCTTCTCTACCTGGTCGCTGTAGTTGGATTTTTAGGATAAGAAAATCCAATAAATATGACTCATTTCTACCAATTAAGCTCTTGATGTGACGCCGTAGATTGCTCAGAAGGCACACGTGACTAAGTATCCACTAATCAAGCACTTTAAATATTGTTGCAAAGTGCAAAAATCAGAATCAGCTTTACAAACTTTAAGCTGTTAACACGGCTACGCTTAACTTCCAATGTTTGATTTATTTTATCATCACTTAGGGAATGGTTGAAAATAAAAATAAACGAAGAAATTATTATTATTGTTTATTTTTATGAAGTTTTTGGGTTACTTGGTTGGTAAATTAGTCAAATAGTTTTCAAAATATAAAACATGTTTAGACATGATTGTTCCAGGTAGCAAGTAATGAATTCAAGACTTAAGAATTTCCTGTAGTTGGTCAAGTAGAGAAGTTTATAAATGATAGGTTATATCCCGGCAGTAGTTAACGTTCAGAACTAAAGATGCTATATATTAGTAGCTATCTACCATATAGTAACCAGACACAGCTTAAGTGCCGTAGTCTGATAATTGAAAAGCCTTTTTATAATTGCCCGTCTGGGAATAAAACGGGACCAAGAGATCTGGATACGTTCCCGAGCAACCGTGACCACGCCATCACCATCACCACCGAGACGAGGAAGCCTATCAAAGCGGCTTGGGATCACTTGGGACAGCTGCCGGTAGTTGCAGGCGGATTGTATCATGATGGGTAAGCCGGGTCGCATTGGGGTCGCGATAAGTCAAACCGAATGGCTGGGCGGCTTCCACTTCACGACTTTACGGGGGAATTTAATAATGTCGTTTGTATTTCACTACTGTCTACGACTGCCTATTGACTTTTGCATTTGCTTTGTTTTCTATTCCTACAACAACTGCCACCGCCGACGTAGTCGTCATTAGTTCCAAGCTATTTTTCTTTTCCGCCCACCGCACCGCCCCCAAAATCCCTATTATTTGCTAATGCCGAGCATCTGTGTTTGTGTCTCTGCTTTTTTTTTTTTTTTTATTTTGCGTTTGCCTTTGCAATTTCGATTTGATTGGATTTGTTTTGTTTTCTTCCCATAAATAAAAGGCCAGCACCCATCGGAGCTCTCAGACGTTGATTCGCATTTGCATTGGCCAGATTCGCCTAACTGCCAGATCGAAAATCATTTCACCGAAAGCCAAACTCAATTTGATATTTCAATTCTTAAATAATTATTTATTCAAAATAAATATAAAACAAAAGTTTTAAAGATGGGTCGAATCTTTTGTGCTGTTTTTGTAATTACAATTTCGGGCTTATGTCTGGCAGCGGATATCGAGTTGCCTCCTGTAGAGTTCAAGCCGGTCCGGGAAATACGTGAGTGTTGAAAATCATAACATGAACGATTACCAGCCAAACAGTCTATTTTATGCCATTTTAGTGATAAAAATAAAATATCTGTTTAAAGATTTTAAAGAACATTCAAATATATAAAATATAGACACTGTTAATCCGACACTTTATTACACTCAGAAGATGACGTCGTTTAATTTGTGATATTATCAGGCTAAATAGAAAATTTGAGATACAAAATTGACTTCATGATAGCAATAATCGTGTGAAGCACGCAACTTTGTGTGAATTTTATAACAAAGCAGCTAAGCCATCTGATAGTCAAAGTTCAAGTTCCAGATTTCCCTAAAACAATAGCATTGCACAACATTTAATTAATAAATTAATTAATACTTTGCAATAAATTGGGATAAATTACACGAAATCTACGTTGGTCAGAATAGCAAATATCCTGCTCTGTTTAAGGATTTCTTAATGGTTAATAAAGCCTTTATTTGAAAAACAATATGTAAATGAGATATATAAAATTACAATTAATATTCTCTACTTCGCAACAGAACAATAAACAGATCCATTTAAAGAAAAGTAAGAAATTTGATTAAAAAAAAGTAACACGTGATGTCACGATGACAAGATATTTATTAAAAATTAAATAATATTCAAAGTTTCTTAAATATCATTTTTGGCTTACTGCATTAAACGAGAAGCGACCATTTAGACCATGACAAACGAAAAACTTGTAGTGTCACGCTGATGGGTATTGTCTTCAGGCAGTTTTGGCCAAAAATAGACACTTGTCGCAAAACATAGCCATTTGAAATGGCTTATTGTCCCAGCAACACTTGCACATGTTATTTTTATACGTTATTAGCTGACCAAGTCATATGATGTTGTTGATATAAATATAACTTTTTTATGGGAGAATATAAAAATAAAAGACAAGTTTGCTGCCTGAGTCTTTCGTACGGATTTGTCACTTCCGCTGGCGGCCTTCTCCCAAGGTAGGCAGACCAATGGGAAAAGTTTTAATTGCCGGCGTATTCAAACCGAAACGAACTTGAGACGGCAGTACAAATAAAAAACTCTTTTAATTAAATGCATGAATTTTCATCAAATCAAATCTAATCAACAAATAAATTGCGCATGACGTTGACAATATTGTGAGCAGAGAAACGTTTAAGCGAACATTAACTGAAAATTCTCTCCTATGCTAGAAAAATGTCACGTTCTGAGCATAGGCCACATCGATCGTACGCGATATGACTAATCTGTTGTAGTTTTGTTTTATTTATGCTGAACCAAATATGTCAAGGTTCATACGCACTAATTTAATTTGTTTGGCCTTTGGCAGCTGGTGACATTCCGACCTGCCGGGAGGGTGACATCAATATCAGCGAGTGCATCAAACAGGGCCTCCAGCAGATAACGCCACGCATGAAGTACGGCATCAGCGAGCTGAACATCCCGCCCCTCGATCCCTTCGAGATGGGCAAGAGCTCCTACAGCTATAATTCTGGCCTCCTCCAGGGACGTATCTCCATGAAGAACGTCGTTGTCCACGGCCTTAGCGAGGGCATCGTGGACAAGGTCAACTTTCGGCTGAAGGACGGACGCGTTCGCATGGAGATCCTCTCGCATGTCCCACAAATGTTCGTCGAGGGCCTCTACAAGGCGGACATTAAGCTTAATGATCTCAAACTGAACCCAAAAGGATCTTTTAACGTTACCCTGAGTAAGTTACTTCAAAGAAAGCTAGAATTAATTGATACATTATAATATTCTAACTTTCGTTTGCCTGCAGCTGATGTCACGATGAAGGCAAGACCTCTTGGCGAGCTGTATGAGCGTGATGGTCACACCTACCTGCGTCTGACCAAACTGGAGACTGAGCCCAAGGTGGGTGACCTGAAATTCTACGCCAACGGCCTAGTTCCGGATCCAGTACTTAGTGAGTGATTGTCCTCTTGAGCTCAGTTACATAAAGACTAAACTCTTGATTTCTGTTTAGACGATGTCATCTTGGACTTTATTAATCAGTACTGGCGTCAACTGTATCAGGCCATGCTTCCCGAGACATTGGCCGCGTGGCAACCCTTGCTAGTGAAGTCCGCCAATGACTTCTTCGCTGCGTTGCCATTTGATATGCTTGTTACCAAGAATTGAGATCCCTGACTCTCTTTGTTATACATTATTTATACTCTTCGGCTTCATAAAAGAGGTGTTAACATAGTTTATACCGAAATAAAGTTTAAAATACTTAAATATATGTTTCAATTTGAATAAAACCACTCTGAAAAGAATGTAAATGAAATTAAGAGCAACTTTAGTTGGACTTTATGGGTACATTATGGGTAATAAACTGAACAGATTAGTAAAAGTAAGGCAATAAGAAAGCTTTTAGCTTCGGCATACATTGATTTATTATTCTATTATTCATTGCTGAGAAGCTCAGGCTAAACGTAATCATTACTAATTATTCTATAAGCAATAAATCAATAAATGACTGATTAGAACTAACCCCATTCAATTGTATTTAATTATATAACTCTTCAATGGCCATTCAATTGTACTTCCTGCATACTAATAACAAAACGAACTCCTATTAAGTTAACTCTTCTCGTTGAAAGGGGGTGTAAAGTTCATAGTATAACTAACTACTAGTATGACTCACTAAGTGAGGAGTTTTCTTCAGGCTCGAATTGGCAGCCCTTCGCTGTCATCGTCATTCTTTTTAGCACAAATGACCAAAATTTGAAACCCATTATTAGTATGCGTACTTGGTGATTAGTAGAAGAATTTATGGCGAATCATCGTTGCCATCAACTACTATACCTTCAATATATTTTTCCATTTAATAATACGACATTATAAATCAGACAGACGGAGCCGGTTTTGAGTTCAGTCAAAGTCTAGCTGTTTGCCGGCTAATGTCTTACTGATTTACAAGTTAAATATACTAAGCTAGTTTCTAACTTGCAATGTGCAGCGGTGTGCTAATTTTGAGAATAAAATAGCTCGACTTGCAGTCTGGGAGCTTCAGTTTGTGCTTAACGTTCTAGCAGCAGGTTGGAAAGCCAAGTTCGAGACCCATAAAAGGATATAGTATAGTCGTATAGTTAGTATGCATTCTATTATTGGATTATTGTGCCTGCTGGCCTTAGGAGTCAGTGCAGCGCCTACGGATAAAGATTACTTTGCTGGTATGTAAAATATAATATAGTTCAAGCTTTTTGTACATCTTTAAAACCTTTTCCTTTGAAGATTTGCCAAAATGCTCAACGGAAGAGGATCAGCTGGGGGAGTGTGTCAAGGAGCTTTTTAATACATTGACGCCCCGTCTCAAGGACGGTAATCCCGAGCTAAGGATCGAACCCTACGAACCCCTCCGCTTCAACCGAACTAGTTTCCAGTACACTAGTGGCACGGTCAATGGTCGGATAACTGTTCGCAATGCCAAGATCTACGGATTCGCCGCCAATCGAGCCAAAGAAGTCTCTGCCAAACTTAATGGCGACAAGGTCAAATTCCGTTTCGTCACCCAAATGCCAAAATTGAACATTGTTGGGAGTTATAAGGCCGATCTGCAAGTGAATCAGCTGCAATTAAAGCCCAAGGGTGAATTCAACTTAACGTTGTGTGAGTACATTATATACACCTATGGGGTAGATCTCTTATCATTCCGTTTGTAGATGATGTTGAGACCAAAACTATTACTGATGGCGAAATCTACGAGAAGGATGGCCATCGGTATTTCCGCCTCACGAATCTGGATGCAAATCCCAAACCGAGGGATATGGAAATCAAGGCCAATGGAATATTTGAAGATCCAGAACTGGGTGAGTTTAAGGTTTAGGGAGCCGATTGAGAAGGTTGCTTTCTATGCAGGCCTATATGAGAATAATATGAACCTGTATAGCAGAGTAAATTGATATTAAGTGAAATCAATTATACTAAAGGCAAACAAGTCGTTACGCTGCATACAATGTATTGTATTTAATGAAATCATAGCTCACGTCTAACGACTGCTGTTTTTTTACAGATAAAGTTGCTATGAATGTGGCTAATCAGTATTGGCGCGATATCTACGGAATATTACTGCCGGAGACCCGAAAGTTTTGGCAGCCCCTCATGCTGAGAATGTTCAACGAGGCATTCGAACTGGTTCCCATCGACCAGTTTCTCAAGGAGTAGCTCGCTTAGCTACTGATTATTGTTTATAGAAAATAAATTGCTGCTATTAAATGTTAATATTTGTTTATATTATTAAACATTTATTCTAGGCGCCATTTGATGTGTAATTCATAGAAGTTACATCAATTACCAATTTAATTCAGGGTTTATTGAATTTGTTATGCCCCAGTTAAGCGAGTAAATGTAACACACCATTTTATTGTAAACCATGCCCACTGGGTCACCTAATGATAATAACGTTAATAGGTTAAGTGCCCACCTTTCAGGCATTTGACCTTGACGAACTAACTGGTAGGTAGATTGTGGAAGAGCTATTACGGTGAAATTGAGCAAGACTCAACACCACTACTAACTAAACGACTATCTCTGAACTTGAACTGTGTGAGAAATTTATTATTCAGTTGGGCCGAAATCCCGGCGGTACTGCAATACCGGGCCAACCCGCGAAAGAGGTGGAGCAAGCTCCTAGCACTCCGTCTGATTCCAAAAATCAGTTTAACATTTGTTGTCCTCCAATGGAGGAACTATCAGATGTTAAGCTGATAAGAACAGATACTACACTTTGATCTTAGCCATAAGGCCGAGAAGCGATAACTTGAAACTGAAAATGAGCAGGGTCTCCATGAGGAAACTGCTAGAACCACTTGGGAATTATAAAAGTAGTGAAAGTAGGAAAGTAGCATTATTTCTATAGCCTACGTTAAGGGTTCATTTAGGTAGTCAAATCACAGTTAGCCGCCTGAGATGGGATGCAGAACACCCACATATTCTGGGGATGGCTTAAGCCGAAGAAAGGGTTTTACGATTCTCAACAAGTTAAAGCTTGTCTTAAGAGGTGAGATGGGTGCATCGCTTGACCTTCTAAATTATTCTGGATTTTCTTAAAATTTCGAATAAATCTCTCACCTTGTACTCAAGATTTTTCCCTGGAGGAGAACAACTGATTAAGTATGAGGTAAGTTTTGTAGAGTCTGGCGATTTCGGTTGCCAGGCCACAAGAAATAAATTATAAAATGAATATTGCTAGATGGTATCTAGACCCTAGCAAAAATAATACCAATATCAAATATAATATTGAAATTGTACTCGTCTTAAGTTTAAAACGTAGACGGCGCTAAATGGCCATAAATCAGCCTATTATACTGCAGTCAATTATACATTCTTAATGTCTATGGTGACCGGGCTGTTTCGTGCTCAGAATGCAAAACAGTAGCGATATGGTTGATTAAATGTAAAAAATAAACACGCGACTGTCGTCTGGTTGAAGACAGGCCCATAATATTAAGTAGGTATTTCTAACTATTTAATTATATATGTTTAGCATAGAATTTGTGTTTAGAGTTCTTCCGTGGCAAAGTTCATAGGTGCTTAGCTGTGATATTAGTTTGTTGCACTTAACTAAAGACTCCTACTTACTCAGTTAATTTTTTGAAGATGTCACGTACCAGACTGCCTTGAACATCGATTTGTACACCCACAAAGTCTCAGGTTCATGAATAATTTTATGTGGCATAAAGAGCCGCAAAGATTTATAACTGACCCACATTTTACATGAACACCCCTGGAGGGCCTCACTGCCACAGTGCGTCTCAAACTGACTACGTGCCGCGCACTTTGACTGAAAATAGGGATTGGAGGCTTTGGAATGGGAAAATGTCTTGTCAGTTTCCTCATTGTTGGTTGCATTTGACAGATTTGTGAGATCAATCAACCAACGGATGCATATTATGCATATGTGGTAAGAAGTTTTTCTAAGGTGAATAAATAAATGAATAAAAGCAAAACAATTAAAGGAAAACAAAGGAAAGGAAACATATTTGATATATATAATATATTATATAAATAATATTTGATAAATTCAGTTCACTTACTGCCTTAATTAGTTCACTTTTTGTGTAAGCTCATAACATTTTGGCTAATGTATGCGCACGTGTATGTGAAAAATGGCACCCAAGAAAAAAGTCCCATTAAAATCGAACGACTTCTCAGAATACTTTTTTTTATAGTGACTTTTTAAAATATTCAAAGTCTTGAACTTGTTGCTCTCAAACTGTAGTACAGTGGTTCTTCTCAATAAGCTTTTCGTTTGTTGTTTTGGCTGAGTTGAGCTTTTGAGTTCGGCTTTGACTTCGGATGTGTTGGCCTAAAGCCTTCGAAACGACCGATTTCGTTGGGGTCTTTGGCTGTATGTTGTTGCTGTTGGCTTTGGCTTCGGTAGCCGCATGGAAAAACTTTTGAACGAGCACAAAATTCGGGCAGCTTGAAAACTATAAATAAACGTGAATTTGATGCAGTGCTCATTTCAAGATTTGCAAGCAACGCGCCGTCAACTCAAACATACGTTTGTCCATTTTTTGCGGATAAGTTTGGCAATTAGCTGGCTGAGACTGTGTGCATCTCTGTGTCCGTGTGTGCAGCAATTGCAGCAACAATTGCAGTTAACCGAGAAAACCGTCCGAAAAGCCAACAAAAAAGCAACTTTAAAAAGCGCTCGTGAAGAAATAAAAGTGAAGCCGGTTTGCAAAAAAATTACGCAAATAAAAAAAAAAGGAAAAACGGAGACAACCAAAATTACCGTCTGGTCTGTATTCGTGAGTTAAATCAAGTCACACGAAAATATTCAAATAGAAAGAGTCCAGTAATCACAATTGAAACGAGTTTGCATCGGCCCATCGTGCAGAGGAAATCGAGCGAGGAAAGAGCCAAAAAGCCAGCCCCAAAATGCAATTGCTTTGCATCTCGTTAACCATTTTGGCCGCCTTGGCACTCGGAAGTGGCTATGCAGCCACGCTGCCAACCTCCGCTCCCAGTGTTTTCAGCAGCGATCCCAATCCGAATACGAATTCCAACCCGGTCGAGGATGCAGGTAATGTGGCTTATGCAACCAAGACCAGAACTTGATAATCAAACAAAATGTCACTCCCATCCCACGCCCTCAAAACTATATACAGTATTTACCCATAATTAAAGCAGCTTGAGTCAAAGAGTGTGCTGTCCAAGTCTTTTGTTTGCCTAGGTGAGGCTCTATGCAAGCGAAAATGCAGCGGCGTGTGCCATTCAAACTTTACTGTATGATGGGTTTTTTTATTTATCATTTTTTATGTTTATAATTTTTATATTCTTTGTCTCTTTTTGATGTTTTAAATCGGTAAAAAGGAGTCATATTTATTAAAGAAATTAGTAGTTTCATCTGTCTCAGAAATTACAGATATTCTTGAGAAACTGAAAGATTTGATAGGTTTCATTTCTAACAAAATTTCCAAAAACTTTCCAACAAAACATAAAATTAAATTGGTGTTTCAAACTTTAATAACAAAATACGTTCTTAGCTATTTGGGTTTAATCTAACTTCCTGTTTTCATTTTCATTTTATGTCTTCGCTTCACTTCTTCTTAACTGCTTAGTTTAAATTCAGTACAGGTCTTGTCCGGTGTGCCGTCCATGCCAATCTTTCCAGATGACTCATCGTGAGCTTCTTGAAAACCATTACGTATATAAAGCATACACTTAACACCGCTTTTATAGGCCTGTAACCTTCAAAAATGAACAAAATTGGGAAAAATACTGAGAAGCTGCAATCGTAAAAGAGTATTTTTAATGAGATTTGCTAAGAGCCAAGTCCGGGCTATAGAAAATGAAATTGCAATAGAAATTAGCAAGTGTATTTGCAGTTAAATCTTTTTATTTATTTGGTTTTTTAACGCTTTTGAAATGGCAAGTGGAATATGTAAAATAAAGCGACAAGCAAGTCATCGCCTCTGCCACTTGAACTTGACACACTTACAAATTTTTTTTTGGGTAAAAGTTATAAAGCAGCGTGGAGAGACGCGAAACTGTGGGTAAATAGAAATTGTGACGCAAGTTGTGGAGAGTTATAAATGCAGAATAAACACGAGATAATGCAGGCTCGAAAAAATCAGTTTGAAATATTTCGCCAATTACATTAATTTAATCAGCCACGAGGTGTTGACTATTGTGTGTGAGTTTTATTTATCGGTGTGTTGTTTGCGCTCTTGCGAAAAGAGTTCAGCGTCAACAAAAGCAACAACGAGGCTTAAATCCGATCCGAAACCGGCTGCTGTCGCTACCAAGACTATCAAAAGACCGCCGAGCTGACATAAAGCGAAAAGCTGAAAAACTGACCTACATCAATGCGTAAGAGGCGGCGCTGCTGGGCTTGTGCCAAACTGAAAGCTGCAATTGTAACTTGTCTCTAATTGCGCAAAGAAAACCGTCAACAACGAGTACTACTGAACAAAAAATAACATGGCCAGCACAAATTTATTGACATTCGCTTGGGCAAACAAAGGACTTAGGCAACGAACTTCACATCGACCCAGCCCATTTCTGTCACCTCTTTAGTTTTTTTTTTGACATTTTAAGCGCTGATTTGCCTCATGTCCATGCCATAACACATATCACATCATGTGGCTTGGCTCACCTTTGACATTGAACTTGTCGGTCGAAGCAAAAGGAAAAAATAAATGTAAAACAAAACAGTGGGAAACAAATTTCGGGGCACTCAAGCCAAATGACTTAATAGGGCTGTTCACGTGCGTAATTCGGCATTAAATGAACCAAAGTTTGTCTCATTCTTCAAGTGCTTAATTACAAGCTTTAAATTTGTTTTCATATCTTTTAAATTTCGGATTGCCTTGCCAAGGAACATTAAAATAATTGCTTTCCGCTTGTCATTAGAAGGAGAAGATGAATACATTTAGTGGCGTGACTGAATACCATTCCAAGTACAATTTTATTTTAACAACATGACTTTAGTGAGAATCATTAGTTTCCTTTAAAGATGTAGCATTCAAATTTAATCATAGTTTTTATCTTTTTTTAAATAACAATTATTATCCAAGTGATATTTTAAAACGAAAGACTTTAGACTTTGATTTTGGTTGAGTTTTGCATTTAAATGCCACTGAGGTTAAGGATTATTTAAGAAAATGATTTCAAGAAAATTACTGTCTGAGAATAATGTCTTTCTTTAATTAGTAACTAATATATACAAAGCCTATAAACTACCCAAGACCTAGTCAACCAGTGACATTGTGACTCAAACCCCATTCACGATATGACAGAAGAGACGTGGCGACAGGGACACGTGAACTTCGTCATGCCTGGTTGGTTGCCTGCCACGAAAAGCGAAAGATAAAATAAATATAATGTTTATAATCCCCCCTTGGTCAGGTGCTATGCTATGCTATGCCTCGACGATCTTAACAACTTAGCCTAGCCATGACTTAACCGACTTGTGAACTAATCTCTCATCACTTTCGCCTTTCAGTTGCACCACCGTCAGCTACCTTGTCCAGTGGTTCGAATGAGGTTACACCCTGTAGTCTTAGTTCGTCGGATCTGAATGAATGCATACGCGGTTTGATTCAATCATTTGCCCCCAAGTTAAAGAATCAGGGAGTGCCGGAGTTCAATATGGACTCCATTGATCCGTATTTCTACAAAAGAGGCATCTTCCGGTATACCAACGATGGCATCCAGGGAGGACTTCTGATCAAGAACATGGAAATCTATGGCATCAGTCAGTTGCAGGTCAACAGTGTGGCTGCCAATTTCACCGACGACGGATTTATAATCAAGTTGGGCATTGAACTGCCGCAACTCAAGGCAGGTGGACACTTCAAGGCGGACGTGAAGTTCGGTGGATTGCGTCTGGTGCCCAAGGGACCCTTCAACATCACCATAGGTGAGTGTCGGTTGAATAAGAAATTGAGGGGAACATGTGTCTGATGAATTAACATTCCCCAGACAACATCAAGGCCACCATTCTGACCGATGGCCACATCGAACAGCTGCCCAGTGGTCAGAAGCGTCTCAGTTTACATCGTCTGAATGCCAATGTCAATATCGGCGATGCCAAGGTGGTGGCCAATGGCATCTTCTCGGATCGCAGCTTGAGTAAGTTAATAATACCCCATAGGTCTTATAAATTGTATATATATTTTGTACTACTACAGATGCCATGATTCTCAATCTGGTCAATGAGAATCTACCGGAAATCACACGTGTCGGAATTCCCGCCACCCGGGAACAATGGGCTCCCATTTTGATTGCCCATATCAACGAGTTCTTTGCTAAGGTTCCCATCGAAAAATTCCTGGTTCAATGATGCACTAAGCCTAAGCTCAAGGAACACTAGCTCCTAGTTAGTTTTAGCCTAATGTTTACAATAACAAATTTAACTTAAGCGCTGTTTCCAAATAATTTTCTATGCACAAACGATTTGGCAATCATTTGGAATGATTTTAAACATAACCAATTTGTATTTATTTATGTCATCTATTCTAAAACAAAAAAAAAGCTATGTGAAAATTTTAAAATAAACGCTCTTTTCTAAAATGTTTACCTTATAATTTGTTTTTTTGTTATCCCAAACGTTAATGTACGCTTAATGTTCGACTCATACAAAGCTGTACCTTTTCTTGAGCCCAAAAGTATACTTTCTTTCAGGCGTTTTAGGATATGTAAAATACTTATTGAAGAGGTAGAATTCATGTATATTACAAGTCAATTTGGATTTGATAATGTTTTTGGGCTTCGGTTAACTCTAGTATCTGTTTCTTGACAAAAACTAATAAGGTACTTAAATGTGTAAATCTTTAAAAGATCTGTAAAATTCGAAGATATATCTTTATCTATGGTACTATGGTAGCTAGTTGTTTTTATGAATAAAATATTTTATAATGCCTTTTTTCACAGATGCAATGTCTATGAATATACACAAAGTAAGATTACTAATATCAAAAATAAAAGCTAATATTAAGTTAATATTTCTGGCTATGGTACATCTGCTATAACAACGTCAATCAGCTAATTGTCCTATAAATAAATATTCCAACGGTTCCAAACTATCAAGTGTCTCATTAAACACTGAGTAGGCGAAATTTCCTTGCCAGAACATCCAATTGATTGAACTTGAAGATGCTGAGCACTGCAAACACGAACAATCCCCATCCCACCGAAGCGCCTTTCAAAGCTCAATATTCAACACTCCCACTTGTCGTTCAATCAAAGGGGCGAATGAGCCCCAAGGCTTCCAATTACTGACAGTTAGTTGGCAAAATATTGAATCACAATTATCCCGCGAAAAGGTCCAGGCCGTGACACTTAACTTTCCATCGATCATTGAATGTGGAACTTGGGTCGAGTGCTTTTGTTGAAATGATCTCAACGATTCTCAGGCAACAATTGACTTTATTTGTGATATATCTAACACCCAAGGCGCCGCCTGATCTCAGCGTTGATAATGCGATTAGAACAAAGCCCTGATTAATGTAGATTTCAATTGAGTCCTGAGTCAAGAGGTGTGCTCCTCGCCGCCAGTTCAATGCTCGCCGAAAGTCGTAAATTTTGCATATTATTTAGAAAAACACTTACATCAGCCTATGAATTCAAACGGGTCTACTTAAACTCGCCTAGTGGAAAATGCAGAGCTAAATGCAATATGCACCATGGAATTTAAATGGAAATTCAATCTCGTTTTGCAGTGAGAAATGTAAAGGGCAGTGCGATTTTTAAATATATTTTTAATCTTTTAAAATAAACGATATTGAAGAAGGGTAAGAGCTAATTTATGGACAATCACTGATATGCATAGATAAAGAAGATAAAACTACTTTCATGATTTCCCCTAGAATTTCTCTAAGTGCATAATAATGGGCAAGTGAGCTAGAATGTGAAGATGAAACCGCAGCTGGATTTTTCTTTTATTAGTATGCAGTCGCACAGCTTCCCGGCGGCGGCTTCGGAGCAGCCCGCCCCGTTTAGTCTACATTGATGCCCGTTCCAGATCGGATTCGGGATCGGGATCGGGTTGGAAGACGAATCTCTGCCGGCTGCCTGGTGGGCAATGGCAACGAAGGCGTTGCTGGAACTAGTTTAGTTTAGTGGACAGAGCGTCGCGTGTGCATTAGAAGGCGGCCCAGTAAGTTGGCCAAAAAGTAATTCAGCGAAAGAAACGCGTTAATAATTGACATTTCGGCTGTTCGGGCCTCAACATTTCTGCCGTCGTCGCTGTCGCCGGCTCTGCTGGCATCGCTGTCGTCGTCGTTTGGCAACGGAGCTGTTAACCAATCCCCAGAACCTCTGTTGGCTCAGAAGCGATCGGGCCTTCCAGCTAAGAAGACGGTCCTGTCCGTCTAACGTACGATACCATAAACCGGGAATCGAATACCCAATACCGAGATCCAGAGCAAGTCCAAGTCCAAGTCGCGATCGTATTCGTGGTCAGGTGAATGCCATCGCGGCAACGTGCCTGGCATTCTCGAAGAGATATATATTCTGAGTCGCGATTCGTGGTGGCGGTTCTTTATACTCTATAGCAGTCAATTTGTATATGGTCTGCCCTCCCCCTCGCTCAAAACAAAAACCAATTGGGAAGATACGAGTATAACCGCAGCGAAAGCAAAAAATATTATCAAAATGTTTGCATTTTGGCCAGTTTTATTACTTTGTGTGCATTTGCTGCATTTTAAAATTATCTTGGCTGTAGATCTCCCAGTCGTTTCGGGAGGGCCAGAAGCTCCAGCTCCTGTGTGGCAGAATGGTGAAGTAAATGCGGCGCTAGAGGCAGGATTGGTCAGAGCCAATGCCACAGCAGAGGAGAACTTTGGCGGCGGAGACGTAGTGGGTAAGTCAGAATAATTAAATTCTGTGAATGAAAAAACTACATGCCTAAGGCTGCAGAATATATGGTTCGATTGAATCGAAAGACTTAAGGCACAAACTTGTTAATCATTTTAGATTAAACAAAATTAAGGACAAAGTATTATAAATGTGCTTAATCCTGGCCTTAAGCCAGTTATCTTTTCAAGAAAAAGATAATTTAATTACAATTTATAATATAATTTTTAATAAATACCTTTTGAAAAGGCTATCCAAAATTATTATAAACTAATAGAGATTCGAGCTTTGCCAATAGCTCTTCTTCAATATACGTCACAAATATAAACCTAAGTTCAACGACATCGAAATAACATTTTTCTGATTCGATAATAGAATTTATGCACAGCACGCACCAAGCATTACTTGTTTGACCTTCAGAAATCTATATAAATCGCTGAAAGCTAGGAGGGAAAATGCGAAATTTTGTTCTACGAGTGAGTGTACTCAACATTGTTTACCTTATAGACTTGATGGCTTGTCGCTAGGCCCAGCCCTTTTGGGCCAGTTAAAAAGAGAGCTTTCTAGTGCGAAACTCATGTAGGCGTGAACTTACAGATCAACATCATCGTGCTCTGTCGCCTGTCAATGTACCCGCCAATCTATTCTCTCTTATTTATGGCCAACAATTAGACAATTAGACAGCACTTTTGATGGAGGTTCGTGATCTGTTGGTGATGTCTTTTCGGGGCGACGACATAAGCCTATCAATTTGGGATGCCCCGCAGATTGGGCCATAAACGTATATCACATATATACGACAATAAGCCGACACCTTTCTCAGATTTAACAAGCCATATTCATTAAAGATTAATTTTTATTTGCATTTTGTCCACTTTGCTCAATCGCTGTTAACAACGTTGCAATGGGAATCGCGATAAATATCGTTTATATGACCGTTGGTCATATAAAATTTAAGAGCCACCATAAAGTAGACCTCCGAGTCGAGTTCTCTGGGATCCTGCCTTTAAATTCAGGTTTTTTCAGTAGCAGACACAAGCTGTAACGGTCTTGCAGACCTTGAACTTATAACTTGTCCCTGATTCTTAATAAACGTTTTTGCAAGTCTTAGCTGAGAAAACAAGTTGCATCTTGGGATGGGCGTGTGTCGGGGATCATTTCATGTATAAGAATTTTCAAGTAAAAAGGTTACTCTTATTATAGTAATACAAATCACTGGCTGACACCGATTTAATTTATATTTTCATTAAAAAAATTACTTTCTCAGCTTCTTAAGTAGTTTTAAGTGTGTCGAATTCCAAGCAGGATCCTCGATCAATCAAAGCGAATTTGCTGCGCTGATTTTTGGCTGACAGCTTGTCATAACAATTTAAAAAGAATCAAAGTAATAAACATAAAAACACCGATTTCAGACATTATTTGGGCCAAATGAGTAATATCCCGATGACTTTCTTTGGGGATCCACACAAACATAAGATTCAGTTGACAATCGCAGTTAAGTGAGTCACGGATGGATTAATATTTTTGGTTGGGTGTAGGGTATACATTTTGTAAAATGAAAACATTAACGAAAATGTATATTCATTAAGGATTTATAGCACGTTCTGAACGTATTTTTCATTAAGAGTTGTGCCAGTAAAGCAAAGGCCACGTGCAGATTTGTAAGACTTTCCTGCTCCATCTTCATCCTCTGACAAATCGTTTTTATGCTCGATTTAGAATCAATAAAACTTACACCTTATCGAAAGCACTAAAGTTTCGGGCTGTCAAGAAGATCGTTTAAATTAATCGGCACAAAGGCAATCGGCTCGTTAAGAACAAAACACCCCCATGATAAGCTAACCGAATCGCTTATTTAGTCAAATTTTATGCGCTGTCGAGCCACTCGAACTACCAGATATATATATGTGGGCCAAAAGCAGACCAAAACATGTGTAATAAATTAAAAATATGGCAAAATCATGCTAAATAGCAACAACAATCCTCATACGACAGAGAGGGAAAAAGACCAAATAGAGCCGGCAATCTAAACAAAGGCCTAGACCAATTTTAAGAAGCTGCCAATGGACATGACAAATATATGACAATTGACAGTAGAAAGTTGCCGCAGCGGGGGGCAAGTCCAGCATCTCTTAGCAGAAATGGCACAGCAATTGTCATTCCGTGTGGAAAAAGCTTAAGTTTATTGTCAATATTCTGGGCAACGAAATATGTCAAAATATTGAGTAATCACTCTCGCGTGTACCCCGAAACTCGAAACGTGAACGAATGTTAAGTAAATATTGGCTTGGTCTTTTCTCCACTCCGTTTTTTGTTTTTTTGTTTTGTTATTTTGGTGCTTTGTCAATAGCGCAACAGATTGGCCAAAAAATGGGTTGTAAAGTACCACAGTTTTGGCTAGACAATTGCGTATGTAGCTCAAATCTTTCCAGGGGTCAACAAACTCTGATCTCGAGTGCCACCAAAAACGATCAGCAGTTTGCCATCGAGAGATCCAAGACATGAATCCATTATTATTACTTTTTCATTAAAAACCTTATTGGTAATGTTTTATGTAAACTATTAGGCTCTCCCTTTATTAATTTTATTATTCTTAATTATGTCTCTTCTTTTTATCTTTCAAGATTCCTCATCAGCAAATCTGAATCGCCAGCGTCGTCAATTCTTCTTTGATCCGAGTATTCTGTTTTGGCAGGGGGGATTTGGTGGCTCTGGTGTTCCTGGTGGCTGGGGCCCAGGCGAGGGATCCAAATGTCTTACATCTCGTGGCCAACCTGGTGTGTGTGTCCGGATCGATGGCTGTCGCCAGTATTACAGGGTGGCCCGCCAGCTATCCATAATCACCTTGCGCCAGTGGCCACAAAATAATGGTCTTGGCCTGAATGGCAACATGTGCAACTTTTTCGATCAGCTGGGCAGAGTTAACAATGGAATTTGCTGTACGGATATCGATGCCAATACCTTTGGAGTGTTTCCACTGCCTGGAGTGCCAACGACGACCACGACTACAGAGAAGCCTTCAAATGCAGCGGATGAGGAAGATAGAGTGGATGTGAACCCTGAAGGTGAAGTAGAAAGTGAGCAGCCAGTGGATTCTCCTCGACCGGAGGACCCTATTGATAACGTCAACAGTGTAGAGGACATGCCAGACTTTCAGGACGTGAACACGATTGAGGGCAATGCTCCTGAAGCGGAACCCCAACCTGAAGTCGAACCCGCGGAGGAACCAGTGGTGCAGCCTATTCCCGCCCAGCCATCCTCTACGATCTATCCCTACCAATGGCCCTTTGGCTCCTTTGCTGGTGGAGTGGCGCAGTGGCCACCGGCATTACCCACTCATCCACCAACAACGGGCGGCTGGCCACCACCACTTCCCACCCATCCGCCGAACCATCATTATCCTACTCATCCCACTACCGCTGGGGTACCAAGTACAAAGCGTACTACTCCGAGACCCACAAGTCCCACCAGACCTACCACCACCAGGCGCCCCAGTTATCCTAGCTATCCAACGGCAGTGACAACCACGACCACGACAAGGCGCCCTGCCAGTGGAAACAGTCCCGAAGGACTTCCGCTGCAGTGCGGCAACAAGAATCCAATGACGCCCGATCAGGAGCGGATTGTGGGAGGAATCAATGCCAGTCCACACGAATTCCCCTGGATAGCAGTGCTGTTCAAGTCGGGCAAACAGTTCTGCGGCGGCAGTCTCATCACAAACAGCCACATACTGACAGCAGCTCATTGTGTGGCAAGGTAAAATCAATCATTTTTTATTATGCTAAAATTATTTTTAAAAATCTTGATTTTTTAAGGATGACCTCGTGGGATGTGGCGGCTCTGACAGCCCATCTGGGTGACTACAACATCGGCACGGACTTTGAAGTGCAACATGTGTCGCGCAGGATCAAGCGACTTGTGCGGCACAAGGGCTTTGAGTTTAGCCACTTGGTAGGTTAAATAAAGTAACCTGTTCTAACAAATATTATAATGATTTACTTTTCACTAGCACAATGACGTTGCCATACTCACTTTGAGTGAACCTGTGCCCTTCACCAGGGAGATCCAACCGATATGCCTGCCTACCTCGCCTTCTCAGCAATCCCGCTCGTACAGTGGTCAAGTGGCCACGGTGGCCGGATGGGGAAGTCTGCGGGAGAATGGACCTCAGCCCTCAATTCTTCAGAAGGTGGACATTCCCATCTGGGCGAACTCCGAGTGTGCTAGGAAATACGGACGAGCAGCGCCCGGTGGCATTATTGAGTCCATGATCTGCGCCGGCCAGGCGGCCAAGGATTCCTGCAGTGTAAGTGAAAAATCAAATAATATTTAAAATCATTTTTACAATTATTTTTATATTTACAATTAATTCTGTCTGAAGGGCGACTCTGGCGGCCCAATGATCATCAACGATGGCGGACGCTACACTCAGGTGGGAATCGTGTCCTGGGGCATTGGCTGCGGCAAGGGTCAATATCCTGGCGTCTATACCCGTGTCACTTCGCTGCTGCCCTGGATCTACAAGAACATTAAATAAACCTAGGATTCTGATTAGTCTAAGACGTGATATGCTGCAATATTATAAGAGCGAACGATTTAATAAAATGACAAAATCTTTGTAGATGTTGATTTTACAAATGCCTAAAAGTATGCCACAGTTTTGAGGAAAACTGAACTGAACTTTCTATAGCCCACAAAACCATATTTGACATTAACAAAGCAAACATTCACTCATAAGGCTAAAATTGTCTATATAGAGCATTTATCTAAAACTAAAATTTGTTTTTAGCCATGACTTCACCACGACTGTTCGTTCTTGAAGATATGTTTAAGTTTAACCACATCGCCTTTGATCCGTCGGTGGAAGTATATTCCCTGCCGTTCATACTCCCAAAGATCTTTAAGTATCCGGAGCTGGTCCTTGCTGTAGATGCACCTGATGATCGTCTTGTGGGATTTATTCTGGGAACACGCATAGAGGATGCAACTGAAACTATTGGCGATGGAAAGGATCTTATTTCGAATCATGGACATATCTCCGCCCTGGCTGTGGCCCATGACTACAGGAAACTGGGCCTGGCCACTCGTCTGATGGATACTCTTAGGGATATCATGGATCGTCAGAAGGACTGGTATATTGATCTATCTGTCAGGGCAAAGAATGCTAATGCCATCAGGCTTTACGAGTCCTTGGGCTATGTTAAATATCGCTGGCTGCCCCAATATTATCTCGACGATCATGGATATAATATGCGACTGCCTTTGGCCCGTGATGTGGATAGGAAGTCACTGGAGGGGGTTTTGATCAATAAGCTTTATAGCTTTGGCCATATGTTGTGCTATCTTCTGCTGCACTATATAATCGGAGTGAGGGATATTGTGTTTATATAGGTCGTGCAATAATTGAATCCATTATACAAAACCAAATCAGTTTGGCAGAAAAATAGATTAAATTAAACCATTTATGAAACAAGCAGACAAAGTTCATTGCACTCAGTCGACGATATTGTACTAAAAGTTTGGGCAAATCGCTCAAAGTAAAAAATGAAAAGTGGAAAATATATGTCAGAAAGCATATGGAAACATGATTTGTTTATATGACAACATTGAACCGAAATTTTCAAATGCTCTGCGTTTCAAGTTGCGCAAAATGCCAAATTGTGAAAATCATTGCGCGTGTTTCAGACACATGCTCGGACCAGACTACACTTTATATTTATATATGTATAAACATATATATTTTCCAATTTGTTTGCTTTGAAAAATGTAGCTAATAAAAAAGACAACAACGAAAGCCTTGACCATCTCGAAACGGAAATTTGCAATTGGATTAGTTTGGCAAACGAGACGAACATCAATGCGTTTGGGTGAAAGTATTTGCACTGTGTACATTAGGGTGGACCTTTATTAAATACAAAGTAAGGAAACTCTACTGATAAATTTGAAGAGTTATCTTGATATATCTTATGATATGTGTAATAAGTATAAGACTTTAAAAATACTTTTGAATGCCATTTGAAAATATTTAAATATAAGGTCCACCCTATTGTAGTTTTGAATTCATATCTATAGTTAGCCATTGTGCGTCAACGGAAATTGATCTTTCGTTGAAAATTCACCTCAATTGATTATCTTTAATTTGGTATGTAATCCGAAAATAAAACTAAAATGTCTATGGAAGACACATGTTTGGCAACGCGGAAGTCCTGCCTAACGAACCTCCATAGGTCTGGGTATGTATCTCCTCATTTCGTAAGCATCCTCCGGTTCCGGGTTATCGGGGTAATAGTCCACGAAAGTTTGGCAATGAGCATAGCCCATGGAGGAATACAGTTTATAGGCGGCCTGATTGCTAGTTCGCATGAAAAGGTTCACGAAAGAGGCGCCTTTGAGATCCGACATCATGAAAAAATAATCCATTAGGGCAGTAGCCACTCCCAAGCGTCGATAATCCGGAGATATCGTTAATGCTGATACATGACCATGTGGTTCTTTAACTTTCTTGGTCAGAAACTGCCCAAATATATAACCCATACGTTTGCCACCTGGAGCTTCAGCAATCTGCGAAAGTCCTGGAAACTCGAGGAGATGCTTGACAAAGAAGGTCAAGCTATAGACCTCCGTGAAAGCATCGAATACTAAAGAATTAATTTTGAATAAATCATCGAAACGCATCTCCCGAAAACTAGTCATTTTTAACAAAAATGTAAATTGAAGTTTTGAAAACACAGAGACTTGTCAAGTTTTGGGCTTGCTCAATGATATGAAAAATATTTGATCGGTTCATTGTCAGGGTTGTAGGTGGGGTTATAGACCACACCCGATAAACATAATCAAGCCGGACAGTGGAAAGTCTTCGCACACCAGAATCGAAAATAATTTCTCGATCTTTTTCTAATGAGGTTAATGTTCGAGGCACTCGTTGACTCAGCGCCCTGTGCGCTTTTCAAAGATCTATTTATACGATTTAATGGCGCATTTTGCACAAAAATAAATAAAAGTACAAACCGATATTTGTCTTTATATCTAGCTATATATGTAAGCATACATTATATTGGTAAAGAGGCACAGATCTATTTATAATTGAAAGCATCAGCCAACTTTGTTATGCTTTTCCTCTGCCTGGACAGGTGGTCCAGTCAAAATGATGTCGAATCTGTAAATGTAAACTGCTGGGGGGAAAAATATGAAAATCTTCTAAGCGTCTGAAGAAAAATGATTTGCTAATTCCCCAGCATCGCTCTTTTTCCCTTGTTTTGGGTACATATACATATACATTTACACATATATATACATACATACACTGGATGTTTGTTTAGCGGTCTTTCTTCTATTATTTATTTTTCAAGCATGTGTGATTTATAATGATTTATCATCACATTTGCCTACAAGACATGGCCAGCACCGCCAAATGGAATCATTCACGTCGAGATGGAATGCTTTTGTCTTTATCTACCAACTCTATAATGAAGATCATTTAGTTCTCTGGATGCAGTTTCCATTGTGGCACTTTATAATTTTAAATTGCAAATGTTAAGACAGAAAGTGAAATAGGTAGGGAAAATATATTTATTGGAATTCATTGAGGCAAATTCGAATCTATATATGATATTTTGGAGTTTACTTCGTTTCCCATTAAAAGGAAATTAGGCAAACCCATGATCAATAAACAATGCACTGCCGATCAAGTTCTTCGAATCAGTCTAGTGTGAAATTTTAGAGTGGCAATAATTTATTTAATGTGCTGAGTGCATTGCGCATTACCAGACGATGATCGGCCCTGGGTGTAAATACAATGGAATTGAATGGTACTGCGGATCGGAAAATGAGGAAAACACTAAGTACAAACGTACGCGGGCTTTCTCAACTTTTAGATTTCTTTTAAATAAACTCAAAATTCATAGAATTTTCCGAACCAACGCACTTTACACATGCTCACAACTACTAGTGACCAATACATTGAAATGGATATAGAACACGGACATGACCGATGGTCGAAAAGAATATGTACCGAAGAAGAAGGCAGAATTTTATTTCGAAATGTGAAATGTGCTTTTCGGTTTTTCAGTTTTTCGGCTTTTCCGGCCGAGAAAATTTCGTGTGCGAATTCAGTGCGACTTGGGCTGCTAACTTGAACGCGTTGCAAACGAGAAAAACCATCCGAAATAAAGAAATTTTCAACTAGAAACTAACACATAGATATATCTATACCATCTAGCTGGGCTGTCTATATATACGGATATATATAGATATAGATACGAGTATTTTCTCTGGCAAAAGTGAGCAATGCGTCGTGCCGCGTTTTATAAATAGCAAATTACAAAATTCTCAAAAGAACATTGGTGAAAAAAAGGGTTTTTGTGGTTTTCTAAGTTTGTGCTAAGCCCTTAACTTTAGTTAAAGTAATCTCTATGATAGTTTATATCGATTTTGGAACATATACTATATGTAATTGTGAAAAAAAAACTATTTCCCAGAGAATCGGTTGTGCCGCAAATTATATAAGAACGCGTGATATTCGGTGCTAAATAATACTCGATATGATTTTCATAATTTCCTTTCAATTTTCCATAAATTTTTCAGTGTTTCTGTGTGCATAGGCGTCGTTTGCAAAATCTTTTAGTAGAACTTGCGTGCGATTGGCGAAAACCAACGCCTACGACAAAATCCAAAGATCGCGATCTCCACCGACTGGCGACTGTGTGTAGGCGGTGTGTAAAAGTGTTTTGAAGTTGAACTTGAAATACATAAAAAGCGTCGAGAATGAGTTCTGGGTAAGTCAGTTTAGTTTTAGATCCAAAAAACTCTTCACTAAGCCATCTGCTTTATTTCCTGTTTGTCTTTTATTTTTCATGTGTTATTTAAAAACATAAAAACCTCTGAATTCTGCGCGGGGGGGAATAGTTAAAATGAACTTAAATAGAGAAAACAGATACAGCTGAGGCAAAATAATAATGCAGAATATTTTTAAGCTGCAGGCTAAAACTAGGGATGTTTTAAGAAGTCTCTGCTATCAATATTCGTTTTACAATTAAGTTCTGTTGAAAGTATTTAAAATGTTTTTAAAAGTTTCTTTTAGTTGGATAGTTTTTTCTTTAAAAAATCTGCTTTATCAGCCTTTCTGGATCTTGAAAAACACCTATTATTTTGACCACAGCTGTATGGGCCTATACAACTTATAGTATACATATAGTCTGAACATCTTTATGATCTCTTCTACAATTAAGGCTCACACATGAGTTTTTTGAAGGCCATTGATGGCCCACGCCCACGCCCACACCCAAATCTCATTTGGCTGCCCCACGCTGCACGCGCTTTTTGGCAGGCGACACTTTCGGTGTTTTCCCCTCATTTTCCCTTCATTTCCCCTCCTCCATTCCTGCCTCTGCTAAGCGAATTAATTAATTAAATTTCCTATTTTTCAACAACATTTCACTCGGCCTGTGGTGGTGCACAATTTGATGTTTTAGCCCCGGCCAGCAGCTGTCGCTTGGCTTTGTCTAGAAGCAATTGGCACACGTGTTGGGAATTTAGACGGCTGACGGCATTCACCGGAAGTTTCTCTCGAAGCCACCACGCACCTCATAAAACAAATACTCGAGAACCTTTCAAAACAAAAAGCCAAAGAATTTGGCATAAAATGCATTTGTTTCATTCTTCAGTTTATTTTTTTTTAAATTTTTGCTCAGTCAATAGTCTTTTTTTTTTTGCATTTCTTTGTTGACGTTGATGTGTGGCGCATAAATTTTCAGCACCCACGGAAATCTGCGATAATATATTGACAAAATTGGGTCAAACAGCAAAACAAAAAAAAAAAGAAAAGAAAAGAAAAACCAGGTCCTTATATTTGAATATTGAATTTCGAGTTTTCATTGTTTATTTTTCTGATGGAACTTAAGTTTAGGTTTCGAAATTATTAACAAAACTTTCCACAGCTGCCACTCAAAAATCAAGTATACGCCACGTTTAACATATAAATGAAATCGAAACTTACAAAGTTTACGTGTGAACTTGGTATAAATATTGACCATGTATGCATATTTAAAGTGTTAACATTTATTTTAGCTTAAATTATTTTTCTCATTTTGCATTGCCAGACATGACTTTGATTTTTGTCAACGACAATTATTTTCACACTTCTTTGTCGGTTTTTTCTTCACTTTTGTTGATTGCGTAAATCAGGTGTGAGTTTATTTATTTTATACATTTTTGCATTTTTTAAATTCGTAAACAGATTTGTTGTTTCTGAAGTTCAAGTTGGTCGCAGTTGACCGTGAAATTTGAATGCGAAAAGGGCATTAAAATTAAAGGAAGATTCCCAAGTGGATAAGCCAGAAAAAGAGAAATAAAACCACACCCATATGACAGTTCAACAGCATTGGGAATTGATTATTGGACAGCCATCTGAACGGATTTAGATCGTTCCCATGATAGTTCATTTAATGATTCACTTTCTGCCTTTTCTCAAAATGCCGGCAATTTCGTTTTGTTCTTTAGCAAATAAAAAGCAAAAACGAGTAAAAATAAATTAAAAGGAATTTTCCTAATTTATTCAATAGAATCCAGTTTAATGAGTTGCTATTTAAAACCAAAAATAATAACAATGAAAAGGCGATAATTTGTAAAGATTTCTTTAAACTAAAAAAAATGTATAAAAATTCCTAGATCTTTCGGTGTTGTTAATTCTTTGTTTGTATCCGTGGAATATTTTGGAAATTTCTACCACCACACTTTCTCCATAAATCGAGATCAAATTTTCCTGCCTTTGTTTTTCATTTTTTTTTTACTTCCACAAATCAATAACATGGCAATTTTTCAACCAGCACCAATTCGAGCTGTAAGGAAAAAATATAAAAATCGACATTGAAAAAAGGCGCTGGCGGGATTCGGTTGCCTATCTGGCCATAAAAGACCGACGATGAATGACGACATGTGGTCATGGTAGGAAAAATGTACAGATATTCACGTTTTCTTTTATGCTCATGTATCCCGTAACTCGGCTGAATAAGAAATATTACCGCCATCGATTGTGCAACGGGCTTTGGCTTGGCTTGGAACAGAGCCTGCGTTTCGCTTTCACCTGGGATCGCTGACGTTGACCCAGGCCAGATTAATATAAATAATTACCAGTACGGACCAAACCCAATCCCATGGATCCCTGTCTGATGTGCTCGTGTCATGCAATCAACGCACCAGCAAAATGACAAATGCAAAACGAGTTGCACACTCGAGTAGTCGTAGAAAGTGATGAATGGGTTCCCTGATTGCGTTTGTTTTTTTCCCTCTTTATACGTAAAAAACATTTTTCCCTGTCGTTAAGATAGTTTTTCAAGGTCAGATCCAACAAAAAAAAAGGCCTAAAAAAATATCATAGTTTTTACGCACGCTCGTGTCTTTGATAGTGGGTGTTGATGATGGGGGAAAAGCTTCTTTATTGGATTATCTTTCTTTGCTCTTTGTTTAACTTTTCCCTGCTTTGCTTTTGCTTTTTAATGGGTTATAAATTTTGTTCGTTTTATGTTTGCAAAATTAAGTTTCGTATAAATAGCATTGTATCTTTTTGTATGTGTGTGTGTGTTTTAATGTTGTTTGTTTGCGTCTTTATAATGCCTGTATCTGTATAGTTTGGGTTAATTTATGATATTGAGAGCTAGACCCACAGGCGTTGATTTTGGCACTTGGTAATGCTTGGTCCCTTCCAGCTGTAAATAAAAGATTCTTTTAATATTTTTATTAAGTTTATTTTATAACCAGCTTTGTGAGGATGTGATGTTAAAATGTATGTTTTAGCTCAACAAATTAAATAAACTTCGAAGGTCTTAGCAATAAGCATTGAGACATTTTGTTTTGATTTAAATTAATACAAAAATACACTAGACTTGAGAAAGCAGAGAGAAAAATAACTAGAATTAAATTATAATAATGGTGACAAAATGTGTGTGCCACTAAAATGAAAGTGAAAGACTACCAGAGAGAGAGAGCAAAAATAAGTTTCGAAAAGAGCTCAGCCACGTTTAACACATAATTAAAAATCCCATTCTTCACGGTCAGAAGAAATGATACTAGAATTTCCCACAATAAGAGGCCTGTGGGTAACTAATTAGATGGCCCTCATGATTGATGTCTGCACAACACTGAATATCTCTGTCTGACCCAGTTTCTTGCCAGCCAAAACAGAAATATTGAATGAATGGGCCAAACCAATCTTTCTGACAGTTCTTTGAGGAAGGAATATTATTGACAGCCACTCGAATGCCAAGTGTGCGTCAATTGGTGGAGGGCAGCACTTAAGTGTTTATCGAACTAAATGAGTCACTTAGTCCGAGACCTTTTGCTGGGTGTGGACTTCGAAGATGTCGGGATCACCGTGGAGTACGATCTTTACGAAGATCTTTCCCTGCATTCCCAACGGGCACAGCCCACGGATATCGGTGGCAGTGTAAAGGAGATAGTCCATGTTACAGTACAGTAGATCCTGGCTATCCTTTAAAGGACTGTCCAGAGAGTTACGGAGGCAACGCAACCCGAAAGTCTCATTAGCATGGCATCCATCCAGGAGCGTTAAATGGGCACTCACTAGCCTAGAGGCCACCGGACTCACCAGGTAGAATATATAAACCTGTTCCATGTTCAGCACCGGTGGACTCACATACAACATGATAATGATGGGCAGATTATGGACAATCTGCAGATCCGGAGTGACTGCACAGCTGAGACCTGGTTTTGGGTTTCCACCGTAGGCTATAACACCCACGGAATGGTTACGACCCGGCGTTAGTTTGTCCAGTTCCACTTCATACTGCTTTTCTACATCAGCTCCAATCTCGGTCATCGAGTCCTGCGGATTGTGCCGCATCAACAAATGGGTTAGCATCTCGAGTGGCGACATTTGCGACTGGCACTTGGCCACTGGACACATTAGGGGAATTCCATAGAGCGCCTCCAGATCCAATTGGGCGAACCGGTTGTTCTTGATGGGATTTTATGGCATGATAAGACTTAAAGGCTTTTCCTTGGATTCTCTTTCAACTTACCATATTCTCGGTATTTCAGAAATTTTATTTTTGAAAATTCAAATATATAGTGAAGAGAAAATCAAACTGATCTGACCAGTAAAAACTGGGAAATGTCGGTGAAATGAAAGGAAAAGCTTGTCTATTGAAGTTTTTTATACTTAAATTAAGTCAAAGATGTTTTTTTCTTATTGCGGAAATGTATTAACCAAAATGTATACTTTCCAAATATTGAAGATGTAAGAAACTAGAGAGACAAGAGATCTTATGAAAGTTAAAACCATTTTAATTACCTATAATGGGATCAAACGAAAGTCTATTCGATGACCAGAACCATCCACAATAACCGTTTGCCGATGAGCTCTGGCCGAAGATGTCTCTTGACTTTCCCCTTCTTTGTGGCATTTTCTGGTTTTTATTTTTCGCACAAATTGCGGCTGTCAGGCGGCAAAAGAAAACTATTTCAGCCCAGTCATTCTGCGTTTTAAATTCCTTAACGCTTTCTTGCCAATTATTATTTAACTGAGCACAAAGTAGTCGCAAAAAAATGAAGCAAAAAAATAAGACAGCAAAGAAGATAACAGATCTTATTTGTCTGTCAAGGCTAGTGGGCCACATTTCCGCAGATGCCTTGTTCAAATGAGTTAATTAGAGCAGCAAGCCAAGTGCTCGAATTCGATAAAGAAATCCCCAGAACCGAGATAGTGTCGAAGTGGTGGTCGTGGGAGATACAAGTAACTTTTTGATTTTTCGGCTTAATTGTGAAAAGCGACAAAAGTAATAAGCAGACAACATGACAGCCGAGTGAAAACAATTAGCCGCACGATAAGAGATGCAGATACAGCTGAAAGATACCAGATACAGATAAACGAAAGCGTTCACAAAGTCTTTTTGCCGTTTAGCTGGAAATTTGTCGCCATCATCGAACCGCATTGACAGTCAAATAAATTGCTCTTGCAGTCCGCGTGCCAGTCGACCGTTTGTCAAGAGATCGGTTTTCCTTTTGCGGCACCAAAGCGGAATATGTATCTGCAACAAGTTGCCGAGCAACAGAGACTCAGGTCCGTCGCCGCCGTTCAACCTCAAGCGAACCGAACCCGACTTCAATGCGCCTCGAGAGTCCGCTGCGATCAGTCGCCCAGTGCGCTCCTCAGATACAATCGAACCTACGAGATAGTTTTTTGCGCAGCGCGTGTGTGTTTCCAACTTTCGGGCGGTGATTAGTGATTAAAGTGTGAGGAGTCGTAAAGTCTGGAAAAATCCCAGGCAATTCTTAGATATCTATCTCAGTCTAAGGTCAAGCAAATGTTGGTTTAATTTACAGCAACTCTTTAGCTCATTCCTATAAATAATCAACGTGCGTGAGTCTATCTCTCTGAGATGGAAAACAGCTGGTCTACATACTGATGCTCTTTTAGTTTCCCCCAAAAGATTCAATGATTCTTCTCCGCCAGCATGAGTCATCGGCATCGGCATCGACATCGGCATAACATGAGCATTTGCCGGCTGCCCCATGTCAAAAAAGGTTAAATTGACTTCTCGCAATCGATCGTTGAGTCATTCGACCACCTAGGTTCCAATCCAGCACCTTTGTTTGCCTGTCCCGCCATCGGACAAATGTAAATCCATTTGTACAACCCATTTTAATTGTCACCCTCTGTTCTGCCTTTGCTTATTCAGTGGCCATTCACTGATAAGGGCCTGTGCAACCAGGCAAATGTGTTGCAAATATTTTTCTTTCAATTGTTTTTAAAAAGCTTTTAAAAGCATATCTAGGGAACAAAGTGAGCAGTTCGTTCCCTATATATCTTTTCTTTTCTTTGTACTAGGACTTTGTTATACTATACTAGGTAACCATCATCATCTAGGCCTTTCTCTAAACCCATTTGCCTTGACCCTCCACAGATAGAAAAGCCTTTTAACAAAGAATCCACTCATTTCCGCGCTGTGCAAGTGTAATTTAAAAACAAAATTGAGATAAAATAGTGCAGAAAAAACAACACAAAAATATAAGAAAAAAATATAAATAAACAAATAAAAGCAAACAATGGCCACCTCAACGCTGCAATCTCCATCGCCCTCGCCATCATCCGCCCCCGTTTCGGCCAAGAATCCGCAGCTGAAGCGCGTCGTCTACTCCAAGTATCGGGAACTTCTTGGTTCTTACAATGATAAGGCCAATGCCATCATCGACACTCTGCCCGCCTATATGGTTCGTCAGGATCGCGGATTTCAGTTGTCAGCCGAGCTGCCCGTGAATGGGGATGCCAAGTTGGGTCTGGAATCGTCGTAAGTTCCCACCAAAATGAAAACCAAACAACACTTAACGCGCATAAAGAAAAGAGAAACGAGATCTAGAGCTAGAATGTCGGGGCAAAAGCAATTTCCAAGTAAATATTTATCGCTAGATTAGCTCATCTGTGGAATGTGGGCGGCTGGACGGAGCACCCTGTACACTCGTTCTCTCCGACATCAGGTCCAGCTATTTATAGCCAAGACGGGCGGACAATGACTATCATTATGTCATGTTGCATGTAGCAGCTTTCAAGTTCTTACTTCTTACTGCGGTTGCTGCTGCTGATGATGTTGTTGTTGTTGGCTGCCCTTGATCTTGAAATTTACCCGGCCAGCTGCAACTGCAGATTCTTCTAGGCAACTAGTTTATTTTTCCTAGAGGCTAAACAGAGTTGTGATGGACCTAAGCCGGACAAATAGCATTTAAATATTTAATATGAAATTTGACATAATAATATATGTCAATTATGTTTTGTATAAGATTCTGAATATATATAAAAAACTGAAGAGTAACCTTTCAAGAGGTACTAACTAGTTCATCATTGGTTTATCCAACGCCTTTCTGAAGACATCTCCCGTATCTTGCGGATCCACCCGGTTCCCAGTTGCCTTCAGATACATTTTTGCACGCTCATTTGCATGCGAATATGCAAAATCAAAGACAAAAAAAACAAACGAGAAAAGTGAAAATGTGAATTGTACAAATGTTTTTCTATCATTTAATTTTCAAATTGGTTTTTCTTTGTTTTTTTGCCGTTGCATGTTTTAGCTCACGCACGAACAGCTGCGTCTCGAGGATTTTTGCTATTTTGCATTTATTTTTGGAAAAATATAAAGCTCAGTCATCCGTCAGTGAAATGTTTTAGATATATTTATGGAAATGTATGTTTACTTAAGGCGCAAAGTGCAAGTGGAAAATGTCACAATAAATCTTACTTTGCCTATGAATCACAATAAATATAAGTAAAATGTGCCAGTTAATTAGTCATGTCCCATTATGATTATAGGCAAATATGATGTATTTTGGTTGATTCGACTTGTACTTGGTATACTCTTCCTGGTCCCCAACATACGCATATAGTTGTGGGTCTGACATTTTAATTGCCAAATCTGTCAAAGGAGAAAACAGTTGGCGGTCTTGTCTTGTGGTCAATTGCTGGCCAACCCAATCCGCAAGTACCAAGTACTGACGCCATGTCCCAGCCATTGACGTCACCAGGCGACATCTGTGCTTTTAGCGCGTGTATCTTATAGTTTTCAATATTTTTGGCAACAAGTTTTTTGAGTTCAAAATGCGTGACGATCATTGGAATTGAGAACAATGAATGGGAGTATTTGCATTGCTGCTGGGTTCCCTTGATTTTTCAGGAAATGTTTAGTACACAAAAGTGACATTTTTCCAGGCTTGTCACGGTGTTTAATAACTTTCATAACCGAACCGAATAAGGCGGGCTAACGTTTAATACAGCAAAACAGCTAACCAAACGGTTGTGTAAATTGAATTTCCTACCCGGCCATAAAGCACTCTGGTCGAGTCAATAAACGACGGGATAGAGTACCTCGCAACTGAACCGATCTGAACTGAACGACCTCACAATTTTGGGCACGGCTCGACAATTATGGAAGCTGTTGATGCCATTAATTCGCACATAATCAATGGCAAGTTCAACACACAAGCTGCCATAAACACACTGTCATAAAAGTGTCCCAACCTGCCTGGGAATATCTTTCCATAGTTTGACTTTTTCCCATCTCTGCCCATCTATATGGAGCTGACGGCATTTCTTCGATCTGCCCAAATATGGGGGCAATTAATGATTTGTCTTGCTTGTGATTTAAATGAGATTCTGTCACTAGTAACCGCAGTCGGCGACAGAGTTACGTCATTTGCATTTGACTTTGATGCACGCGCTCCAATTTGCATGTAAGCCAGTTGTGGGTGAGTTTTGCAACCGTTTTCCCACACAGCTTGACCTTCGCATTTGCGGTTGTTTCTCTGTCTCAAGAGGACAACCACAGGCGGGCTTTTATTTCGTTTATATTGTTTTTTTTTTAGTAAATTGGCAAAACCGCAGAGTTTTGGCCGTGTCAACTTTACAACAGATCACCTGTTCCTGTTCGCCTGACCCACTTGGCTGCGAATCATCATCCACGCACACCATCCTAATGACAAACGGGCCTGACAACTTTTCAGAACCCGATCTCCAGCTCCATCACTTTCTTTCAGCATAACAGGCTTTCAGGCTGGGACAGCTTAACGAGAACGTCGCCGAACGTCTTCGGTTTTCGCTTTTAATTAGCGAATTGTTAACGTTAAAATAAGCAAATTATGCGGAGAAAAGTCGACACCGACTGGGAAGTGGGATGCAACATATGTACATGAACATATTTTCAACGGTACTGAGAAAGTGCGAATGAAAAACTTAAGCCCACATCAAATAAATAAAAGGAGTAAAAAACGCCATTATAACATATATTTTCCAAAGATTTTCTTTGGTGACCCAGAAATTGGGATTGATTTGCTGTTGGAAAAGTCTTTTTATTATTTTCAAAGCTAATATTTTGTTATTAGTTATTAATTAGAAAGTAAACTTATAGTCAGACGTTTAATATAAGAGGTCTCCAGCACCAAAGGCCAATCAATAAAAACGTTTAAGCAACAACAACTTTTGTATACATAATTTCGCATACGAAAAAGTTACTTAATTTCTTTATTAAACTTATTATAATCGAACTAATGCTTGAATTCATTTTTCACATTTCTTTATTTTGGCTATGATACCATAACTTCTCACTTTCAACCTTTCAAATTTGGCACTTCATCGGTCGTCTCACCTTTTATGAACGCTGGTCGGGCGTAACAACTTGAACTCACTTTCCCCCTTGATCGTTAAAAAATCAAAACACTGGCTCATTGAACTATCGATGAGCGACTCATTAGTCAAGCAGCAGCAAAGAAAGGAAAACAACACAAATGAGTGTTTTTGCCGGCGACCAAGAGCGAGGCAATAAATTAGGAAAAGATTTAACAAAAATTATGATAAATAGCCCGAAAAGAGTTGAGAGGAAGCCAGATTAGCATGACCGATGGGTTGCGAATATAAAACTATACACTGAGGAAAACTTTACCTACAATTAATAGATCTTGTTATGAAGGAATTTTTTTTTTTACCTTTACCATTATTTCCTTCAAGGTATGGACAGCGCGGAGGAGGCGGATCCGGAAACGGTGGCTACGAGGCGCCCGCCTGCGTCCAAAACGCGATGATGACAAAAGACAAGAAGCCCTTTACGTACACGCCCGGCGGTATCGATCTCTCCCAGATCCGGTCGGAGCGGATGGCCAAACGGCTGGCGCGCAACGCCCAGTCGGAGGGTGCCACCGGGGCTGCCCAACAGAACAGACCCGCCCAGCCACAGTCGCCAGGTGGTGCAGCCAGTTCGATTGGAGCTGCTGCCATGGGCATGCCCTTCCAGGTGCTGCCACCGCCACCGCCGCCGCCTCAACAACAGCCGGGTAAGAATGGCATTCAAGGTGCCAGCGCTGCACCCCCACCACCACCCCCACAACAACCCAGCACATTAGCGCCACCCACTGGCCGCCTGAGTGCCCCTGGTTCACCGGCCGCGGCTCGCAAATCGCCGACTCCACAGCGTTTTGAGCCACCGCCACTGGGCTTCCGGCCGGAAATCAAGATACCGCCTAATCCAATGGCAGCACTTCGCAAGGTGGCTCCGCCCGTTGAGAAGAACACGTTCTGGAAGGACGAGTACCGCAAGGACCGCTCCAAGAGTCCGCTGCCCGAGGTGGCCGCTGGCCAGAATGAAGGATGCAGCAACACCGCCACAGCAGATGCCGTTGATGGTGAGCAGAGCCCGCAAGGATTTGGCTCGCTTTACTTTTGGGTGTTATTGGTTCTGCTACTGATCCCGATACGAATCATCATAAATCGACAGCTCTTACTAAGCGGTTAAGGTTGCTTCTTCTAAAAACCCCATTCGACTAATCAGACATCCAAAAGGCCTTATAAATTGGCTGACAAACCTCCCACTAACTGCACTAAAATAATTGAGGACTTTAGAGTGAATTAAGGTTAATTAATGCTGTTTTTTTCTTTTGTAATTAAGGTCCAAAACCATCAGCAGCCAGCGTGGAAAGTAGCTATACTCCCTACACACCGACTCAACAAGCCCCCCCTGTGGCCAAGAGTCCGCCGTTGCAACAGCTACAGCCAACGCCACCGGCAACACCGCCGCAACAGCAGCCACAGGTCGAGCAGCAGCCTGCAGCACGACAGGAGTTCCGCAGTGTACCCATGCCCACATCGCCGGCTGTAAATGTCTACACTCGTCAGACGGACAGTCCAAGATCGCCGTTTGAGGAGGCACAGCAGCAGCAACAGCGATCCACTGAGAGCCCCTTACGATTCGTACAGCAGCAACAGCAACAGTCACCGCAGCAACGTCCACCAACAGCGATATCGCCTTTGGCTCAGGTGCAACAGCAGCAGCAGCAATTGCAACAACTGCAGCAGCAACAGCTGCAACAGCAACAATTGCAGCAGCAACAATTGCAACAGCAAAAACTACAGCAACAACAATTGCAGCAACAGCAACAGCAGCTACAGCAGCAGCAACAGCAACTTCAACAGCAGCAGCAACAACAGCAACAGGCAGCTCAATCAGTACCATGGCGCACTCAACGCACGCAGCCTGCAGCACAACAGCAACAGGAACTGCATCCACAGCCCATCTACAACAATGTTCAGCAGCAGCAACAAAGATCTCGCGATGTCTTCAGTCCAGCAAGAACTGAATCACCATCAGCAAACACGTTCAATTCACAGCAGCAACAGCAGAACTATGGCAATCAGCAAAACCAATTTGCCGGAGCAGCAAAGCCGGTAAATTACTTATAAAACCTTATATTATATTTTTACCAACCTGAAAGTATCCCAAGATCAGCTAAAGTATACATATGTTTACGCAGATGTGCATCATGCAAATTGGCTCTCACAAACTTTTATGTTATTTCCATCTCGATCTGACCTTTAGCTTTATTACTCATACGCCTCATTGGGCAAGTCTCTGAATGTCCAATGAGTAATGCCTAAATAAACCAGCCATTGCTAAATTGGTAAATAACTATTTATGTTAAATAATAAAAAAATACAATGCAAATAAGTAGAACGCCTAAAAGCAAATCAAATGGCTGACAAACTGATTTCGCGGAAATACAATAAGTTATTTTTAAACCAAAATCTTTGAGAGAGAGTGTTCGATTCGCACACAAACTGAACATTGAATGCATTCACCAAGTGCAGCGTCTAAAATTAGGCATATGCAAAGGCCAAACACGAATTTTGAACTTGAGGCGATTGGCATGGCGTGAAAATTCATGGGAAAAATCGAAAAACTTAAATATTGTTTTCTATACTTTAATCCACAGACCAACGTTGGCTCGCTTTACATAGCTCCATTGGCCCAACCCACAGAGCCGCAGGCTCAACGAATCCTTCTGCAGCAACAGCAGCAGTCGGCTGCCCGGGATTCCCCGATACGCCAGCTTCCACAGCAACAAGGATCACAGCAGCAGCCACAGGCCAATCAGCCGATGCGATGGCTCAGCTCACAGCCGGCCACCAAGGAGCAGGCTCCTTGGGCTCGTCCTGAGGAGAATGGCAACGTTCTGCCCTCTACTTTGCGGCAGACCACTCCGGCACCACAGCCCCAAGTCGTACCTCAATCGCAGTCCCCACAGCAACAGCAGCAGCAGCAGACATCTTTCTACCAGCCGCAGTTGGTCCAAGGAAATGGCTATGGACCAACTCCGGTGGCAGCTGCTCCTATCAGTCTGCAAAACTTTGGATCAAATGCTCAGGCAGGAGGACTTCGTTTGCAGATCAACTTAAACACCAATGGCAGCAGCAATGCAGCCAACCAAAGTGCTCCAAGGGTGAGTTTTAAACTAAAATTAAAATGTCAAACATTTATATTTCATTTTCTTTTAGGAGCGTATCATACCCATAACTTTAGAGCAGACACCGACTTATGCCGCAGCCCAACCAAACTTTGGTGGTAAGTTTATAAAGAAGCCTTTATGTGTTTTGTACAATTTGTGTGGCGCTTTCCTAAAAACCCCTAAATGTTTGTGACTAAAACCCTAAGTAGTTTATTCCCAACCAAAACCCAAACCTCCCGTGCACTCTCCCCCTAGAAAGGAATGACTCAAACCCGTGTATGATCTTCCCCAAAATCCCTGCTCTCGTCCAAAAATGTGTAACTCTCCAACTTCTTCTTCACCATGTGTCTATGTATACTCTTTCTTTCCCACGAAAGCGCCTGCAGGTCACATAATACGCTCAGCTAATCAATTTGTCGATCAAGGTTACCAGAACTATCCAGCACAGGGCCAACGAGTCCTGTCGCCCAATCAGCCAGCAAGTACGCCTAACACCAATGGTAATGCCACCCGGATAATCCCCATAGCCATCGAGGGAGGACGCGGCGGTCCAGTTTCCCAGTCGCCGGTTCTGCTGCAAAAGTAAGTTAGCTTCTGTTTTGCAATACTGCATAATACCTTCCGTTAGCTATCTTTGTGCTCTACCAACACCAAACAATTGGCCGCACTAATGCGTATTAATTTTGTGCTTTTCTACCAACTAAACCAACAACTTTTTAGTGGCAATTACAATTTGTATGTGCACCAGTGTCCGCTCGAGGCGGAGATACTCTACAAAAAGAATCGTCTCAGGTAGTACGAGAGCACTGTGCAACCCAAGTATATCGAATAACATTAAAACTTCATGCCATACATCTTCCAAAATTGTGATTAAAAAATAACTTTAAGATAATAAGTATAGGAGTCGGTATTATGAAATCCTTATGATATGAAAATCTTAGTCCTTGCAAAACAACTATACTTGACTAAAAAGCTCCTGCTTTTATTTTGCCGGTTCTTAAGTTACAAGTAGGATGTTTTTTGTTTTCGATAAAAATCATGATTTTCATAATTTTAGCCAAAAAAATTAGATTTTCGCAGCTTTCAAACTATTCATACATTGCATTCGCATTTCAGCTGTACGTACAGTTTCGTACATTTTTACAAAATTTAAAAAATATTTGGTTTCGTTAAGCTCCAATCACAAACCAAAATCAAACCTAACCCTTAACCCAAACGTTTCGTTCGCACCAAACAAAATCTGTTGTAATTTGGTTAATTTCAGACATTTTCGACAAGCATGCTAACCAACAACCTAACCTAACACACGCCTATATCTTCTTGCAGCGATCCACGCTCACCGCCCATCCAATCGAAATCGTTCAGAATATTACAAAAGATAACCGACACCGTGGACGATGGCAACGGAAATGGAGATTTGCGGCAGGACGTGCAGCAGACGCCCCAGGAGGCGGAGTTGCAGCGGCCACAGTTTGCCCGCCAGATGAGTGCCCAGCAGGCCAGGAATAGTCCGACCATCGAACAGATGCGACGCCTGCAAATCTCTCAAGATCAACTAAATAATCAGCAACAGTCGGGTACGCCACTAGCTTGGTCCCCGCAAGGTGAGATCCGTTAGGTAGTCCCCTTCATCTACCCTGGCCCATCCACAGATATCACATTTTAAGCATTTCACCGTATCCATCGGTGGGTAAGAGTCTGGTCATGGTAAAAGTGCCTAATCCCTTGGGGAGTGCCTTTTGGTTCTTGGGAACTTTACTAATTCGTAAAGCAGCTTTTAGCCATAAGAAAACCTTCTGGTTAACAGAAACTAACCAGCTTCCTGTATCTGTCCTGATTAGATTTAAAAGTATTGGTGCTTTACCAAAAATTTGCAGCACTACTAAGTATAATACTAAATAAAAAATCTTAAAATTGCAAATAACATTGTGTGTGTGATGGAATAAAATTAATGTTTCTTTCAGGTAATGGCGTCTCAGCTCAGAACCGCTTTACCCAGCAACGATATGGTAAGGAAATAATAGGGATTATTTCTAGATTCGCTTATGACTGATAAAAACTAAGTATTAAAACATTAAATTCTTTGCTATAGATACCCCTCAGCAACAGCAATATGTGCCGCCAAGTGAACAGCAAGCACCGGAGCCCAAAAAATATACCGGAAGCGCTATACCCAGTCGATCATTCAAAATTCTACAGGCAATGACAACACCTGAAAATGCCGGTAAGTACAGCTGTGCGAAGAATTCAGTGTCCCAAATGAAACACTTGGAAGGCGAAATCGTTTACTGGAATTAAGTTACAAGTTTTGAATCCAATACATACATCAGACAAAACTCATGGCTGTATATATACTCAGAAACCATCGGACATCACTAACCCTTATAATCATACATTCATACAGACACAAGCACATGGAGCATTGCATCAAGGATCGTAATTTTAAAGAGCCCTTTTTTTGAGAGATTTCACCTTTTTTGCTGAATGGTGTCAAGACAACAGTTTGACCTTAATCCCAAATGGCTTTTGATATTAATTTTGAGCATCCATGGCTACCATTTTGCATTACCCATGCGCCGCCATTTACTTGTACATAGCTTGCTTTACCATTTAACCAATCAATTAATCAGATCAGACTCGATCGGATCGATTTGACAACAAAGATCACATACGAAAACAAAACATAATGTTCGCACTCTCACCGTGTCTATTTCTCTTTTTCTTCTTTTATATTTGATAACCGTGTACCACAAAACCGACCTCAGACCATAAAATTCACACCGAGCTGGACTCGGATTTGGAAAATGTTGAACTGAACGAAACCCCAAATAATAATAATAATAATAATAACAACGGAAATACTGAAAATAATAATAATCATAATAAGATTAACAGTAAAACCAACAAACGACATAGCTACACATCATCCACACCACAATCATGCACCGAACCCACCACCCACTCATCAAACTCATCCCTTAGTTCAGATAGTTCTTGTCCCCCACAGGCCCCTCGATCACAGTCAGTGCCACCACAATATCCCTATGCCTTTGGCTATCCATATCCCTGGTACATGCCACCTCCTCCGTCAGTAAATGGTGAAACAGCTCCTTGGCCATATCTCTATTCGTATCCTCCACCACCACCACCACCACAATCTGTAGATGGAAAGCAGCCAGAGGGATTTCCCCCATATCCCTATTACTACCCCTACTATCCGCCACCTCTGCCACCCTACGGTCAACAGCAGGGAGATGCCCAATATCCCGTTGGCTATCCTCAGTTTCATGCCATGCCGCCTTATGGTCATCCCTTTCCCTATCCTGTTGCTCCTAGTTATAGCCAGAGTTCCACCGAAGAAAGCAGAGCCAGCAGTGTTCTGCCGGATATAATCATCACTCCCAGTACCGATGATATTCCCTCGCAGGTCATCATGCAACATCACATTCGAGTGGAGCCACGAGAACCACCAAAGCGGGCGCACTCCGTTGAGATCGAGGAGTTGGTTAGCAGGCCGAAGGCCCGAAATATTTGCACCAATAATCACGAGGTTATCGATGTGCTGAGCCAAAGATTGGCCAATATCAATAAGATTGCCAGTGGAAATACCCAGGCTAATCTCTCCAAGCAGTGGCAGAAAAACTATGCCGGCGAACAGGCAAAGGAACTGGGCGAGAGATCCCCAAGCGAAAATGCTTCCAACTCCGAAAGTGAGTCAGAGGAAGAGAGCAGCGATGACGATGATGAGGATACCCCAAAGCTCGGGGCTCGTCCTGCTGTCTTGCAGTCCATTAAATCGGTGTCAAATGTGCAGGTCTACAAGGGTAAAACCCTGGAACAGCATCTTGACTCCGAGAGCAGTGAGGATGAAGATGATGTGACCACGGCGGATGAAATGTTCGATGAAGAAGAACAGATCGAGGAAGAGCAAGAAGGCCTGGTCGAGGAAATGGAAGAAGATTACATTGTTGAGGAAGATCTTAGTGTTATCTATGAGGAAGAAAGCGAACTGGAACGCAGCAGCGAGTACGCCAAGACAGTGATTCGGAGGGATGACTCCAGATCAACCATAGTTGATGAGATTGAAAAGCAAATAGAAGAGAATGATGATGATGACGATAATAACGATGACGATGAGGAGTCCAATTCCGTAACAGTTCGCCTGCCACTTCGTTTCTCCTTTAGCCGTAGCTCGAACGATGAAAACATTGCCACCGTGGAAGTGGGCAAAACAACTCAGATCGAGGAGAAGCAACCTACTATCGTGAGCTCTTTCAGTGTGGCCAAGATAGAAAGCGAAGATGAGGACGATGACTGTGAGGTCAGTGTGACCATTAGTTTGTCGAACTCTTCGCGCTCCAATTCAGTGGAAAAGTGTGTCCAACCCTACAAGACTTCCAATGCCTATCCAGTGGAGGAGATCTCCACACCCATCAAAGCCAGTGAAGAAGACGTTTCTACCTCGTTCTCTCTAGGTATGCGCAACAAATTCTTGGGCGAAACAATAGCCGATGATGTAACCAATAATATTTCCCGAGATAAGCCAAAAGAAATAGTCGAAGAAATAAAAGAAGTTGAAAACTCACCCAAGGAGGAGTTCGACTTCTTTGCCACTTTAATGGCAACAAAAATGCAGGCCCAGAAAATGATGGAGCAGTCGAAGAACTTCTGGAAAACACCTGAGCTAAAACCAGCAGAGCCTGCAGTTGAAACGGCAAAACTTCGACCCAAGGACAGTATGCCTGAGACGAAGCCACCAAGACCCGTATCTGGTGATATGTCCAAGACTCAGGCTTCGCTGGAGGCAGCCAAAAATGATTTCTGGTCTACTTTCGCCACAGCCTCTAAGGAGAAAGAGCCTGAATTGGAGGAACAGGATGAAACTGAGGAAGTAGACTTCTGGGCCAGCATAGAGAAAAAAGAAACCTCTGAGAAAAAAGAAAAGCAGTGGACCAAGAAGAAGAAAACCGTAACCTATACCCCCCTACAAAAAGAGGCAGCTACTAGAATTGAACATTGGACAACAACACTCCGGGCTCAAGTGGAAACTCTTCCAGTCCCACAAAGAGCTGAAGTACATTTTGTGGTTGAAGAAAAGCCAAACGAAATTGAACATGCCCAACAGGAAGTCCAGGGTGAAGAAGAGGATTTCTGGGCCACAGTAAATCAAGATAAGTGTGAAAATACAGTGAGTTCAAGCTGGGAACATACAACCTATAATACAGAGCCCCAAAATGAACAGCAGATTGACATTGGCTCTACTCCGATAGATACAGAGCAAACCATTCAACAAGATTCAGAAAACGTGGACTTCTGGGCAGAAGATGGCGAATCAACTAATAGTTACCAAAATGTTGAACAACCCAGCGACTTCACCTACGATCCTACGAAATATCCAGAAGAACCCCGAGAAGTGGACACCGATGAAGAAATTGATTTCTGGGCAGAGATTGAGGCAAGAAGGCAGCCAGGTGAAGAAGATGATGAAGATGTCACGTTCCATAAATCGGCCACTTTCTGGTTTCGCAAAGAAAGACAGAATTCAGTGGAGGAGACGCCCTACAAGCCTGTCGAAATAAAGCCTTTCAGGGCCAAATTACCTGATGAAGCAGCTGTAGAGATTGATGTTTGGGCTACGTTAGAGGCAGCCAGGGGTCATGAACCTGAAATAGTGGACCCAGTCGTGGAAGAGGAAAAGCATCTTGCTGAGCAATTTGAGGAACTGGAACATGAAAGCCCAGAAGAGGAGATTGAAAAAGAGAAGATTGATGAGAAGCCCCAAGAAGAGATCCCTGAAAGCAATTTAAGCCACATGGACACCATGTCGATGGCTTCGATGCACGAACCAGCTACAGTCTATACATGGGCTCCTCCACCACAGGAGACTAATGACAACGAGGATGAAACCGATTTCTGGGCGGACATGGAGCAGGAACGATCCAAGAAAGAACAATTTGAAGAGGCCGAACAGAAAAGACACAACTACCGTCAGGCCATGGCCTTCTTCAACACCTCGATCGATGGCCAGCAGTCGCCCCCACAAATAAATAGCAGTCCCAATCGTAGCAGTGTTATTCTGGAAGTAGAAGAACCACAAGACGTAGACTTGGGACCACCTGGTGAATACGAAATAGTAGGCGAGGATGGCGTCATCGTGGAGGAGCATAAGCCAGCGATACCCGAGGCCGAAGAAGAGGACCGCGGAGCAGCGACTCCTACCAACATAGAGCCACAACTCCCAGAGGTTTATGTGGAACCCGAACCGGAAGTAAAGCGTCTGTCCAATGGTCTTCCTGATCTTGCCGTCGAGAAGTTTACCGAAATGCCCAAGATATCAGTGCGTGATAGGATCAGTGCCTTTGAAGTCATGCCGACAGCTGGAAGCGATGGCTCCAAGGAATTAACCAAGCAATCCCTCTCAGTGGATAGTGCTTACGGCAAGGGAACCCTTTCACGCAACAGCAGCACACAGAGATCCGAGTCGGAGATTGAGGAGGACGACTCTGGGGTGACGGACATGAATCGCCAGCTTTCCGAGACGGACACCGAGTCCGAGAGTTTTCCGGAGCTGCGCAAGATGACCAGCTACCAGCGGGCAGCCACACATTCCAGGCTCTTTAAGTTGCTGCAGGACGAAAATGATGTTCCCGGAAGCGGGAGCCAGTCCAGCCGATGAGTTTCAATTCAAACCCAGCCGCAGGAAGATCGTCCACAATGTGTCCATCACCAGGCGTCAGAATCCTGGAGCCCTGAACGATGCTGAATCCATGATGCAGCGCAGAGAACGTCTCTCGTTGCCACTTCGTAAAAATACTAGTATCGATGCCGACAATCCTTCGACTCCAAATAGTCCTGCTTCACCTATTATGGGTCCCTCGGCCAAGAATCAACGCCAGGTGAGCGATAAGTTGGTCAATGAACTGGTTCAGAGTTTGCTCCTAAAGAGCGACAGTTCGCATTTGCGAAATCTGCCCATGGAACGCCTTCAGGCGGCCGCCAAAAGAGCCCTGGTAGAGGAGATGGACTCGGCGCAGGAGAACAGCTCCCTGGACAGTACGCCGGCACCAACACCCAAGCAGGACAAGGAATACTCTGATTACTACAATAGCTGGTGTGATGCCAGTGGCAGTGGAGATGATGTGCTGCCCTCCAAGAGCTTCCGTTCCTTACAGGATCCACGCCGGAGTCCCTGGACAGTGCGGTGCCCGAGGGTGCTCAGCTCCAAAACGATTAACCGTGATTTGGCACGGGTCACAGAGTCACCGGAAATCGCCAATGCACGGGGTAGCAAAAGTCCGGAATGTTTCCGCCAGAACTCACATTCACAGAGTAGAGAACGTTCCGTGAGCAGTTGGCGGAGGGTTTAGAATACGGCAAAAGAGATTGCCTATTGTATATAACTGGGCGGGTCTATAGTCTTTAGAAGGGATGTGAGACCGGTTCAAATGGGAGATCGAATCTCTCCAGAGAATCAGAAGCTCCCCACAAATTCGAACGAAATACAAAGCGAACTCAAATTGATCCAGGAGAAGTACTCAGGTACTAAGTCCCCAGGTATTTGGTAAAACCTATTCCTGGCTAACTATCCAGTATCCAAGGGAATAACCTTAAAACAGTCAACTTCCGAATCGGATTTCACTCCCGAACTTTTCGTAAACTAAGCGTCTTCTGCATTTGGCTGAAACAGTCACTGCCCCTGGGAATGGGTGATAAAAAAGCCAGTTATTGCATTTCTCATATCATCATCATCAGTTCATATCCCATTGTACATTATGAATATCGAATACACTCAGTACATTAATAAACTAAATCTTATTAAACATGTAAATAAACCAATTGAAACCAATGAAAGGAAATCGTTCATTCGTTCGTTCGTTTGTTACCTCAGTAAAGCGCAAAACCAAAAACCGAAAACCAACCAAAATCATTTTCTAAAACTACATGAGTATTTCAAAATTTGTAAACCGTAACTCATGAATCGAACTAAATAATAACAAACATAAAAAAATGAAACTGAAAAAAATCTATCAAGCGCCACAATAAACAACAAAATAAAAAACAATTTCATCTCAACTCAATGATTTTGTAAAACTCGTTCAAAATCCTAAGGTACCTAAAAATTGCAATTATTAAAAAATTACCCAAAAACAAGTTTTAACTAATTGAATGTTTTCATAATATTCCGAAAAGTGTCCTCTATCTATCTATGTATTTACTTTTATTTTCGCCGCTGTTTGACTTTAATTCTGTGTGCCGTATTCTTCTTAATATGTCCATAAAAATATTTGCGATTCTTGTAATTGAATTCGAACTAATTCAAATCCAGGTTTGTATGCGCCAAACAAATGATCAAATTTATTGATCATAAGTAAAAACTAGAAAAAATCATAAGTAAAACATTTCCCATTTTTTAATGTTAATTGTTTATCGCAAATATTTTTATTGAACTGTTGTAGTTCCTATCCCAAATGCTTTCTTAGAAACTGGAGATTGGAGAGCAAACTCCACCTTGCAAAGAACAACGAATGAAGATTACTTTTTTGTTGTTGTGCCCATAAATAAATAGAATAAAAATAATAGAGTGGAAAAACATAAAATGGAAAATTGTACAATATAACTTGTCGAAAAGTCGTTCGTTACATTAACCATTCATGAGTTTACAACTGCATAATTAAATGTTTCTTTCTCTTATACTCGATTAACTTGTTTTATACACACAATAAGAAATATATATTTTTTAACAAAAATTAATCGTTAACTTTAATAATTACAATGAATGGCTTTTACCCCAAAACTTAAATTGAATTGAACTGACTTTAATTGAATGAACAAAACAAACAAAAGTTGAACAAAAAAGGTGAAGTTTTCTCTCAAAATTGAATTGGCTGCCTGGCACTTGCACTTTCTTAGTTGCTGCTTCAATTTTTGATTTATTTTATTTTACTTTTATTTAATTACTTTTGACGTTTTCTTTATATGTATGTAAGTCTGAACCTGGATCAGTGTTCATGGTCAAGCTAAGACTTGAAAGTTTCCACAATTTAGTGTTAGCTTTATTTGTTTGTTTATGCTCGTTAAGACACATTAAAATAACACTCTTTACGATTTGATCTTTTTCAGGACCTGGACAATCGGATCTATAATTATTTCTCAACGCCATAGAAATCAATTATAGCAACTCAACAGCATCATATACTGAAAACGAAAATGAAAATCAATCAGATTGCTTGTTATAGTTATCTAGTTTAAGTACCAGACACTCTTAAGGATCGCCACAATCATATAACTTGGGAACGGGAACAAGTTTTTAGTAAAATTTCTTTACACTAACAAACATCATCATTGTAACTGAAGATGAAAGTTTTTTTTGTTAAACGCGATTTGGTAGCAGCACTAAAACCAAACAAAACAATTCTAACACAATTACGAATCAAATAGCGAAAGCGAATATATACTAATACTAAACGTTAAGATGAAGATGCAGGTGCAAAGAGGTAACAACGAAACGAAACAAAATCCAAGAAATCGACTATGCTTGATATGTATCCGGATAACACGAAAGCGCACATCAACACGACTAATAATAATATCTTAAATATTTCTTTTGTTACTTGCGAACATTATTATTTCATTCTTGAAGATTATCTTTTATTTTTCATCAATATTTATTCATTTACACAGTTCGTATGCATACGAATGGACTTTAAATATTATTATTTGATACATATATAAAATATACTTTTGTGTTGTATAATTTTTTATGCAGTAAACATTTTTAGTAAATAAAGAAGTAAAATCAATAAAGTTATTATTATTGTATTTTTAATGGAAGTGAAATAATTGTTATGACTTTGTCGAGGTAAGATATCATGAACTTAAGTGAGAAGCATAGAGGTACAGAGAAGCCAAGTGTAGCAAAAACCTTTCTATCTCGGTTAGTTTTATGTAAAATTCAATTTAAATTCGATATAAGCGTATACATAAATATTTTTTTTGCTGTATACAGAGACATTCTTTACAGCTCTCAATATATATATATTATATACTAATTCTTTCTCAAAAACATTCAATACTTTTATATAATAATATTTCATTGTTTGGACTTGCTGATCGTTGTAACGCCAACAAAATTCCACTACAGGCGTTACAATCAACAAACATTTAAATCTACATAGATTATATACCGATATTCCATAACCACCTAGTTATAATAGTCTGACAAGCTATTTCAACATTAAATGCATATAAGTATGTTAATAGTTTACGTATTTAATATGTAAATACTTTCAACAGTACTGTTTGATAGTTAACTTGGAGATATTTTTCATTTGTACAACTTATCTCATTTGAGATCTGTATTAAAAAAAAGACTAAAACTAAGAGATACAGAAGAATAGTGAAAAGTCAACGATTTTTAAAGTTATTGTTTACAATATTGCTTGTCAAGGTAATTGGTTTTAAATTATTCAAAAAAACCGCCTAAGAAGTTGGGGTATCCACCTGTACTTTCATAAGCTCTTGCACAATCCGGTACTCATGACAGTCGGTGCACAGCAGACGACCGTTTGATCGGTTTGAGCGCTGCACCTTCTCATGGCAAACTATATGAACAAGTTTAAGATTCTTCAGAGAAAATATTTCTAAAAAGTACTCGAGTACCGAAATGTCGACCACTTTCTTATTGTGCAACGAGCACTTGCGCTGCGGATGGGAAACAAGGTCCTCTACATTAGCCACCAGTGCAGGAAGAATCGTGCGGCACAGCTCAATTTGGTGGTCCAGATTCCAGACCTGAAACAAAATCAGATTCTCACGGGATGCATACGGATTGATGGTATGCTGCATGGAGCAACAGTTGCCATTTTCCGAGTAGGCACCCTGGCAATAGAAGTCACCAAAGTCAGAGCACAAGGAAACGGACCATTCATCTAGTATGCAATTCTCTTTAGTGTACTCCTTAATCACCTGCCTCAATCTTTTGCTAGGCAGACTGACAGCGTCTGTTTCCTCTTCACTCAGGTGCTGCTGAAGGAATTCATGTTTTTGCTGGCACTTTCTGTTGAACATCATGGAGAAATAGTCACATCCGATAAGCAAGTATCGAAATTGCTCCAGTATAGAGTTTATCACTTGCCGAGCCTTGGCATTCTGGCGGTAAAGAGGATTTCGGGTTAGCTCGTCCTTGGCCTTATAATAGTAGCCGCGTACACGTGTCTGAGCTCGCATGGCCATGGCCTCCTCCTTGGACTGGAACCGCTCCTCCCCGCCCTCAAACCACTCCAAGTGCTCGGCCTTTAGGCTAAGGTGCGCTTTGGTGTTGTCCAGAACGAGTCGGTGCTTCTGGTGCTCGTATTCTGTTATCATACGACGAAACTTCTCGGGATGCTGTTCGATAAAGTCGTAGAATATGTCAGCCACTTTAAGCAGTGGCGATTGCTGTCGTATTTTTTCAAACTCAAAGTCAGCATCTATGGAGGAAAAAGATCAGTAGTGAGAATAAGTTACTTAAACCACGTTGATTGCGGCTCACCTGTAGTTATAACTGCATCTGGTCCAGCCACGATAAAGAGTGTCTGGGAGGGCAGACTGTTTAAGTACTCATCATCGGACACCTCGAAACCATCAGAAGCCAAATACAAATGCAGCTCAAGTAGCTAAATGAAAAAATTTAATTAGTTGAACTGCCCTTGACATGGCCCAAATATAACGAGGCCGGGGTAACAAAGAGTCTCGCCTAATTTCTGGTTCAGCGGCCTTCAGAAAGTGTTTTTTTTTTTTGGCTAGGCAAGGACATTCTATCAACAGGTGGTTAGCTCCTTACAAAAAGTCATGCGCACTACCCGTAACTGGTGGCATTGAAAGAGAGCCAAACAAACGCGGAAGCCACTGCCAGGGACATGGCCTTGAAACTGCCAGGGCCACTGACTTTTTGTGTGGGTGGGAGTTATAATGGACCTTCTACGCAGGAGGTTTTCTAGCATTCCTTACCGGAAATTTATTGCTTGCTTTGCTTATCAGCATATCCAGGGAATTGGCTCCAATGCCGTATTTCCTTGTTCTTTCATTATCAGTAACCTTGTAACCACGCATTGGAGCATCTAGTGCTTCCTTGGATTCAGATGAGTTCACATCCTTTAGAGCTCCTCCTGCTGTCTCGCTATTTCTGTTGTTATTCGAACAGCTGCGAGTCGTTGGGGCCATGATTGCATCTCTAATGTAACTGAGCATGATTCTGGCTCATAATAAAGTCAACTTTGAAGTGCAGTCCTTGTAGCAAGTTTCCTTTTGGGCGGACAAAGCAAAATAAACGAACTGGTCAATTTTCTGCTTACCAACACTAGCGCACTGCTGTGCTGGCACTCTAGCTTTAAATAAAAATACTAAACATTGCATTGTTTATTTAGTTATAGCCATACAATTTACTTATTTATATGCAGCCGAAAGAAACGTAATTTTGTTATGTTTAATTAAATTGAAATTTGAAGTTGAGCCACTTCATCAAGATTAATTATAGTTTTTAATTCGAAAGGTTGAAATCAATCCTAATGAAATTGGGAAACAACTAAATTAGCTAGAAAATGGCAAAGTTACGTTTGGCATCGCTAGTTTCCGTTTTCCAACACTAGTGCTTCAGAAAAAAATCCATCAGCTGTTCGAAATAGTAATTTTTTTTGTAAAAAGTTTTTGCTGAAAAACTAAAACAGACGCTGCTTTAGTTTACCATGAACTTGACTGCATGTACCGCGTAATCCGTAGATCAACGGGAATCGCGTACTACGATGAATCTACGGCCGCGATGCCGCAAGTGGCTGCCACTGGCCACTCAGCAACTTCGACTGCGGAACCTGGCGCGAATTCAGGGATTCAATATTGTGTCTGGGGTGCAGAAAAAGTCGTTGGGGCAGGAGGAGCCAGAAGATGTGCTCCTCTACTACACATTACACACAGACAAGGCCAGTAAAGCGTTCTACACGAGCGAAAAGCTGCCGCAGCGCCACCAGCAGCAAAAGTGGGCGGAGATCTGTACAGATGATGAGGTTTGGAGGAAGACTAATGCACAGTGTGTGTGCGTCAAAGTGTGGAAGTACTTTCCGACGGAGAGAAAAGATGGCCAACCAATTGAGACTGACCACAGGACTACGGAGATGTGTGGGTACGTAGTTTACCTTACATGCGAAATTATACCTATTATACTTTACCTAATTTCAGAAGGGCTCAACTAAGGCCAAACAGGCTGCCGCGTCCCCCCGAACTGCTTTTTAGCTGGGGCGTATACTTCTCCGGCCTCATACCACTGTCACCCCTTACCCTGTCCCAGTGTGGAACTAATTGTTTGGTTTTCCAATTAAATGGTGAGCAATTCGCCTCCCCGTCGATGATAAGCGAACAGGGCTTGCAGTCTCAGCTGCATTTGCACTATCAGATTTATGCGGCGGCCGACGAGCTGGAGGAGCCGCAGGATGCTGGTATCAATTCGCCAGTTGTCAGCCGCAGTTCCAGTCCTGTGCTACGGATGAGTACGATGCGTCATGCCCAGATAAAGTGCCAACAGCAGGAGATTAGGCACAGTAACAACCTGGACAAACTGCTTATGTTGCAACGCTTGCAGCGTTTACATCAGCAGAAGATGCGCCAAATATCCGATGTTTGCCGGGAGATTGCCCGGCTCAGTGTGCACTGTGTAACCAAAAATGAGTTGCGCCTGAAACCCCGCACCACTTCGCTGTCCGGCGATTACTCTGCCCATCATCACCATTCCATGGGCCGTGCCCTTAGTGTATTGCTCGCCGAGCAACAGCAAATAGCGCCACTTACGCTTTACAATGCCCAGCAGCTAACAAGACGGATCGAAGCGCTTAGCGCCAAACAACGATTGCTTAAGGATGAGCGGGAGACCTTTCGTCAGCGCAACGAACGTGCCCGAAAACGCCTGGAGGAAATGAGAGAACAGCGTGAAGCTCTTCAGCAACAGCTCCACAACCAACGACTTCGACTGGAGCAGGAACGCCTTGAGCTACGCACACTGGCACCCCAGCATTTGGAACACCGTGATCAAAAAAGGCATATAGTTCGGCAGGTGAGAGTCATGGAGAAAAATATTGTAATCACCTATTAATAGACCCTTTTATAGGTGGAGCGTCGAATGTCCACTTTGGTGTTGGAGTTGCAGGAGATTTACAACATTCAGAATGTAAGCGGACAGCAGCTTAGCATATGCGGTATCGCCTTTCCCCACATGGAACAATATACAAGCGATTCCCGCCAGGCAGCTAATGCACAGTTAATGGAAAACGTCTCGCCGCTGGCGGTGAGTGCAGCCCTAGGCTATGTTGCCCACTTGGTGCAAATGTTAGCCATTATCATGGATCGGCCGTTGAGAAACCGAATTCTTTATGAGCCATCAAGGGCAAGGATTGTGGATGATATCAAGGAGTTGACATACACCACCAGGGAGTAAGTAAGATGGAATCGTGATTCATAAAACATTGTAACTTGTGTTATTCTATTCCAGATTCCCCTTGTACACTCGCTCTATTTTGCCGTCGCAACAAACCAAGTATGCCATCTATTTGCTGCGCCAAAACGTTTCTCAGCTGTGTTTTGACATCACCGGTCACTGCGATTTGCGGAATACGTTTGCCAACCTGCTGCACCTTTTCAGCACACTTCGTTACATCGAACGAACACAAAGGGATGAGGGCGATGAGCTGGATGGACGTGCAGGCGGCGAGGCGCGTTTGGTCAACGGACTGACTGCTCCGCACCTGTCGCAGTCACATTCGTCTGTGGACATGAACCACGTGCCACTGCCGACAAGCGTCAATGCAGTCAAGGATGCACTACTCCAGCAGCTGTTACCGCCGGGTGTGAGTCAAGCACTGGCCATCGAGGGCTATGCGTCAACACAACGGTAATTATCTATAAGTATAGAATTATAAATAGTTAAAGATATACATACTCGGTATAAGACCTCTGATGATATGACTTAAGTTTATCTGTTTAATAATAGTATTAATACTATAAATATTTAATCATATTTAAATTTATTGCAGCATTTGCCGTTCGGTTGGCTCTTATTCGGATGGCGAGGACGAGTTTCGACCCCGACTAGAACATAGCTATTCCAACTCTGACTCTAACATAACGTTGCAGGTGGAGCGTAGCTGAGCAATTGTAAGCTTTGAAGCGTTTATAACTATAATCCAACAAATGTTCTTCTTATGGGGTGTTCCCGTATTAGTTGGAAATCATATGTATAATTTTAAATTATCCAAGTCAATGGTAAGGCATATGCATAACGCGGTCCATTGAGGGCATATTATTTTTAGCTGTTTAAGATCTCTATGTAAATTCCCGTTTATTGTTTGTTTGCTAATATAAGCTACGAATAAACATTTAATATTTTATACACGTCAAAGGGTGTCATTATGTGGGTTAAAACTAAAATTGATAAAAAATGATTTGTTTTTTGTTTAAATTTTCCGCCATTAGTATTGAAAAGCGTAGAAAACAATAATACAACAACAATAATAACATTTACCGGGTATAGGATCAAAGCTTTTAATACTTTTACGCCCTAAACTTTATACTTGTTCATAAATTTTTAAATTTCAAACTTTTTTATGTACAATTTATCAATAATATTTCAACTGCAACGACAGCGCAAGTGTTGTAAAGTGTTTCGGTCTCTTAACAGTGCACTGTAAAGCCAGCTGATTATCATTTGGCTAAAATTATATCGCTGGCAATTTGCTTCCGGGATTATAAAGTTTTACGGGAATTACTCTGGCAAATAATATATAAAAAATGTGCTGGAGAACGCCTAAAGCATGGCCAAAATAAGTGCAATAATATTTCTAGTGAAAGGAAAGGCGCAGAGCTCTTAAATCAATTGGCTACATGAAGTGAATGTGCATGTGTGCGTGTGGCCCGGGCCTTGGCCTTTTATTTATCGAATTCGTATCAATTAAATTAAAATGCTGAGCAATATAAGGCACTTGGCATTTACGGTGACGATTTGGTAGCCGGCAACTGTGTGTACGACTGATAAGCGGACTACGGGGAATGCCTGTGATTTACGCGTATACTGTGTTTACCCTACCTGTTTACCGCTCAAACAATATAAAAAAGAAAAACTTAGGCGTGATAAGGGGCAGACTTCGTTTACACCTGAAATTGCTCAATAAAGACGTGGCAACAAGACTAAACGAGTACCCAGCATTTATATTTTTATTTAGACAATAAACAGCAACTAATACTAAGAGCTAACTTTCATATCTTATTAAATATTAATTAGTTCAATTCCGGCGCCAAAAGCAAAGGTTCTCCTATCTTAAAGCTCTCTTTTTTTCTCTCTCTTAAAAGTAAACTTAAACTTAAGCTAACTACGCTTGCTCTCAATTTTTGTTTTTAAAATGGCTGAGAACAATGTACCGCTACGTGATTTCGATGAAGAGAGCGAAACGGATTCGGAGACAGAATTGCTCATACGTCGCGATGTTCCGAGCGGTAAAGGCATCAACAATAATAACAACATCAACAGGGGAAGGCTGCGAAAAAGCTCAACGGGCTATAGTGGCGTCGAAGTCGACGTCGGCGCTGGCAGCTCTGCCGCCGGCGGCGGAGGCAGCTTTCTGGGCAATCTCTTTGGATCCAACAGTTTTGGCTCTGCCGCCGGCCAGATACGTTATAGAAATGAGCGGAGTCGCGAGCGCGCCAAAAACTCCAACGGCAACTACAGCAGCATTTCGAAACTGGCGCAATTAACGCACACGTCATCGGGCGCGGGAGCGGGGGCGGGATCGAACAGTGGTGGGAGTGGTAGTGGCACCGGTAGCGGCATTGGAGTAACCACTACGGATAACAATGCAGCAACATCTGCAGGATCGTCACACCCTTCGGGGGATCTCAATAATGGCGGTACACACAGCACCGTCATCGATCCGGAAAATGGAACATCCACAGTCTTCTACCAGCATAATCGACGGAAAAGCAAGAGTCGCAGCATTGGCAACGTCTGCAAGTTGTGTCTTTGCAGGTGAGTTTGCTTACGGTGTGATGCATTGGATATACAACGTCAACGTTGCGTATGCGCAATATTTCCATTTCACTGCTGCAATAGTGGCGGCGGGAGTTGTGGGAAGTAAATGGCGAATCAACAGCTGTGCACTAGTCAACAAAACATCAGAAAGAAGACAAGTTTGATTCAAAGGAAAAATAGTATTTTATTTAAGCTGAAATCAGTAAATCAATGAATGTTATCAGAAGAATAAGGTATTGTAAACAAGTTTGTCTCGAAAACTGATAACAGCGAATTTGAGCATTCTAAATTTTGCATGTGAAAACGGTGTTATGGTCTTAAAAAATAATTTTTTTTTGTCGTAATCGCATCTGATGAAATTTGTTGTTAAAATTTCAAGCTTTCAGATTTGCCTTTACCGACATGATAATTTCCTTGCTAGAATTATTTCGAATATTTCGACATTCGTAATCCTGCTTGATGAAATGAATTAGAATTCTAAAAAATTAGAAAAAATTAAGAGTCCACTCCAGTTGGTTTTTAACTCTTATATGGATATTCTTGATTTAGATAACATTTTTGTATGATCCGACAACTGTAGGTGAAAACAAAAGAATTCCTAACATTTCTATAAATAATTTTTGAATATTAAATATTTGGCAAACAAATCGAGAAAAGCGTTGACCCCTCTCTTAGCCATTCTATCATTTTCGAAATTCAACAGTTTAATGCCAAACAAGTTGTTGTTTTTTTTATGCCACTTGAACATTGTTTATTATTTTTTGGCTTCAGCAAAATCTTTTTGAGGTTCTAAAACGAGCCGAGTGAGCCAAAATAGTATTGTGTTGCAATTCGGTGTTACTTTTAAATTAGATCTTTCAAGAAACACATTTCCAAGAAAACGAATCTAGCTGAAAGGCGAGTGGAGAGATGTATGGGCCGCGTATGTATGACATATACAATGAATGCATCTGTGTGTACAGACATATATAGCGAGATTCCGAGATATATTTTTAATTTACCTAATTAGAGAGGGAAAGAGGCGAGAACTTTTGAGAATGGCTACACATGCGAACCGGCAAACAGGCACACACGTCTGTAAGTAGATCGGAGAAAGAAGGAAAAAAATTAAAAACATTTCGGTTTCTGCGCTACTTCGTACTGCAAATCGATAAACGTGACGGGACCCACAGACGACTAACATGTCTGGGTAAAAGATTTGAACGAATGGAAATAATAACAAAAACACGGCAATAAATAGTGGCCAAGACAAACGAGCTAGCTGGTTGGGTGACAAGGCATAAAGTAAGCGCAAACATTGGTATCCTAACCTCCAGTTTTCTTGCACACCCACTGAGCGTTTACTTTGCGGAACTCTAATTGCCGAAAAACTTTGCCCAAAAAACAAAAAACACACACAACTCCACCCGTTACCTGTGCATTTTTAATCGATGTTTGCCGTGTGACTTGAAACCCGATTGGTGGGCGAGTAAAAAACAAAAATATATACGCTGCTCAAGAAGTCACCAAGAAATGCTAAAAATTCCGAAACCAGTTTCTCAGCTGGTTTTGCTACACACATTGTTGTTTTCAAGGTTTCTAAAAAATACAAACGAGTTGCACAGAAGAAGTCGCTTTATAGGGTTTTTTTTTTGTCGGTCAGACTTTGGTTTTTGTGTTGAAAATTGAAAGTTTCTCTCCTGCCTTTTTGGTGGCTTATCAAAATCGGGTCGATTGTCGACCAAATACGAAACGAAGCCGCGAGCTCCGCAATGCGTAAGATCGAAATTGTGATATGAAATTTGTATTCCAAAATGTTTCTATGGTAGTATAATGAACATACTTCAAAAATTAGACAAAGAAAAGCTTTAATCGAAACCGATTGGCTTTATTTGCATAAACTTTTACCATATAGGAGAAATAAATATTTAAAAAGTTACACTTATTGTACTTGCTTATATAAACGATGCTATTAGCTGGTTAAAAACATTTAGTTGACTACTCAAGATACAGATTGCTCATTCACCATTATTAAATAACAATCTCCAATGTCATCTTTTGACTTTCAAGTGTGTCTTCAACTCTTTATAGCTCTCCTATCGCCCTCTGACCACGAAAATGTCTCGAGGCCTTTACAGATTCAAGTTCTCTTCAATTTTTCGACACCCAGTTTGGGTTTTTGTGAAGGTTTCGTTACTGAGAGCCTAGCTTTTCCGCCTGTTTGAAAGTTTTTCGTTTAATTTTCGGCGCTCAACTCCAATTGCTGTTTCGGTTATATGAGGCTCAAAGATTTCGACAGGCCGATTAGAATTGCAAAGTGAGGCGCCATGCGGCACGGTTTGTTGCTGTGATTTTTGCTGCCACGGTGGCCACTGTGGTGGAACCAACTAGGCGTTTATATTTCCCTATATACAAAAAGATTCCATTACTTCAACTAGTTGAAAAACTGCTGATAACCTTAGTTTTATTATATGTCTTAAAGAAAATAAACTAGTTTTCTATATCGTTGAATACATTTATATAATAATTTAAAACAAAAATTATTGCGATTTTGTATCAAGATCTAAATTGTATAGAAACATTTCTTTCATAATTTTGAAACTACTCGAATCAATCGCTCTCAAGATAATTGTAATTGCATTAAATATAGCCATTGCCAACTGACGACAGACTTTTCCCAAGCTTTTTTCACTTTGCCGCTTGCAAATTAGTCCGCCCCCCTGTCCACCCCCTGGTAACGCCACAAACTGTCAATGGTAACGCCTAATGTTATTATTTTCTAGTCGCCGTTAGCTGTTTATCTAGTTGCGAATGCAAATGGTTGGGAAAAAGGAAAAGCCAGGCTAAAAGGGGGGAAATGCGACAACGATTGACGCCCGCAACTTGGTCTGGCATTGTTTTCCACCCACTGGCAATGTGGGTTAATAACCAAAAGCCAGAAGGCAGCGCAAGCCACACTATTCATAGCTCACCTCATTCCATTCCGGTTACCCGTGGAAGGGTATTTGGTACACGTGTTTCCACTCCCTCAAGAACTATATTTGTCTTTTCCCGCCACCATTATATGTGTTAGCTTCTTGACCGCTTTTAAAGCATTATAATGATAACAATTTATCTTTGCGGCCAAACATTCGATTCAAGTTCATTTTACTTTATATTCGAAATTCAACTAAGCCACGATACATCTACTAAACAAATTTAATTTATTTATATTGTGAAAACGATTCATGTTTATTTCAGCTTTATCTGAAATCAAAATATAACTCGTTTGATTCAGAAAAGGAAATATAAGTCATGGGTTTATTTGTTTTTATTTTTAATTTTTATTTTTGTTCTTGTTTTTTAATCTTGTTGTTATGTTAGTGATAATATTTGATAATTTTCACTAGAAACAGGAGAAATAAAAAATAAAACCTAGTAAAGTAGATAATATGGGTGTGCCTCACTTTGAAATCCGAAAACTAGTCACTTTTCACTTATCTTTAGCACAAAATTGTAAATTAGTTTCTTCGGAATGTGTCATATGGCAGTTAAAAGAAATTTGCTAAGGGAACTGTGGGAAACCGCCGATAGCTGATGCATAAATTACACAAATTATCTACTCAGTTTTTCAATTGCCATTTGTAACCAACTATTTCCTTACTGTTTTCTACAGATTTTCTTCATTATTGTGTAACGTGGGGCTGAGCTAAATCATTTATCTTTCAATTTTAGTAATGTATATAGATGGGATATGTGAAATAAAGGATTGTACGTCAGCAATTGATTGATGTGCAGCTTTTATCGACCGAACCATTATAGTAAAACTCTTTATATCCATTCTTTATCTTGTACATTGACAAAGCGAATCAGATACATTCCAAAATAATATTCTGCGAAATGGTTTATTATTGTTATTTTATAGGTCAAAGATAAATAATAATTTTTTTGTTACTAAACCAAACTAAGCAGATAAGGGTTAAGGGAGCAGCACTAAAAGGTAGAAATAGTTTGTTAAATTGCAACTAATATACTTAAGGTTGGATTGGGTATGGTTTGTTTTTGAGATGAGTTAAAAATTAACGAAAAAAAAGCAGTCCCAAAATTCTGAATTTCAAAATATAGAAAACACAAAAAGTGCGCACTTCAACAGATTTATTTATGTACATTCATACATATATAGTGGCAGCTGTTTAAAGGCTATATTTAATGGGAAAGGCGGAAAACAATATTTGCTTGAGCTATGCAATCGAACCTGCTGAGGTCTACAAATCGTTTTGAAATTTCCAGTTAATTACTCAGAACGAAACGAATTGCGGCAATTGTTTGTTATGGCCACTGCAACTGTTGACGACTGCATTTCAATTCAAACAGAATGCAGGAGGCATCGGCTGAATCACATTTCGTCCGATAAGCGCGTTTTGCAAAAGGGAAAAATGCATTAAAAACGCATCTAGGCGTATTTAACTAGCGTGACACAGTTTGGGATTATGGAGAAACCCGAAGGCTTCGTCGGCAAAAGCGCTGACTTTGAAGTGCAACATGAGTCACTCAGGTGAGCTAATTCTGCTGGCCCTTTTGTTTATTTTTTTATCTTCTGGTGCAGACAAGTCGTTGAACTTTCGCTTGAGCACTTTTGGCAACTTTTTCTTATGAGATCATGGCACGAAATCGTCTGGCCAACGAATGTGTATGGTTATATTGACAAAACTTCGAAGCGGGCTCCATTCGCACACGTCTAGCGCAAGCGGCCAAGTAGAATTGGTCGTTAACAAAAAGCTATAGAAAAACAAGTTTGCTCGTGGGCAAACAAATAAGAGGAGCAGCAGCGTATTGCGTTGATCTAAGCGGGTGAAGCGTAGACCCCTGGCAAGAGCTTATTTAATTAACATCCGAGTGCTAACGAAAGCAACGAGAAGAACTGTTGATTCAGTCAGAAATGGGTCATAAAAATTCACATTCGCAGTCGGTTAATTCAAATTACGCGCTCAGCGCAGAGTTGCCAGATGTGTGTATCATTGTTAAGGGGCAGCTCTGACTAACGACAAACATACAGTTGTCTCTTTCCCTCTTATTGATTTCTCTAGAGACTATAAAGCAGGGTTGTTAAAAGCGCAGACGACGCAGTTTTCATAAGGAATTTTCACATTCCCAATTGTTTTTGTGCATAAGAATTTCGCTTAATTTGCAATCGAATATTACAAAGTGCTTGGTGAATGCGTGTGCCATGTGCCGCGCCTGTGATTATGTGAGAAGGGCCGAAGGAAAAGATCAAATTGAAATTGCCGAAACAGCTGCATTTGCTGAGAACAAAGGCTGCTACTCAGACTACAACAATAATTTGGACAAAATTCAATAATTGCGAATCTCGATCTCGGCCATACAACATGGATGATGCTACATCCCAAAACTCGGCTGCAACGCCCATGACTCGCGAGAATATTCCGCTGTTGAATCGCCAGCGGAATCGCTGGTATCTTTTTAGGTGTGAATCATCATCCATCACTTAATTAAAGGGGGATTTTCTCTATGCTTCTTATCAGTTTCTTTCAGTGTATATAAGATAAACAATTACAGTTAATTGGTTGGGTTCTCTCGCTCTATAGCACACTAAGCCAGGTTTTTCACCTCCCACTCGCACTTTTTCGCTCCCTCAAACTCATCCGCACACAAATGCATACACATATTCCGCTGATTGTTGTTGTCGTCTGAATTTTCACTTTTGTTTATTTTTCGAGTTTTTATTATTGATTTTCCCATCAAGGTCGTCTCCTACTTATATGTATTTGCTTGTCCGACTCCTAGACATTTGTGTTTGGAATTTCAATTGGCCTGTCGAAGCACTTGTCACCAAATAGGGGATTCCCATTCAGAGTATGAATATTATAGATTCAATAACAATTAAAAAAGCCAAAAATATTTAACGGTTCGTGAGAATTTCCTTAAATATGGAGAAAATGTTAGCTATTTAAATCTTTATCTTTAGTGTTTGAAAATGTTCCATTAGTTATGCCAAATGCATTGTATCCAGGGTAGAAACTAAATTATTGCTGTGTTTTATAAATGTCGAAAAGAGCTTGGATTTTGAAACTCCTTCCATAAATTTGTATATAAATTATTTCTTTGGTTGGTTTTAGGTATCAACAAGTTTGAACTATTTGACATCTATTTCATGTCGCATTGTTTTTAAGTATTAACAAAATTCGATGTGAAACACCAAGCAATTGATGAAAAGGCTTAAATGACTAAGGCTAAAGCTCAATATCCTCGCTCGTTCCATGATTTTCGATTGTGGCATTGAGAGGGTTATATGGATGACGGGATATAGGCCGGAAGGATGTTTCTGGCTCACACTATTACCGAAGGCAGCGTGATACTGATCCTTGTTTGTCTTTACAGCTGCTGGCGCAAATGGTTCCGGCCACGGGAGTTACGGGCTCGAACCGTAAATCTGGGTCGAGTAAATACGGAGAAATTCCCGCCGAACGAGATCCGAAACCAGAAGTACAACTTCATCACCTTCCTGCCGCTGGTGCTGTTCGAGCAGTTTCGCTTTTTTCTCAACCTTTACTTCCTGCTGATGGCGCTCTCCCAGTTTATTCCGGACATCCGGATCGGCTACCCGTACACCTACTGGGGTCCACTCGGCTTTGTCCTGATGGTCACCATTTGCCGAGAGGCGGTCGACGATCTGCGACGCCATCAGCGAGATCACGAGGTTAACTCCCAGAAATATAAGCGACTGTCGGCCACCAACGGCAGCGGCTATGAGATGGTACCCAGTTTAAAGCTTAAGGTCGGTGACATTATTATTGTGGAGAAGAACGAGCGGGTACCTTCGGATCTAATCCTGCTGCGAACAAGCGATCGAAGCGGATCGGTCTTTGTGCGAACAGATCAACTGGATGGGGAAACAGATTGGAAACCTCGACTCGCCGTTCCCTACACCCAGAAACTCAGTCGCGATTCGGAGCTGCACAGCATTGATGCTAGCTTCTACGTTGAGAAGCCCCAGAACGACATCCACAGCTTTATCGCCACCTTCTGTATGGCGGACGGCAGCGAAGATACCGGTCTCAGTGTGGAGAACACTCTGTGGGCCAACACCGTCGTGGCCGCCGGCACAGCCACTGGAATTGTCATCTACACTGGCTGTGAAACGCGCAGCGTGATGAACAACTCACAGCCAAGGTCAAAGGTGGGCCTGCTTGACATGGAGATCAACGGTCTGACCAAGGTAAGGATAAAGATCAGTATAATTCTTAGTTGTACATTTCAATAAAGAGTGAAAGTAATTCTACTGACCTGAGTTATGCTCGTAGTTGTTGTTATGTAAATTTGAACAATTCGCTTAGTTATTAATTTAATCTTCTTTAAACTTCAATAGGTTTTGTTCTGTGCCGTGCTGGGACTGTCCTTAGTCATGATGATGCTCAAGGGTTTTGGGGGTCCTTGGTACCGATACATGTTCCGCTTTGTACTGCTCTTCTCCTATATCATTCCAATCAGTCTGCGCGTGAACTTGGACATGGGAAAGGCCTTCTACTCGTGGCAAATGCAGAACGACTCAAATATACAGGGAACTGTAGTCAGATCAACAACCATACCCGAGGAACTAGGAAGGATCTCGTACGTGTTGACGGACAAAACGGGGACACTTACCCAGAACGAGATGGTCTTCAAGAAGATCCATCTGGGCATAGTATCGCACGATGCAGACACTTTCCATCATATTGGACAGATGATACAGAAGCTGTCGGGTAACATTTTACAACAACAGCAGGGCAGCGTATCCAGCTCGAGCAGCGGCGGAGAGTCGACGAAGCCAATTATGTTCGCCGGCAACAGGATGCGTCGTCCGGAGGGATGGCGTGAGTGGGAGGCAGTGCGAGCACTGGCCCTATGTCACAATGTAACGCCAGTCAGCGATGACGAGGACAACCGATCAGTGTCCACGGCATCTACTGTGACTGGCGGTAACAACTCGCCAACCAAATCTGTGATAAACATCGAGGCCCCTGGCAGTACGGACACCGAGCATCAGTATCAGGCTGCATCGCCAGATGAAATAGCGCTGGTTAAGTGGACTGAGCAGGTTGGCCTGACCCTGATTGCCAGGGATCTTAACACTATGACATTGCAGGTGAAGACCCCCAGCGAAGACAGTAAGTTAACCCTTAAAAAAAAGAATATCAGTGCCTATTTTCTATTATTCCGTTCCTTTTAGATGACATTCTGCTGCACTATCAGATTCTGCAGTTGTTCCCCTTTACCAGCGAGAGCAAGAGAATGGGAATCATAGTTCGTGAGAGCAAATCTGGGCAGATAACGTTCTACCTGAAAGGTGCCGACGTGGTAATGTCCAGCATCGTTCAATACAATGACTGGCTCAGCGAGGAGTCAGGCAACATGGCACGAGAAGGACTTCGCACTCTTGTGGTGGCTAAAAAGGTGCTCACCGAGGAGCAGTATTCCGACTTTGAGACACGCTACAATGCAGCTCGTCTCAGTATTACCGATCGCGTCGCAAAAGTGGCGGCAGTCACAGAATCCCTTGAGCGTGAGCTGGAACTGCTTTGTTTAACGGGCGTGGAGGACCGTCTTCAGGAGAACGTACGTCCCACGCTAGAGCTGCTGCGGAATGCTGGCGTTCGCGTTTGGATGTTAACAGGCGACAAGCTGGAGACTGCATGCTGTATAGCTAAATCCTCACAGCTGATTGGTCGGAACCAAGGTCTACATGTCTTGCGTTCCGTTAAAACTCGAACAGATGCCCACCAGGAACTGAATAGCTTCCGTCGTAAGCAGGGGCATGCTCTAGTTATTTCGGGAGAATCTCTCGAAGTATGCCTGCAGTATTACAGACCAGAGTTCCTGGAGCTGGCCACGGCCTCACCGGCTGTTGTCTGTTGCCGCTGCTCGCCCACCCAAAAGGCCCAGGTTGTGGCTCTCATCCAAAAGCACACAGGCAAACGAACATGCGCTGTTGGGGATGGTGGCAATGATGTCAGCATGATTCAGCAGGCGGACGCCGGAGTTGGCATAGAGGGGCGCGAAGGAAGACAGGCCTCGCTGGCCGGCGACTTTAGCATTCCGCAGTTTTCGCACATCGCCAAGCTTCTGCTCATCCACGGCCGAAGGAGTTATAAACGTTCGGCAGCTCTTTCACAGTTCGTCATCCACCGCGGCCTGATCATCACCACCTTGCAGGCGGTCTTCTCGGCGGTTTTCTACCTCAGCTCGGTGGCTTTGTATCAGGGCTTTCTCATGGTTGGTTATTCGACACTGTACACCATGTTCCCGGTGTTCTCATTGGTGCTGGACCAAGACATCACTTCGGAGACGGCAGTCACGTATCCAGAGCTTTATAAAGATTTGTCTAAAGGACGCAGTCTAAGTTACAAGACCTTCTTTATATGGGTACTCATTAGCATATACCAAGGCGGCGTCATTATGTACGGAGCTCTAATACTCTTTGTGGACGAGTTTATCCACATTGTGGCGATCAGTTTCTCGGCTTTAATTATGACAGAACTCATCATGGTAGCTCTCACTGTGAGAACATGGCATAGGTAAGTCTTGTCAACTCTTTCGACTTGTGTATATAACATTAATTCGGCACATCCATTTTCAGGTTAATGGTGTTAGCGGAACTATTCAGTTTAGCGCTCTATCTTATTTCATTGGCCGTGTTACATGAGTATTTCGGTGAGTAATAAATTCCTGCCAATAATTGTACACATAATGATTTTTGTTTTGTTTATAGACTGGGAATTTATTTGGTCGTATGATTTCCTATGGAAGGTTTCCCTCATTACGCTGGTCTCCTGCTTACCATTGTACATAATCAAGTTCTTGCGTAAGAAATGTTCGCCGCCATCATACTTGAAGCTCTCTTAGATGGTGGCTTGGCATCAAATTTACAAATAACAATTGCTCCAGACTTTATAATTTTCATGGCGTTCTGTTCACAATTTAAACGTTATTGTTTAGCACTATACAAGTTGTTTTTTAACTGAGCAGCCATCCCACAAATTTCCCTCGATTTGCCAATACCCGCACCTATCCCAAATATACGTGATATCAGGTTAAACCCCCCTTCCTCGACACAACTTTTCTTTATGATATTTTTGTTTAATTTTAAAAGTTACACAAAATACAAGAGGAAAAGTGATCCGATTATTGTAATTAAAAGCAAACCGATTCTTATTTGTAAGCCGAGGCGAAACATTTTTAATATATATTTCAGTTTTGTATTCCTGTGTGTATTTGAATAATATTAAGTCGCAGAAAACCAAATTATGTTACTAATTATTTAATGATAAAATAAATTAATAATAATTGTATCTATGACTAAAACTGAAATCAATTACAGTGGTATAAAAAGAGATGTAAAACGAAAGATAGATTTTGTATAAGGACTTAGAAATTGAATTGGATTGTGTAATAACTATAATAAATATACATATATAAATGAAATTATTTATTGTGGATTTATAACTTACGAGGAGCTGGTTCCTAAGCAACGATGGATGAGATATAAAGAACCTTTTTTGTATTGTACATTTTTATTTACTTTTGCTTGACATTTTGTTTCTGTTTATTACTAATTCACAATTCTTTGCTTGAAATACATAATAATTTTAATAATATATTATATTATGCATGTACGCACATACAAACATACTTACGTACGCAATTTAATGAATTCTGTGTTGTCTTCTGTTGGTAATATAATAGTTTAGCTTTTGCTATGCTTTTTAAAATGCATGACATCCATTAGCGTTTACACTTTCATGGCTTTTTCTAACAATTTATTATTCTTGATCTTAGTTTCATGCTTGATTTGTTTTTGCTGTTTATTGAAATCTTTTTTCGTTAGTTTGTTTTAATTGCTTAGCAAAACTTCGACTCATTATAGGTTGAAATGATGAAGCATTGTTTTACGATTTTGCTTAAATGCGCAGAAATACTTTTGAAGTAAACAATTTGCTCGTTTGTTTTTTATTTGTTCAAATTTCACAACATTGAAATTTGATTTCTTCATCAACACATGCAGTTTTTTAAAGTATTATTTTTGGTGTGCTTTGTTAATAACATTTTGATTTCCATTGTATACTCGCTTTTGCTAATACTGAATTCTTTTCAACCGTTCATACCATGCACTGTACTGTGTCTGTTGAGCCAACTCCCTCCTAAGAACTCATTGAGCAATTTAATTCAACTTTTATGTCGGTGTATAAAAGTTCCATCCAATCATTGGGTTTTCTTAAAGCTTTTCCATTTCCTCATTTGTTTAATCAACAATTTCAACTCTAATTCTCAACTTGGGTACAGAGAGCTGAGCTACATTTGTAAGGGTATGGGTCATGTATATAATTGGGATAAATATTTTGTAGACATAGGGTATGTATGCGTGTGTGTTGACATTGGGCATCGTAATCGTTCACTTCTAATTTACTAAAAATCTACAAAATATAATATTTGAATTCTTTTCTCTGCTAAATATATTCTGCATATACATACTTTATAATGATTGTTTAACATTTATACATCTTTCTTTATGCAAGTTTTAATTTCTTACTTTTTCTCTATGTGTGGTTCTTGATGAGGTCAACTTTGATTTGTTTTATTTGAAACTTTTGGTTTTCGTCTATTTGAATCTTTACTTTAAGAATGATCTTGTCTAATTGTTGATATGTGTTTACTGTTTTATGTTGTGGATAATATGAAATCTTGTTTTTTCTTTTATATTTTTACAATTCGAAATGTTTTAACCGCGTCCTTTTATGTGTTATTCTGTTTTTTTTTTTTTTTTTTTTTTTTTTTAGATTTTTCTTTTCGTTTTAATAATATTCAGTCTATATAAACATTCATTTATACATTTATGCTAAATTTTTGGAAAACAAAGCGGGACAAACGTGCGAAACTGACATAAAAAAAATTCACATTTTGCAGTTCCTTAACCAAATATGGTAAAATTTCTCTAAAAAGAAATTGGATTCAAATAATGTGTGTGTGAAATTAGAATACCTGAATATACCTGTGGATGATCTGTTTTATGTAGAAGAACGTGTTTGATGTATGTAAATCTATCAAAAATTAATGGTTGTTTACTTTACCTTGCTATGCTTTACATGTATATTCAATAATGTAAGTATAGTTTAGGGCATTCTATTTGCTTTGCATTCGTTTCTGTATAATTATTTAAATATTTTGTTATATTTGTTTTTGTTTTGCTTTAGCTTGTTAACACATTCCTCTTGACGAGTCTTATTCAATGCATTTGATTTTTAGTTAGTTGTAACTTTCATTGCTGTTTCTGAATTTTTGCTCAAGTTGGCTATACCTTTTCACGTGATCCGACGTTTTATTCTTGTTTAACAGATTCCTTTATTTCTGCTATGCATTTGAATATAGATAGAAATCGATCAACATAAACGAAATCAACTATTTACATATATAGGCTTCCGTTTGGTTATAAATCTAATCACTTTTCTTACAGTATGTGTTAGCTGTTCAAGTCACATACTCGTAGAAACCAACAGAAGTAAAACATCGGGGTTTTGCGGGATATAAGAATTTCGGTACTTATTTGGTTTTGAGTCAAAAGTAAAACTTTTTTGCAATATAGTTTTTAACATCGTATGCTAAAATATTTATTTCTGATATTGTTAATCGTAATATTTTACGTCGTGCTTTGTATAATAATGTTAATTAGAGTGTTCTAGCAGCGATTGAGCTTGCTGGGAAAATATTCATATAAAGAAACGTATTTTATGTTATCAATTCACTAATTACTAAGCAAACCAATGCCAAGCATATCCTAAAATTAATGTTGTTTGCTCTACATTTTCATCTTCGGCGCCGTTTAAGCTCCATTAAAAAACTGCCAATTTTTTTTTGCCATATTCATGCTTTTCAATAATCCAAAGAGCCTCTGCCATCTCAATTAAATCAATTACTAATTGATTTTCAATGCCGCTCTCCGATTTTGAGGCATGGTCTGGCCTAACACCTGCACCGATATATAAAATTTATGTGGATAAATGGTTAAATTAGCTATGTAAAAAAGTTCCTAACTTAAATCATTGTAGGCAGTATGTCATTTTGTTTTTCTCTAGCTGTTGTTCGTTTTTAGTTTTGGGCCGAAAGTAACTTTTGATAGTGTGTTAATTTGTTTGAACACAATTGTTTTATTAAGACGATAATTTAATAACTGAACTGAGCAAATAAAATACTTTGAGTTTTTAATTCGTATATATCTGGTTCAACTTAGTCCATTAAAACCTTTAAAACTTGTGGAACGACTTGCCGAAAGGATTGCCCATCGAAAAGAAAGTCTCAATACACTGAATGGCAATCCCTTACATAAAGGAACATCTCTAATATTCAGACCTTTGTCCTGCTATATATATGCTTGTATGCTGTTCGGCACACTGAGAAGCGTCTACACATTTAAAAAAGGTTGGCAAAGCTTTTACAAAATTACGAAACTACGGTTACAAACTACTTTGCCAAAAAAACAATACCAAGTGCAATACTGATTTGAGCCAGATCAATCGATTTGGCCTGGCAGGTATTCGAAAACTAGACGTCTCGAAAGCAAATCTAAAAACTAACCACTGTGCTCATGCCAAATGGCGCTCCTCCTCGCAGATGGCGTTGCGCGTCGCCTCGCACTGGGCACAGTGCTTCTCCAGAAACTTCATGGACAAGTGGAACGTATACCGGTGCCGGGTGCAACGCCTTTACATCTTGTACTCGACGATCTTGTTGGGATTGAGGAACTGCTCCCGTTGCGACGCCTCCAAATGGGCTACGGTGCGCGTCAATGCCGAGCCCGATCCTGATCCTGATCCTTGCCCAGATCCTGCTCCGGCTGTTGATCCTGAGGAGGATTTGTGCTTACCCTCGCCGCCTCCGCCACTGGTGCGTCCTGTGTCCGTGCCAATGGGCTGATACACACCCTCGGCACTGATCACACCCACATTGACTCCGGCGACCACCGGCTGTTGCAGATATCCGGAATACTGCGGCGGCAGCTGGTAATTGCCCGGCGGCTGCTGCTGCTGCTGTTGGTGGCTGCCCGCTCGCGGCTGCTCAGTGTGGGCAATGGGATACTGCTGCTGATGGGCGTAGTCCTGGCTGCTGCCCACAGCGCCAGCGGCAGCCACCGAACCACCAGCTGCTCCACCACCACCAGCTGAACCTCCTCCGCCGCCTCCACCACCACCCATTCGCGATCCAGAGTCATCATTGAGGCCCTCGCCCATTTCACCATCTCGATTGTGACGACCACGGATGCACAGCTTGGTGAACAGCCAAACACGTCCGCGGTAAAGAAGGTAACAGCAGAAGTGGACAAAAAACGTAAAGATGATCGCACAGGCTGTCACTATAATCGCCTTGCCCGGTTTGGTCCAGTCCATCATCGGGTAGATGGCAGTTTGGTTTTTCCTGCACGCAAAAGAGGCAGCATTACCATTAGCTTTGTCCAACAGTATACGGCTCAGACTTACCTGTCAGTGCCGCCGGCCAAGAAGTAGATTCCCGTGAATATGGCATAGGCCAAGCCAATGCCAGTGGTGAAGTAGGCGTGGCTCATCTTTATCGGGTGGCCCACTATGGCCAAATCGATCAGCATTATGATCGTGTTCAGCACATGTACCATTATGTTTAACGCATCGATTTTATGGATTTCTGAAAGATTAATGGCGTTGTTTTGACATGAAAAGGTATTGGTGAATATTAATTGTTTAAATAACAAAATATGTGTTTTCGTTTACAGAATAATCTATAAATTTTTATATAAAACTCCTATTTCGAGGTTTAACTGTTCACTATGATTTCGTATTGGCTCTTTATTGATCTAACTAAAAACTCTTGATTTGAATCTCCGCGTAAGTAGTAGTACTCGAATCCAATGTCATCAGCGGAGACCAGGCAGACGTAGGAGGCGAGAAAGTCGAACAGCACCATCGCGGAGCAGAGCGGCTTGTCGAGGAGGGGCGGCGGGTTTCCCCAGTAGCCAGAGATTACCTGGCCCTGGAACACAATCAGCGGAAAGCTGACTTGCCAGAACACAAAGTGAACGGCTACTTCATACATGTATAGAACCTCTTGCATGTGGACACAAACCGCTGTCATCAAAACCGAGGAGAAGATAACGAATATGAACCAGGTGACAAATAGATGGACCACTGTAGGACATTCGGGCAGTATAAATGAACCAACCAACAGCATCATTGTCATCATGATCAAGATCTCTACGCTCAGTAGAAGTACCTGTTCAGTAAGCTGATCGGAAAGAACAGATACCGTTCCCAATGCCAGACAGCCTGCAATGATGCAGCTGAATATCCAGTTGAGGGGAAACTTCCGACGCAGCCATATCACGTTGACGTAGACGCAGAGGACGGTCAATCCGATGCCAAAGAAGCAATAGGTAGCCACGCTGTCTGGAACTAGTGGATATCCTCGGAACAGGCCTGGTATGATAAGCAGTACAATAGCGAGGACAATGAACACCAGGGCGATTCCATAGATCCACAGACGCACCTTGAGGCGGAGGCGCCCTAAGCCATCGGCTGGCGGATCACTCATCGATGTGGGTGTTTTTCTAGTTTTTTTTTTGCTGTTTCCCGGAGTGTGTCAAGTGTCAAAGGTGAGAGCTCGGCCTGACAGCCAGTATGTTAAGTGTAACCAGATCAGCATCAGCCCCGAATTTCAGCGTGCGGTCCGTTGGAACCTGTTCTTCAAAGTCCCGATACGGGGTGGATTCCAGTTTTCATGATTACGATCTAACACAGCGGAGGTACGAGGAGGAGTATGTCGAGAGGGGCACAAGCGCCTATAATTTCCAAGAAGGGCGAGAGCCCTCCAAATGCCTTTTCCGCACCTATGTCTGCCTTCTGCTCGTCCTCCAGGTGACCCTTGCGTCGCTGCAGTGGCTCGGCTCCACGTACCGCTGGCGACCTCAACTGAATCCTGCCAACCGCAGCCTGTCCGCCCTTCTGCTCCTGCTCTCGTGGATCAACATGACGTTGGCCTTCATCGGGTTCCGTAGGCTGCAGTTTACGTTCCCGCTTAATTGGATTATCTTTGGCTGCATCTTTGAAAGCCTTACTCTGCTGGTGGTGTGTCTGCACATCCTCGAACAGGATATCACTTGGCCGTTTGTATTGATTGGCATTGGTGTTTTGGTTGTCTATACGCTGCTAGGGCTGTGGGTACCTGCAATTCTCACCGCCAATCTCTGGATTCTAATACTGGAGAGCCTTTTAGTCGTCGTGGTATCTACCGTAGCTTTGAGCGTCCGTCTACGGATGCAGTACTACGTGCCCACGAGCATATGCTTAGTGTTCTTCGGGCCCTGGGTCATGTACAATTCCCAAAAGCTCTTCCTACCCCGACAGCGAACCAGCTACCTGTCCCACCAGTACTTGGAGGCGGCCATCAGGATGTACATCACTTACGCTTTTACAGTGAGCGGCATTGTATTTGCCCATCGCTTTTCGGTCGACCAATTGGATGCCAATGGATAGGACATGGTGGTACCTATGGCTATGATTTTAATGGTTACAGAACTGGGGCTGATCTTATTTGTTTTTTAGGTTTTTTGTAACTCTTTCTAAGTGCTAAGTGCAATTAAATTTAATGTCGCTTGTTTATGTTTACTTGTTTTAAGCAAGTTCTAAAAATAATGTAAAAATGGAGACAAGCTTGCCTTCTGTGAAAGGTCAATTTCTGAACTAAATATTGTATGAAAACTTGAGGTGGTTTCTGGGGTTCAATTGGGATTTCTAGGACTTCCAAAGTTTTAAAGCTAGTGTTAGCCACTTACCAGGATTGTGAACCAAGAGCCAATAGCACATGGTGACGATGAACGCATAGACCGTGGCACAGGTGTAGAGCACCCAATAAAGGTGATGCAGGCGGCTCTTCTTCGCCTGGCGTACAATCTCAAAGTCCTCTCGCTCCACCATCATACCCTGGGTCACTATCCAGGCGGCCAGCCAGGCCTGGACCGTGCAGAAAAGCAGTCCCCAGTGGGTAAGGTAGATCCACCACTTGGCATAGTGGTGCTCAAAGTGCTCATCTGTGCGCCCGATATCGAGCAAAGAGCAGACCAGCGCCGCCAGACAGGTGATGGCCGTTATCCAACGATAGAAAAGGTAAACGATTCGCACCTGTGTATTGCGTTGCCACTAAAGGAAGAAACACCTTTTAGAATGGATTTCGAATTGCCTCAAATTAACTAACCTGGCACAGGTAGAAGTTGTGTCGATGCACATGGTCCGGCGTAAACTCCGGGAAGCAGCTATTCCACAATTTGCTAACCATCATTCTCTGATTGCCCAGGCAGCTGCCGGCGTTTGTGGCAAATTGATTGAAGCCTTCGCAGCTGTCCTGCGAAGGATATTGGTAGGAGTGGTAGGATTGCTGCTGCAGTTGCTGCTGCGACGGCTGGAATTGTTGGTGTTGCTGTGGGAAGTGCGACTGGTGTTGCTGTTGTCGCTGATGCTGCTGTTGCTGCTGCTGCTGCTGTTGTTGGTATTGATAGGGCTGATAGCGATGCTCCTCAAGGACACGCTGCGACTGACCTCCCAAATCGGGTCCACCCCTTCCGGCTGATCCGGCTGATCCTGCTCCTCCCGCTGCGGCTGAGCCGTGCTCCGTTTGGAACTCGTGTTGCGGCGGCGTCTTGTGGCTGTGCAGGCTGTCACGGCCGCTGCCCCCGTATGGATGCAAAAAATCTGGCAGGTCAAGGATGTGCGCCAGCTGCTTGGCCACTTCCTCGTCTTCCTCGTCTTCGTCCTCCTCCTGCAGGTGGAAGAAGCGCAGTTCCTCGAGACTAGAGCAGTCCGTAGAGAGCAAGGCCTGTGGCAGGCACTCCTCGAGTAGGTCCTCCTCGTCTTCAGTGGTGCTGGCGAAGCCAGGCAGATAGCCGTAGTTGTCGTAGGCGTCGTACCGCCTGCGGGGCGTGGCCTTGTAGCGATAGCCAGCTTGCAGATCCTCCGCCGCACTCCCGTACTCCCGGAACGGCGAGGTGGATACCGCTGATGCTGATGCCGCTGCTGCAACGGCTGCCGGTGTTGGCGGTACCGGTGGTGGAACGGTACGTGTGCTCCGGCTGCTGAAATAATAATCGGTGGCTACACTCGGCGCCGGTGGTGGTGGTGGTAAAGCGGCCGGAACGGCCAATGGCGGCAAATAGCCGGGCGAACTTCCTGTTGAGGCTAACAGCGGCGTTGGCGAGGCATCGAAGTTGATTAGCGCCGCCGCCGGATAACCGCCTCCGGAATATCCGCTAACGCTTCGGTACGGATACGGATAGGGTGCGCTACCCGCGGCACCACTGCTGCTGGTGGTTCCAATATAGATGTGTGCCGAGGTGGACGGCAGATGGTACCAGCTAAAATGGGATTAGATTTACATTTTATTTTTTATAGGTCTGAATTTAACATTTAGCTATTTCATCTTCATAGAAATAGTCTAACTGGGTTAAGTTCAACTTTAAGTTAAGTTCAAGGTTTTAGAAGTGTCTAAAGTTGTTTTAAATCTAAGCTGGATGGGAAGTTAAATTAAAAACTTGGTGCTCTAAATAATGTTATGCATACTATTGGACAAGTGACTGGTCAAAAACTTTTAGGGAATCTTAACCGTAATCGCTTTTTTATCGTTAAGTGTTTTGGATGACTCGTAGATGTTAGTGGGTTAAGGTATTATGTTTGTCTTTTTACGCTGAGAGCAGGCCAGGGGTTAAGTGCTTGCAATAATACCTGGCTAGGTTGCCGCTGCCCAGACCGAAGCCCAGGCCCAGTCCCAGACCCAGATCGGTGTTGGTGCTTCCGCGGCTGAAGTAGTAGCTATATTGCTGCTGCTGCTGTTGCTGCTGATGTTGTTGTTGCTGTTGCAGTTGCTGGTGCTGCAGTTGCAACTGTTGAGCGGCAAATAGCTGTTGCTGCTGGGCAATCTGCTGCTGTTGCTGATGAGGGGCTGCGTAGCCGGTTAGCCAACGTTGCCGCAGGCACGAGTAACTCTGCTGCAACTCACGCTCGAGTCGCTGCAGCAGCAATTGTTGCTGCAGCTGCTGGATCTGCAGTTGCTGCTGCTGCTGGGCTAGCAATTGCTGCTGCACGAGCTGCTGGTGCTGTTGCTGCTGCTGTTGTTGCTGCTGTTGGCCACTAATTGGCACCGCTCTAAAGTAAAACTGCGCGTAATCCAATGTGATGGCGTTCCTCTACAGCTCCCACGCGCGTCTACCACATTCACGCTTTGGTCTATTGTCCGCGTCGCTCCCCTCTTTGGCTATTCCTGTTTGCCAGTGTCCTTTGTGTCCTTTGTGGCTTTTGCTCCTGTTGCAGTTGCAAGTGGCAAGACGTCTGAGCCTGTAAGTGGAGCAAGACATAGAGGCATTGAGTTGAGTCGACTGCTTTTCACATGCGAGTGCATAATGTACTAATTAGGCGGGCGTTGAGTATACGCCATGTGGAAGAAGATCAGGTGCATCACCGAATTGTGGGAAAGATTATGTATTTATAATTTTCATGATTAACATATATTAATATTCTTGTACTTAAAGAGTTTGATTTAACTTTGTCAAACAAGTTTGCTTAAGGTAAAATGATTTTTATTTTCTTATCTTTTAAAAAAGCACAAAAAAATTATACAAATTATATAATCAATAAATGATATGAAGGTTCAAGTTGAACCTATCTCTGAAAATTTCATTATTAACCAATAAGAACACCAGAGGCCCATTTCATAGAAACCTAACTACGGTCCTGAACAAGATAGCTGAAGCTAAAGGCAGAAAGGTACACTCCACTGAACCCACAGACGGTGCCTCTGAAACTGTTTCTTTGAAATACCAATTTGCAGACTCGCAGACGTTCTCAGCTTTTGAAATTCGAAAGAGGAGCAGTTTTCTGAACAGAAGGATGCAGTCCACGGAGGCAATTTCAATGCAAAGATGTTCATTAAAAATGCAGTGCATTTTGCACAACATCTCCAGCTTGAGGCTTTCAAATATAAATTATTATCCTTCGAGTGTTGAACTCCCTTGAACTTTTTAATCAACCATTGCCAGCTAAGCCTTCAAAATTAAATGTTTAATACTAAAAAGTTTATTTAAAAAATAACCATTATGACTTAAATATATTTTAGAAGCGGAATTAAGGAAACTTTCAAGCAATTTTTCCGTAATTCTCGACAAGTGCCGGGAGCTAAACTATTTCCATAGCATTATCCTTGCTCCGCACGGGCTTTAATGTGCTTAGCAAGAGTGGGCGGGGCAATAAAATCAAATCAAATTGCGCGTGCCTCAGCAAAACGCAAAACGCAAAACGTCGACCAGGAAGCGCCGTTGTGGCCATTTTGGTTGCGTTGCTTTTCCGTTGCAGAATTGAGTTGCAGTTAGTTGAGTTGTCTGCTGGGTGGGACAAAGGTTGGGGTAAACGGTTGGTTGCGGAAAAGTGTGTGTGTGTGTGCCTTTTGACGTCATCAGCAAATACTTTACTCCTGGCTATGGGTTTGTTGTTCTTGTTGTCGTTGTTTACACAGCTGCTATGGGGGCCGCATTTAGTTGTTGCCACTACCGCTGCCGTTGGTTGCTGCAACATTTACATTGGCAATTTGCTTGAAAAAGCACTTACACCATCATCCTCCTTGTACGAGACATGGCTGCATGAAGCTCCACCAACACAAACGCCAACAGACCCACTTCCGGCCACAAGCCTGTGCTTTTGGCCTAAACCGAACTTCCGACATTGCCACCAAGCCCTGAATACCCTTCGTTGTATTGGGTCTATTTTAAATGACAGCTATGGTGGATTTATTTTAATAATAATAACATATTTTTATATATATATATATATTATTGAATTTTAGTTCTGTTTGTTACTTCCTTTGAAAATAACATTCTGTTTGACACAACAAATTACTTTTGGTAATACTTTTTAATTTTTTGTCTCTCTCTAAAATGCAATTATGCTGAATCACAGAAATCGATTTGATTTAATTGTCAATGTCGGAAAGGGAAATCGTAAATTCCAACTGAAAATCGTATTTGCTGACTCAACTTATGTTTTTACTCTTTGTTACTTGAGATTTAAAACCCAGCTTTGTGTGTGAAAACTTCGTTTAACTTGTGTGAAAACTTTTTCCTTCCATCACTTTAAGGCTCCTCTGGGTGGTGGCATACAAAAAATGTGGGGAAAAAAGTGGAAAAGACTGACAAGGAAACGAAAGGAGAGGAATAAAGTTTTGTTGAACATTTAGTTAAAGTCGTTTGGATGGTTTTCAACCCTGGGTATTTATTTATAGCCCACTTTGCCGTACAGAAAATGGAGAAAGAAAAATTTGACAATAGTTTTTTGCAGCGGCAATTAGGGGCACACAGCACGTTGCAGGTCATAAAGCCGAGAATGAATTACCCAACAACGGTGCAATTGAAATGGAAATTGAAATTTAATGGCTTTGAGCAGGGATCGCGCATCAGCATCCAACGTGGTGTCGTACTACAATGTGCGGCAATGGCTCAATAGTCGTACAATTGTGTGCTTAAGCTGCATCATAAATTTTGCCAAGTGGCCAGCAGACAAACAAGCCAAAGCACACATACGAAGTGGCAAACGTGTCGTATGCGCGATAGTCAATGAAGTGTGCGCGTTGACGTCGCTTTAAGGACTATAACATTAATGCTAATTTAATTACGAAAACGTGTCTATGAGTGCTTCTCCGGCACATTCAATAATATTCGAACTCAGCGAAAATATTTCAGTTTTGTTGATTTTAAAGACTTTCCATGCAATTACTTTTCCATTTTTCATTTATTAATTCTCGAAAATGAATTCTTGAAAAGTTTTCATCTAATCTTTGACTCTGGAATCCCCATAAGATCAGAGTAATTTCCTTTCAGTTCAAAGTCGAAAATAAACAGAAATTCGAGCACATAACTTGCCAAGCACATGAAGCCTTAGAAATTTGCAGTATTTTCCCGGAAGGCACTCACTTTCGTTCTCAACTAAAATAAGCGAAAAGAAAGAAAAACGAAATTCTGGTTCGTTTTTAATTAAATTGCATTCTCTTCGCAGTGCCACTTTCATCTGGCGCTGGCGAAGGATACTTTAAGCGAACCTCCCTCTGAAATACTTACACTTGGCTGACTTGGTATTTCTGTTAATCAAACGCAGTGTTCAGCATGAAAATGCTTAATTGTATTATTACATAACTTTTACTCAGCCAAATGGAGGGGACAAGTACAGGCAGGGATCAAGAACATTTCATATCCTACTCGATATAAGAGTCGTTGGCAATTAATCCATGTGTTTGCCAAGAATAAATCGATGCGGGTCTCAAAGGATAATTAATGCGTCACCAGGGTTCAGAGATCTGACCATGACAGGAGAGAGCTGAATTCCATGTGCCATTACTTAAGAACTCAATCAATAATAAACATAATATTATCATTACGAACATCAAAATGTGATGTATGAATCCAACAAAAGTCCAAAATTATAAGCCACAGCTCTGCTTATCGAGGCATTTAACTTTCCTTTGTGCTTGCTTTTCATACACACATCATGCACACTATTGCGAACTGAAAATACACTCAAAGAAAAAAGCGTACATTACATTTAGGGAATGAAAAGCGCTTTATAAAGCTTATACAGGTCTTAGGCCTAACCATTCCAAGTTCTAGTTAATAAATAACCACTTTAAGTTAATAGTAAATACATTTTCCGCAATAGTTTAACACATTTGCTTAAAATGCCTTAGAATTTTATTAAATTAACTTTTTCTGAGTGAATACAAACGTGTAAATAGGCATGCACATAGGCATTTTCCTAGTCTGACTTTTGTATTGAAAATAGAAACCTTGCCGAGCTAATGTACGTTTTTGTTTAGATAGATGGTGGGCGGGGGAAGCCAAGATGTCAGGATGCGAGGCCCACATGGTGATGGGGGAATGGTAAGAGGTGATGTGTTTGCCTATGTAAACAGGAAGTGTTGCGCCACAGGCAATGTTGCAACAAAATACCCTGCCGAAGGACCACCTATGCTTGCTAAAAACCCTTTCCCCTCCACAACCTTTGGTCTGCCATTTTGCAAAAATATTTGCCAGCATGAAATTAGAGGGAGGCCAACATTTAATGAATGGCTAGCCACCTGTGCATGCTCTTAATGAGCTAAAGTAAGGGCTGCATCGTAAATGGTTATTGGCAGGTGAATGTTAACTGCGGATGTTCACCAACGTATGCACATCTTTAAATAGGTTGCGATGTGTACTATAAAGCAAGGACGAGTCCGTCTGTTTTAAAATTTAAGAAAATGTAATTTGTAATTGGCTTTAAAATGAATTAGCTTTTAAAATAAAGTTAGACATTCAGATAAAAACCAAAGGTCACTCGAAGTATTCTGACCTAACGAATAAGTTAAGAGGCAGCAAACGGAATTTCATATAAACTATCGTTGAGAAAGTACTTAAAACCAATAGCCAGGCAGTCTTTAAGCCAACATTAAGTTAGGTTTCTGTCGCCGAAAATAAATGTGCTGGCATTGGAATATTGTTTATCGCATATATACAAAATAGTTTGGCCAAAAGCCGAAAAAAGTCAAAGCTGCCATAAATCAGAAAGAAAAAGTGAATGGGCAAACTAGGGGCCAGCACAAGTATGGCCGCAGCAAAGGAAAGCAAAAAGGAAAGTTTGAAATACGGCTTCCAGAGGAAAAACTGAAGACTCAACGATACATTTGTGGTTGACAGAGGGGAAAGCGAATGGAAATATATTTCCGCTGACGACAATCAGGTGAAATGCAAAAGTGTCGAGGAAGTTGTCAAAACCTTGTGATAACATTTTCTGTTCAGGACTTTGGTAACATAACGCCATTTGATGGCCAAACGGCATAAGATGATGGGGGTACATCCTGACCGTAATTGAGGGCGGGGTCCAACTTGTCTGTGCCGGTTTTTAAAGTACATTAATTTCTAGAGAAACTTTTCCAGGCCAAAGGCTTCTGCTGGCTCTCCTTTTATTTATTGTAACAAGGAACCAACGATGGCCATATATTTTTTCCATGGCTTGTATTTTACATCATTTTTCCCCGAAGCCGCCATCTACATAATTTCAAGGATTTCTCTGCCAGAAGCCTTCAAAAGAAATTAATCGTGGGAAGGCGAAACCAACGAAAATTTACGACGTGCCTTGCCAAAGGTGAAATCCCTTTTTTCCGCCAATA